GGGGGGTGAATGAATGAGGGGATCAAAGCGTCTTCAGGGAGGGCAGGATGGTGTTGATCTCGACGCTCCGATGCCGCGAGCCGTATTGTATCGCGTAGTGGAGATATTGGTCTGGCGTCCACCCGCCAATAATCCCACAGTCTGGTGATTGCACACGTCGTTCATTCAGATGCGGATCAGTTATGTGTATGCGTTGAACCCGATCCCGATCCCGATGTCGATGTCGATGGACGAGTTGGGGGTAGTTTGGGCGGTGTGGCGCCCCCCCCCCTGTCCTAGCAGATCATCGTTCACCAGAGTCGACTACTTCAAACATACAGTCAAACCCGAATCAATGTCTGTGCATGAGTTATGCGGTCGTGACGGAACCCCTGTCGACGTCGATGAACGAGTTAGGTTAGCTTGGGCGATGTGCCGTCGCACCCCCTCTCATGAAGGATTGACCTTCACCAGAGTCGGAGGGAGTGGTGAATACGCACTGGGATCGACATATGAATTGTATGGCTGTGGTGGACTAACTGTGCCCTTTGATGTTGTTGTCGAGTCCTGTAGATGTGTTCTGTACGCTGGGCGTGGTACTTATACCCTAAACGGTCGTCTCGTCTCGACGATCTTCGTCTTGATCTCTTCATTTTACACTTTTACATTTTTTTCTATCCTATTCTATTCTTATACTCCAATGATCGCAACACGAACTAACCTACGACGATCCTACAGCCAAACAACCCCGCCCCGATCCCGATCCCGATACCTCCCCCGCCGACGACGACGACGATGTCCTCCCCACCGTCCGCACAGGCTACTTCCGCCTCCCCACCCCAGGCGCTTCTACATCCACATCCTCCAACGGAAACGCAATCGCCTCGTCTTCGAAACTCGTCTCTAACTCTACGAGATCGAAATCGAAATCGAAATCAAGTATGGGTCCGCCGCTCATGCCCACCACCGGCACTGGCACGGGCACCGGTAGACATCGACCGCGGCCTTCTATAAGTACGAATTTCGATACGGCCAACACCACTACCATGACCTCAGCTGCAACCTCCGCCACCACATCCATATCAGATGAATACGGTCCCCGGCCCTCTACGCCTTCTCCGCCGCACTCTCCCCATCTCGCACCCCAGGCAGAACCCATCCCAAACCCAATGCCAATGATCAGAAAAGCGAAAGCAGCGCTCGATCTCTCAAAGCAATACGCAGCGGAAAAGATGAGACAGGAACGGGAGAGGAAGATGGAGGAGGAGAGGATTAAGCGGAGGAGGGGTCGGGGGAGGGTTGGTGGGCATGGTCTTGGGTTAGGGTCGGGATTAGGTGGGGGAGGAGGAGGGGGAGGAGGGGGGGTTAAAGCTGAGGTGCTTGGACTGGGGGCGGGGGTGGGGGGTTGGAGGAGGGGAAGAGGGGGAAGGGGAAGGGGAGGGAGAGGGGGAGGGATGGGAGGGAGAGGGAGAGGGATAGGGAGGAAATGATGGGATCGAGGGAGAGGGAGAGGGACGCGGTAAGAGAGGGGGGGAGGGAGAAAGTAAGGACGGAGAGAACAGAGAGCGCAGAGGCGTATCTTGATTCGGTTTCGGTTTCTCGGAGACGGTCTGCTGGTGGTTTCGTCACACCCATCGAGGACACTAACACCACGTCGACGAGATTATTCGCCGGTGGAGGGGAACGCCGCAGACGCTCGTACACCACCACCACCACCAACGCACAACTTCAACAACCTCAACAACAGCAATATTCACCACCGAGCGCAAGTCCGCAATACAGTCATTCCCCCTCGAGCACGATCGCGACGCCCGCACGGTCCGAACCGGACGCGGATGGGGATATCGATATGGATTTTGAGGTGTTGGCGCGGTATCACCAGGACGCGCTGGCGCAATATCAAGACCGAGAGAAAGACCAGGATCGGGATCAGGAGCGGAATACATTCGCGATGGACGCGCAGAATCCGTTCGAGATGGACATCGATGCCGAAATGTTCGATAACGGCCGACGACCGACCTCGGTGCATTCTGCGTTCGAGTTCCCCACCACCACGACGGCCGGCAACACGACCACCGGCAATGGGAACGGGAACGGGAACGGGAATGGTGGACAACCGACGGGGAGCGCACCGACTGCGAGTCAGAGCCCGCAGCTTGTTAAATCGCTGTCGCAGCCTCAGCCTGGGCCGAGTGGAGGCGGGGGTGGGGGTGCTTTCGGTAGTCCTTTCGGCGGTGGAGGCGCTTTCAGTGGAAGTCCTTTCGGTGGAGGTGCCTTCGGCGGCGGCGGCGGCGGCGGCGGTGGGAGTGGTGCAGGATTGCAGTTCCGCTCGCCCTTCACACCACCGCGTTCGCAGGGCGCTGGGTCATTTGGAGAGGGAGGTGGAGGTCCACCAAAGACACCGACGCCGCCTGAGGTTCCGTTCGCGTTTGCGGTGGGGTCGGGGCTGGGGATGGTTGGATCTTCGAAGCGCAAGATGGGAGGGGGCGGTTCGACGTCTGGCTTGGGCTCTGGTTCCGGCTCTGGCTCTGGCTCGAATTCGGGCGCGGGAGGAGGAGGAGGAGGTGCGGGCACGGCGACTAAAACGCGAAGGGTCTCCATCGCGGGTGCGGGCGCGTCAAGGCAACCGTACGCCCGTCCACACCAAACACATTCGCGTACACATTCGAAATCGCCGACGAGGCCGTTTGCGGTGCCGTCTGCTTCGCCGACGTTGAAGCCTGTGTATACGACTGGGCGGGCGGGTTCTTCTTCCACTATCACCGGCAACAACGGCGCTACCAACATCGGTAGCAATGGCAGTGGAAGCAACGGGAGCGGGAACGGAAACGGCACGAGCGTCTCACCCCCGAACCCCCCGGCACCAAGACCCACACAGACGCGGGCATTGGGCATGCGTCCGATCTCTTCGGTGTCGGCGTTTGGGGTGTCGTCGCAGAGACCTGGTGTGAATGGGAGCGGGGGCTCGAGTGGAGGGAATGGGAATGGGGGTGGCGGAGGGGGAGGGGGAGGAGGGGGTACGTCGTATAGGATTCCGGGGTTCAAGGCTCCTAGGCCTAGGAATCTGAATGGAGTGACTGGTTCGACGTCGACTTTGATGGGTATGGGTACGGGTACGACGACGAGAGCACCAGCACCAGCACCGGCCGCTCTGCCTCGAGCGCCGACGCCACCGCCGAAGTCGATGGGCATGGGCAAGTCGTTCGCTTCGACGTCGACGAAACCTGTATATGTCCCGGTTCCGATTCCGGTCAAGAAGGATACTTCGTCATCGTCACGGAAGAGGAGGTCACCCTCTGTAGAATCTGACGTGATCGTGATTTCGGACAACGAAGACGATAACGATAACGCGGATCGGGACGACGGAGGTGATCTGGGCGGGGAGGCGGCGGGGGCGGCAGATTCGAGCGTGGATTACGATGTGTCGTTCGGGGTGGATATGGACGTGCTAGATGCGGCGATGACGGATATAGAGTCGCAGTTCGAGAGCTTCACGGGGACGGGGACGAGGAGCGGGACGGGGACGGTGGCGAGTACGGGTGGGACGGGGTCGTATAGGACGTGTAGTGGGGGCGGGGGGAGGAGCGTGTCGCCGGAGTATTGATGTGGGGATAGAGGTTGAGTTTTTCCTGGTCTTGGTCTTTTTTGACATTTCTCTTTTTCGTTGTGTGTATATTCTTGCTTTTTTTGGTACCGTGCCTGAGCCTGGACAGTGTCTCGGTTTTATTTTGGGCCTTTCTCTCCCTCCCTCTTGCTGTGCATATATCGATATCGATATCCCCGCCCCGCCCCTCTACCGAGTGCCCTTTTCTTCTGCTCTCTTGTTCTCGTTTCCGTGGTCTGCTCTGTTTTTCTCTTTTCTTCCTTATTTCTTTTTCTTGCGTGCGTGCGTATCTTATCCTCTCCTCAGCGTCCGAGTCTCTTTGCACGAGTCGTTCCTGGTCTTTAGTTTCTTAGTTCTTAGCTCTTAGTCCTTATAGTCCCTAGTCCCTAGTCTCTAGTCTCTCCATCCATCTGATGCCGTGATCCTTGATGTTTTATTACTGTAAAGATATGTCTCCTTCCCTCTGCCACCAGTCCGTCGCGGTCCGCATAGGCGACACCGCGCACTCACTTCCCTCCCTCCCTCTCTATATCGCACTCGCACTGGTCCGATACGATCTACATATATGATGACGACTCTGAATCATGACCCCCATCCCATCCCGCCCGGTTATCTATAGCTAGTTACTGTACATTTGGTACGATTGATCTCTCTTCCCTCTCACGCGTATGTGATGTGATGTGATGCCCAGTGTATATACATATACATATTCTGTATCTGCTATGTATCTCTATTTTTTGCCACTCGTTTTTTGGTCTTGTGTGATGTGTTGTGTGAGTTGATGCATGTGAGGCTCGAAGTGCTCATGAAGATTGACTCTGAATCTCGGATGGAGAAAGGAAGGAGAGGCGTCGGGCCACCCGGGTCGGCGCATGAGTCGGGGGATACCGGGAGTGAACTTGTTCGTTCCACAACATTCGAGTCCGAGTCGGGACGGGCAAGTTGAGTGTGATAAGTGTGGCCCGTTTCGATTTCGAGCCGGACGGTGGTTCCATCTCAATTACTACCATTTTGGCCCTGAATCTTGCATTGGTTGGTGCTTATTCTGTTTTACTGGTTCGAGCCACAGAGCTGGCCGAAAGAAGAGATTGTGGAGATGATGGCTAGTTCGTGCCATAGGACCGTCACGGTATGAATATGGGCAAATTGAGGATGCTCACTCTGAACGATTCATGGGTTTTAGTTTGCGCATATGTCCCGCGAAGACTTTATCTCCGTCACACACGATCGAGTAAACCAGGAACAACGTTGTCATGCACGAGTAGTACGAAATAAGCACAAATAACCAACAAACGACCAGAAATATCACGTTGCACAAACGTAGCCACATAAAATCGTGAATCTATCTCCACATTTATCCTCCAGCTCGTCAGCATGGCGAAAGGTAGAGGAGAACGGACGGGCAGTAGCTCGAAGGATACTGCGATTTGACTCAGAGGATGGCGAGGATGTTGAGTAAGACGGTGAAGTCGAGGCCGTGGAGGATGACGACGACGGGGGCAAGGATGAGGACGAGGTTGAGCTTGATGTTGACGGAGACGTCGACGCTCACGAGGGCGAGGATGGCGTTGAGCAGGCCGCCGAGGGAGATGCTGTGAAAGAGGGATAGGGTGTCGTCAGTTATGTTTGGTTATCGCGACATAGAGAGAAGGGGGGACGTACTCGATGTCGGCGAAGACGTTGATAATGGTAACGTCGCCGTTGAGCCCCTTGATGCGGTTGATTGGGTCGATGAGAGCCTGTCGGTAAAACCAGCTCGTGAGTGAACAATTGACTCGACGGACTTCGTAAACATAGTAAATTAAAGGTAAAACTGACCACGATGAGTGCATTGATGCTGACAGAGATGTCGTTGGCAGAATCGCCCTGCCACTGGTCAGGGCCGTACCCTTTGACAGTCGTGGTGGCGAGATCGATCTTAACCTTGATGTCGGCCACGATGGGACCGAGGACGTCGAGGGTCACGTCAGCAGCGACGAGAGCATCTGGAAAGAACCGATTTATTGGTTAATAAGTTTCAAGAAGAAAAAGTGGAGCGTTAACAAGAGGGGAGGCATCAAACATACTGAGCTTGCCGATGTCAACGTCGACGTCAGCTTTTACGCTGGCGAGAAGAGCCAAGACGTCCTCGCCACCGTGCTTTGCAACTGCGTTAGCAGGAGCAGGAGTGGGGATAGCGGAAACGGCGGCAACGCCGAACGCGAGAGTGGCGAAGACGACTTTGGTGAAAGAGAACAACATGGCGGAAATGTGGGATAGGCTGAGGAAGTGAGGTGGTAAGGACGGAGGTGGTCAAGGACTCTGAGGTGTGAGGCAGAAAGCGCTGTATACCTGAGAGGTAAGGAAAGTGAGGATGAACCTGCCAGGCTTTTATAGATGAAACGAGAAAATAATATATTGCCGTAGACACAGCCCAGACAAAACAGCACATATTGCATGACGCACATGCACTGGTCATACAGGGACGATGGCAGGTTGTTGGGGGCCGTGGTCGTATAATTCGACACTGTGAGCCTGCGCACGTTGACGCAAGACGGGCGTTCTTGCACATCATGGACCAAATGGAGGCAAGCAAGGAGCCTCTCTGCATCACCTGCAAGAACGAAGGAAGAATATGGATTCATCACCGCGGAAATTACAACACGAGTTCATCAGTTGTTACGCATGCTCAGGCAAGCGCACATTGGCCTTCATGGGGGTTTCTGTCCATATTTTTGCGGTTTTTGGAAGACGACTGAGAAGCAGGAAAGTGCGGGGAATCATTCCTGTAGAACGCCGTTGTTAGCTCTATACGACAACGCGTATTTCTGACTTTAAGTCTGGGCTATTCGTATGCTCAGAGGAATAATCAGTATGATATTAGGTTCCTGTGATGTGACACCGTGGACTAAACGGTCAGGAAAAGCATGTACCCGGCCTTCGTCAAGATGTTGGAGGTAACGCGGAACGAAATCTTCGGTGGTTCTATGGATTAATAAGTTTGTGGCCCCCTGGATGACCTGCCTTGATGCTGGCCAACACCGCGAAAAACATTCACAGCCGGCCATAATGGCAGAGTTCACAGACTCCGCGCGCCTTTCAACGCCATAACACCTTCCAATGAACACCGCTGAATGACATCACTACCGGAGAAATATCCTTGGCAAGCCGCTCTCTGACCGCGATGGCACCTAAGAATAACTCCCTTCTACTCGCCTGACTTGCTTGTCGTTTAGACGTTTGCCATGAATCTGGGACTAAAGCCGTGATGGCGGAGTCGCCGATCATAGAAAACCAGCAATGAACCAGGGAGTAGCGAAATGCAGCACCAAATATTCCAATTATGCACCATGTAAGGGATGGAATATAGAAGCAGTGAATGCGACATATACACAAGCGACGCCTCGTCTTCGAGAAAAATATCCGAAGCCGTTTTATAGACGAGCGCGGGAACAACGAGACAGGAACGTAACCGAAGGAGCCTTCGAATTATCCCACGTCAAGATAGCAAGGACACGACAGCGAGCACGAAAATGGCGAGGTCTGATGAGTGTCAAAATCGACGTATGTAAGGGTCGTAGAGCGGGAGAATGCTCTCATTCTCAATGGGTGCAGGGGACTCCACCCGTTCATCTATCAAGAAATACAGTCATTCTATGTGAGGCACGCCCTGTAGCATCTCGTATTCAGATGAATACAGAACAAGGTCTGCTGGACCCTTGTTGGATGAGTGCCTGCAACAACGAAAGATCGCAGAAATCTAGTTCACGCGTGTGTGGCAGATGGTATCGCACCAGCACCCGACTTAGAATGGGGTGAGCACGGTCGACAGAAAGGGCGTAAGTCCAGCTCGGATACACGTTCGTCTAGACTCTTTCGCGGGCTCCAAGCTCACTGTCCAGAAAAAGAAGTATGCACGGCGCAGGAGCCATCCACGGGATTTGATTATGGCTGTATGAGAAGAGACTGACCTAGAATCGAGCGTAGGGTCCACTTTCTCGAATCTTCTTTCGCCCCAACCTGAGCCTAACCAGGGATGTATGAGCAGATATCAACGATCAGCTATTGTATCTTATTTTCAAGGTGGACGCTACATACCATTCGCTCGATGCTGCACATATACATATCGAAGAGGCCTTAGTAATCGTATTTCATCCCACCTAATGTAAAAGAGCGTTAAGGTTTGAGTTCGAAAGAGGTCGGATGTGCGCCAGTTGGGAATCGACATCGGCATCATGGTCATCAGGTTGCCCGAATTCACACCCCGCCCGCCACGAGCTGAAAACCCAAGAATTGTCCGGGAGACTTCGGATGGGATCTGGAGACTACTGAGTTCCAAGACAATCGAGAGCATAAAGGACGCATCAGTTTCTCGAATCCTATATCATAACCAGCAATATGATCAACCATCCACCACGTTCCACCCCAGCCAACCCTCCGCTTTCATCTCATCCAAGAGTCTCACATCTCTGAACAGCACCGCGGGCGTCAACACACCGTTGATCATTCGATGCCCATTCCGCGAACGCAGCATAGTCAAGGCGCACTTGACAAAAAGTTTAGGCGTCGCAACATAACCTGGTTCAGGTCCGGTGATACGTCCGACAAGTGTTACATCAGGTGGACCAGTTATGGAGGATGTGTTCGAGTAACCTGTGAGAAGATCATGCATGGTCAATAATGACCAAGGAATGTTGGGGTCGACGACTTACCTTTGGCATAAAATGTTTCTGTGAACGAGGCTCCGGCAAGTCTGAGGCAAGATGGAATATGAGACACTCAACTAGTTGAATGACTGTAACTTAAGTACGCACTGCGCCGAGGTTGGGCCTTCTTTCGACGCTAATCCCGCAGTGAAGACCTTCGGATACTTCAAGAGCAGATTTCTGCCCCACGCTCTGCCGGTCAGGAACTGGAATATCGTGAAGTAGAAAACCAACAAAGCAAGGGCCCAAGTCGACTGGATAACGAGATATGCCGCGAAGTGGACGGGCGGAAGTACAGAAGAGCCTCCAACGTGAATGTCGAGAGATTGTGATAGTCGGACGACAGAAGGATCTGCACCACCATTGTTATTTAGCCAAGCTTGATACTACTAGCGAAAACGAGTATGCGGCGAGTACCTGCGAAGAAGTATCGGATGATCCACCCTTCGGTCCTAGGATCTTTCTTCACGCCTAAGGCTCCAAATTTGGCCTTGAAAGATCCAATAGCAGAAGGTTTCGGCCGCACTTTGGCAAGTGCTTTCCTGATACGACCAAGTTCCGTGCCACCGCTGCCAAACCCGAGGACAGCGGCTTCATATGTTGCATAGTGGACTGATGCAGAGGAGGTCAGCTGTTAGAGGGTGCAAGGCTCTTTCGCGCTGGGATATAGGTAAGGCCTGTCAACTTACTGGCAAAAGACGACTCGGTGTTCACGCGGAAGAAAGCCTCGATGGACGAGGGAGTGGCACCTCGCTCTAGCAAAGCTCGCTTCATCTCAAGGACACCTAGATCACATGGAACGGAGTCAAATGCCTGTGACGCAATAACCAGACTCGTTAACACCGCTAGGTCCATGAAGCTGATTGGAAGGAAAAACCTACGGCTGCATGCAAAATTGTGACGCCGGCCTCCACGGCTTTCTCATGGTACTCTAACGACATTCGCTCAATGAACTCTGGTTCACCTATATAAGCCAATATTTGAAACAAGAGATTTTGGCATCAGCACGAGCGCCGTCGTACAGGAGCAGGGTAAACATACCGCACAAATCCAGGTAGTCCGCACGCCCTTCGATGCATGCTCTGACGACAGGCTCTCCAAGATATCGATACGGGCCGACACAGTTCAGTACGACTGTACGGATTTATGAGTTGAAGTATGAAGAGCGTTCGCGAGGAAAGATTCATGGAAACACGCACTGACGTTTCGCTGAACGTGCCATCTCCAATAGTCCCTTCTCCGTCTTCACATCCGCAATGATTATATCCGGTTGAGGCACACTACTGTTGCTCGAGTACTTCTCCGCAATCTTCAAAAGTGACTGCTCATTTCGTCCTGCAAGGGCCCACGTAAAGTCAGGTGGAAGTCGAACGTGCTGAGCTATTTCTTCGAGGACGAAGCCAGCTGTGAAACCTGTGGCGCCAAAAATGACGAAGTCATACGCATTTGTAGCACGTTCTGTGGGCGTAGTCATGATTTAAAAGCTCAAGAAATTCGACGACGAAGGGTACGTTTGCGAACGGGAATGCAAACGAGGATGGACGGCGTCAGGGTAGGTAGTATGACTTGGCGGTGTCTGAGTTGTAAACAATCGCGTTCATGACCGGGTCAATTCGGCCCGGTCAGTGCTTGCACCAAAATTAATCGTGCCCAGCGCTGTGCCCAATCCACGTAGGGCCCCTTTCCCGACTTTTAGCGGCACAGTGCACAAGGATGTATCCAGGTATGGTAAAACGAAAGGGTTGGATCCAAGACCAATCTTAATATTCATTCGCAGGCATATATAATACAGGTAAAGAACGATGAACCCGCTTCGTATAAATAATGCTGGCCGTTCGTTTATCTCCACAGTCGAATTCACATCAATTCTATGTGCATCTCCATGTTTCCGGACCCGTAGCAACACAACTCACAAGGCTATAACGTGCCAGCCTCAAGGGCTTTGGAACATTCTACGCCAACTCTCATACTCCGAGTCCGGAGAGCCGACGTCGTCGCCACCATCGTTCTGTTCATCTTGACCGCCTGCACGGGGATTCCGTCTTGACGTACTTGGGCCGGCCTGCGGTGTACTATCTTGGCGTGCATGATCAGACCGGTGACGGATACGATCCTGGCGAGGGTCTCTGACGGTACCACGACAGACAGGACAAGTTCTCGCTCCTCGGAGCCATTGCTAGAGAAATAAGAAAATTGAGAGTGAGATATAACACAAGAGGAGAGCGTAGGCACGTACTGAGAGACAATCTTTGTGCAACCAGTGAGAGCAGCCTTCAAGCTTGGAGCACTGGTCTTCAGGCTGGTACTATGTATCACAGTAGAGTCAGATTGGCACAGACACCAGCAAGAGCGAGATAGAAAAGAACGTACATCGTCGAGACAGATTGGACACCGTTGATCACTGTCGCTGGTGGCCCATTGCTGGTAAGGGGCAGTAGGTAACGAAGAAATAACATTGTCGGGTGTACAACGCGGCTGCACGTCTCCAAGCGTCGCGGCCAGTGACAACAGGCTTTCATACGACGTGTCAAAGTCTTCGTCTCGCTATTTCGCGCATAGCCAAGCTGTGATCAGCATAGAAATCGTTAAAATGTGACGTCCGCGTACCATGAAATCACCCAGCCCACGGAACGGTCGTCTAAAGAGAGATGCGTTCCTATTCTCCCTTGCACCAACCCTACCGACCAATCGCTCCAAACTTTCGTAAGACACCGGAAGTCTATCTCTTATCCTCTCGGCATGAACACCGCTTGCCGCTGCTGAAGGCCTATTCGCCTCCCATCTGGTGGCCGCATGATAGCGGGACATCGAGGCAGACCTCCTGCTACTACCCACCCCCTCACTACCGAGGACAGATGACGCTCGAGCAGCCCTCAACCGCTCAAGGCGCTCTGTGAAGTCCTCAGGAGTCCGGGAAGGAGGACGATCAGGCCCTAATGCCCTTCGTCTTCCCGCTACGTAACTTTCCAAAATCCCCGCGTCAGCATGGGGAGAAGGCCTTGCCGTATCAGGTGCATTAGACGATAAATCTGCCGGTCGAGGGCGCCTACGGAAACGACCGTCTAGCAGACTTGGACTATCATCTTCGATACTACCCCAGAGTGCCGAATCGAGGGCGGACGACCTTTGTCTTTCCTCAGTCCTCTCTCTCGCGAAACGCTCGATAAGCTGCTGCTGACGTTCAGTGCTCAGCCCGTCCGATCTCAAAAGGGCAATAGCCCTCGTCAATCCCTCCTGTGCAGCGTCGATCGTCTCTCTGGCCGTGCTGGATCCGGAACTATTCGACGAGCTTGACGCCTGTGCTTCATCAGCGATTCTTGCAGCTTCGATCCTGGGCCTCCTCGCAAATATACCATGCAATTGACTCCGCCCACTCGACTCTGCGGCTGTATGAGATGTAAGGTGTCCGTGATGATCAAGGCGGTGGTGATGGCGATGAAGAGCAGATGAAGAGCCTGGTCCAAGAGCATGCGATGTAGGCAAAAGCGTACGTTGGCGGGTTGGGAGCGGAAGGTCGAGGGGTCGTCGAGTAATTGATGGATGGAGAGGGACGTCTGGTGGTGCATGCGGGGTATCGGTTCTAAACAAGTCGTTCCGAGCGTTTCTACGTTCTTCCTGAGATGTCAAGTTCAAACTATCTGACCTCGTTGTCGAGGAAGGGGTGGATCCTCTGGCATCGCTCAGAAATCTTGACTAAAGCATTGAAAGCCAATCAGTCAGCAACGCGAAGATGTTTTCAGTGCACCGAACAACTCACAGCCTGTTGATTAACTCTCCAAGGCACGGTAGGCCAGTCCTCCCTATCGCTATCTCTCTCGAACCTGAGTGGTGGCAAGGAAGGAGCCGGAGGAGGTTGAGGTCGGGGCATAGGTGTTGGCCGACTCGGGCGAGCAGGGTTAGCTGCCTCTTGCGATCCACTCGTAGAGGCTTCTCTTTCCGAAAGAGACTCCAAGTGACTGATCCTTGACCTTAGCCTCTCAATCTCGACAATCCTGTTCAAAGTCGCTCTGAGAGGTCCATCGTGGTACGCGTCCGGATCGATGTTACTATACGGTGAGGGTGGCACATCGCGTCCACGGGCATCCGGGCGACTCGAACTAGCCTGAGGACCAGTGGTCTGGGTGCTGGTGGAAGTGGTGGGTATACGAGGAGAGAAGTCATCGGCGAGCCCTAATGACGATGTAGTTGACGTGGGCTGCGCCATGTTCGCAGTTCTAAGCACCGGACTGGCAGCAAACACGCCTGGTCCCGGTAACTCTGCGTCGCTTCTCATACGGGCCCTCCTTCTTAACATTTCGGAGTCCCGGTCGGGCTCGGCATGTGGAATAGCAGAATCGGCGTCGAGGAACATGGATGGAGGGAACGGCGAAGGCGACCTCGGCAAAGGCAACACGAGGGTCTCTGATCGTTCGGGGCGCGAAACGGTGGGGGTGGGTGCACCCATTCTGGAAAGCCTAGAAGTGAACGCAGGTCCTGGAGCCGCATGATTACCGCTCAGGGGATCAGCGGCAGGTGGAGGTGACCGTGAGGCGAACATTGCGGCCGCTTGGCTCGAGATGGGTACATCGTCCATGTTGACCCGGGATTCGGTAGCACGATGGGCAGTAAAGAAATCCATCCGCGACGTGACAGGCGGGTATTCGTAGGTGCGAGGTAGGTGCAGATAAGTTTCTCCCTCTCGAGAACGGTCGGGCCCATGAAATGGGTTCCGCCACTCAAAAAAGGACGGCCTGTTCGAAGAAGTGACGCTTGCGATCCTCTCCCTGTCCGTTTGCATATCCCTTTCGTGTTCCCGTTCACGTTCCCACATTCGGTCCTCCGACCGCTCTATGGGCCGCACACGCGTCCGATCTATACGATGGAACTCGTAAAAACTTGGCGGTCGTGAACGATCTGACTCTCTATCCAACAGTCTCTCTCGTGCCCTCTCCCATCGATCACGCGAAAAGTCTTCTCGCGTTCCCGATGGTCTCAGAGGACGATGAGGGGAAGAACGACCGTCCATATTGTTAATCTCAGCGGAGATGGTACGAAGTAGTGCTGAACGCCTGGCCGATAAATCAGGTCCAAGTTGTTGGGTGGATGGTCGATTCGATGACGGTGGTAGGCGAGGCGTAGGCATGTCTCTGTCCGTAGTTCGTTCGTTCAGGCCACGCATGCGTAGTGGCTGAGGTGAAGGCGGTCGCAACCGCGTAGCCTCACTAGAAGACCCTGAAATAAAATCTATCAGTGCGAGGACGAAGGAGGCTGTCTCATTACTTACCCGACATAAACTCAAGCCATTGACCTTGTAGGCCGACGCGTTGAATCTCAGGCAGAGAAGCTGGCCAGACTCATATGAGCAGGAAGACACTCAAAATGTAGTTGTAAGACTTACGAGCATTATTACGTGCAGCAGATGCGGTCGTGTGTGAAGCGGGCCCTGCGTAGGGGTCCATCCAGCTCGATTCATTCCCATGCCTCAGACTGGTGGTTGTCCAAAAATCGTCCGCATGTTCGAAAATCGGAGGGAATGCACGCATCGAAGACTCCTGAGGTTCGTGAACATCATGGTTTTGAGCGCCATGGCCATCGACTGCACTAAGCAGTGGCCGTTCCTCTTCTGGTATAAGTGAGGTGCCGTCTGGCGTGTCAGAGAAAATAGGCGTGAGGCTGTCCAGGTCGGATGCACTGAGAGAGTTAGGGTGAAAATATCCAGACAACAAATCGGAGGTCGAAGAGTGCGAAGTTCTGTCCCGTCGTCGTTCTGCGACCCGAAGACGCTCTCTGTCCACGCGGAGAACTTCTGGGAGGGCATTGTCATCTGCCTCGTTCTCCCTCGACCATTGAGATGGACCATCAGCGAAGAACTCCTCGAATGCATCGTCGTCGTCATTCCGGGTTAGGTCAGGTATGAGGGAGCTCCTTTGATTAGTGAAATATGGCGGTATAAGTGATTCGCGGGGCGAAAAAGTGGACGGTTCTTCCTGCGTGCGACGCGCCCAAGAGGGCAAGGGGCTACTGGTGCGAGATCCGTCGATGGGTGACGACGAGGACGTAGGTTCAAAATTTTCCAAGGAGCTCTGAAGGGCTAGTCTTGTGCGCCTTGCCTCCGCAGACGCAGCCAAGTACGACGATTGCCGGTCCAATAGCTCTTCTTCAAGACGCTGAAGCACGTTGTTTGGGCCACGATGTTGAGGCTGCGACGATGAGGACTCCGCTACAGCGGGATGAAGAGCTTGTATCAGAAAACTCGTTCATGGCGCACACATATATTACACTGTCATGATTTTGGCAAGAAAATACAGGCGAGACTATTTTCGAACAAAAGGACAATAACGTACCATCGCGGTCTGCAGACGTCAAGGGCCCAAACGCAGGAGAGTTGTCAAGCCTTCGACGCATAGCCTCCATGAAGGAGTCTCGAGGAGGCAAATTGAGCTCTCCGTTCGGAACCGGTGGTCTCTGCAACCTTTGGCTGCGTGCGCGAAAGCGCAGAATACTATTGTCCATCGCGGCCGGAGGACGTCTAGCGTCTGTTTCTGGAGGGCGGGGGTAAAGCCCAGAGTGTCCACGGATTTGAGCTCGATCAGGTGTTGGACGGGATGCGTTCGTCTCATCGTCATCAACAAGAAGACTGAGAGGTGGGAGTGTCGGTGGCGGTGTCATTGAGCGTGTTGGGGCGGTAGTGGGAGCTCGACGAAGGGTGGACATTTCACTCTCGAATGTGTTAAATCTCTCCATGGAAACCCTGAATTGTTCTCTGAATGTGACCGACGAGGCAGCGGGCAGTGAGGAGGTCGACGAAGCCGGAGGCTGTTCGGCAGTAGGCGAAGCATCGTGCATGAACACATCTTCTGAAAGTCTCGTGGGAAGCGTGATGTCGAGAGCAGGTGCTGTAGACGCCGGAATGGGCAAAGCACTCGAAGAAGTAACAGTCGTCTCGGGCACGTTGCTTGCTTGTCCTTGGGTAGACGGCAAGTTCGGGACTAACGCTTCGTTCGCTGTTCTGAAAGACTGTGCAGAGTCTGAGGAGCTTGTGCCACTAGCAGAGCCACTCCTTGCGCGTTTGTTTCTGTCACCATTGGTCTCAGTCGAAGAGCTGGAGCTGGCCTGTGTGCTGCTGCCGCTGGCAACGGACGATGGATCGACTGGGCTCTCTAGATCAAAGCCAAACTGGTCAAAAGAACGCTTGAAAGATGTCGTATTGCCTGGGAGAGATATCTGAAGCTGAGGGGGGTCGCCATTAGTAGGCATGGTGGTCGTTGGAAGCAAGAGGCGCGAGCGTGATCGATGTTGCCTTTCGCGCCTAGAAATGGTCCTAAACAGGAAAGCACGTAGTCAGCGCTTGAAGCGTGGCGGTGCCTCTACGCCACCTGAGACACTTCGAGTCCGAATCAGTCACGCCACTCGACACTACTCAAAACCGAGTCCTCGCTGGTACAGCTGAATTTCCACATCTCAAACATCGAACTCTGACAAGCTAGAGGCTAATATACAAGGACTAAACTACAGCAGACATTCCCGGTCCAGCAGAATCTCGTCCGTCTTCGAGAACATCCCCAGTACCTTCGCACAACGATCTTCTGCATCCCCATCCCTCTCAGCTCTATCATTTCGAGTCAGACCACTAGCAGGCCTAAATCCATGACGGACCCATCGGAAAAGGGCACCGTTAATGTACTGCGTCAAAGAGTAGCGAGTTTCTCCGGGACCAATGGCAGTATTGCCGTGGCTCACTGTGGCGGAAGGAAGAATGGCAGTACATCCGGGCGGGAACTCGATGATGAGTTTGAAGTCGTAGAGGACAAGGTGTGCGCCTTTTCGGAAGTCAAAGTGGCCACCATTAGTTATGGCGCACCACACGTGTGCGTCATTTTGTGAGTCTACGTGCTTGAAGGTAGAAGATGCAGGTCCCATGTTGGCAGTGAAAGTCGTGTAGACGGAGTGTGAGAAGGGCCGCTGGAGATCTTGATGGTGAGCTAAAAGCTCGTCAACCTGATCTGCACAGTGCGCATAGAGCTTTGGTGCATTATATCGGAACAAGGCTACCATGATTGAGTACATGAGGCGGAAAGAATGCATATCAAAGTAACACACCATCCTGGTGTCCGACTACGCGACGGACAGCCTCGCTATTCTTCAACTCTTCCACTATAGCTGGGTGCCGTTCACGAAGATTACCAGGAATCTATAAGTAATAGTAGATGTTAGCCATTTGTAGTGTGGTACGAAATGTGGGGACTGAGTGACGAACCTTTCGCCCATTGCCGTGCGTGATACCAGAGGACACAAGTGTATAATTTCCACGACGATGGTGCGTCTCTCCCCGCAAGAAGGACACATCCTCTTCACGGCGCAAACGTTCCATCAACGAGGACATGTCTTCGATTGCTGTATCCCATGATGGAGAACTCGCGTTTCGTGGAGCAGGACCTGTAAATATACCAGCGAGAAGGGTACCGTCGGGATCGACAACCCCGAGAGACGTGCTGAAGAGGCAGGCAGTGATATTGAACGATAGGAACACAAGGAGTTGGAGAAAAAGAAACATACCTTCCATCGTTGGGAATGTAGCGATAGCCCGGGCGTGACATGAGCGAGGCCAGAGTGGGGAGTGACTTCTCCGCCGGCCGGTGGCATCCAATGTCACCTCCAGGAGCGATAGAGATGTCGGCGACTTTGAAATCAGTGAGGACGATGACGGCGCCGTACCCAGAATTTCTCTTCGAGATCTGAGACTTGGTCTTGCGATTGACTCGGGCTGAGTGCTTGGCCATCTTCAGGTCGTGTACTTCCTTGCGATGGCCACGGAATCTAGCCTTGCGTTTATCCCGGCGACTCTGGACTTCATGCTGCACGAGACGGGCAGATGTTTGCCGCAGGAGAGTTTTGGTAGTGTTGGAGACTGGCTGAGAAGAGGAAGCATGAATGATGTCGGCTTCAGCAGGAGTAGACGATGGAGTTTCAAACTGCGAATCGCCTGGACCGAATTCTGGTGACTCAAACGAAAGGGGGGTGAGGGGGGACGGTGCATTGTAGATGGCCTCGACACGTCTGGTACGGTCGTCGTTGACTTTGATCGTATCCAGGAGTAGAGGGGCGATATTGAGCGAAGTTTCAACAAAATGTTCGAGGCGAGCGAAGTTGCGGCCGGTCCGTGTCTACAGGTGGGGATATCGTTTGTATTAGTATGCAAAGAAATACGAAAACGGGAAAAAAGCAGTAGAGGATTGATACTGAAGGATATAAGCTTACTGTGTGGAAATTGTAGGACATGTCGAGAGACAGGAAAACTGTGGGATCTGCCAGGACGGGTATGATCAGTGCAAATATATGGGGAGACAATAGAAAGGGCAAAAAGGTGGCAGGGCACAGGGTATGTCGAAGTGCGACTGCCCAATGCCTTGTCTATGCAGAAGGACGACAAAACACTCACTGGTTAGAAAACTGGAAAGCCGTTCAGTGCTTGTAGTTGCTTGCGCTGCGCGCAGTGGCCGGGACCTGCAAGGACGGGTATGGTCAGTGTAAATATATGTCGAGACAGTAGAAAACGCAAAGAGATGTCAAAGAAAGGGTATGTCGAAGTGCGACTGCCCAATGCCTTGTCCATGAAGAAGGACGATAGAATACTCACTGGTTAGAAAACTGGAAAGCCGTTCAGTGCTTGTAGTTGCTTGCGCAGTGGCCGGGACCTGCAAGGACGGGTATGGTCAGTGTAAATATATCGATGCAGCATAAAACGCCAGAAGTTGGCGGAGCAAAGGGTATGTCGAAGTGCGACTGCCCAAAGCTTTTTTTTATCGAAGGGAAAGGGGGAGGAGAACGACAGAAGACTCACTGGTTAGACGGAGACTGAGAGCAGCAGAGGTAGGGAAAAGGGTGAACGAGCACCCCTCATATATGAATCCATACCCATCAGACCCTGTCCAAAAATTAGGGTATAATTTAGCTCGCGGCGGTGACCGTGTCAATAGGCTCCACTGAGCCCTTACTTACGCCACATAAACTGGCAACAGCGGCAACCGAATTCAATGAGGATCGTCGCTACTGAGCCCGGGCCTCTGCCGAATAGTGTCTATGTTCTGCAGCCTACGTAGCCTATGACTTGTTCCAGGCATTCTGCTATCAGCCCACATGAGTATATGAGCGGCGACAACTCACATACACGATAACAAGTGAGCCTGGCAGGGAGAAGCTGAAAGACCGCACCGTCAAAGCGACACAACATTTTACCTGATCCATCATTGACACTGTTCAATAGGTTTATTCCGCTCTGGGCTTAAATCACTGACCTATGTAGCTTCAGGCCCACCCACTCACCGTGACTTCGAAAGGCATCTAGATCAACTCTATTTCGTTCTAGCTGTTTAGAGATATATATAGAAGCTAAGAACGTGAGCGAGAAGTTGGCGAGAAGGAAGATGCAAATCGGACGTGTCCTCAGGACTCGTAGTCATGGGCATGGTCTACGCAGCGCCCTATGTAAACGACCACGGAAAGACATCCAGTATGGTGGTGCAAAGGCATCCAGTATAGTGGTGCAAAGAGGAAACTCCGCCAGTAAAATATGGTACGCATGGATCCGGATGTAGCATGTGTGGCCCACGTTGCTTCACGCCACCTAGTACATCAGCTCACTCGTGAGCTTCTACTATCTGTGCTATAGTAGCATTTCTCTCGTTTGTGCTTACTCTCGGTTGTTATGAAAGGATACAGCTAGAGCATACAGCAATACTAGGTCCTATTCTATTCGAGCACTCAAGAAGATCTTAACCTACCTGACCGTTCCCGCGCACTGGCATAGACCGATCCAAGAAAATACATAGGAGAGTATAACAATAAATAGCATCTGCAGCCACAGCTAACCGACCATTTTGCCCTCGGTACTGACTCCCACCCATCGCCCCTCCAATTTCCTTGTATCTCTACTCAACAATTCCCACAAACGGATTGAAGTTATAGTCCGTACAACTTTGGCTGACTTCCACTGATCCGTATCCATCCTTGACCGTAGCCCCATTTCTGATGATCTGGATATACGGAATCTGATTATCCTCGGTCGGGAAAGGCACACTTCCCATAGTCACCGCGTTACCGCTTGCCGAAAACTCAGCATGCGAAGAGCCAATATCGAGGGAGATAGTGGCGTCGGAGGCGACCATGGCGAGCGCGAAGACCGAGTCGCCTGGGAAGTTAGCGTTGCGTGGGGCGGAGGTGGTCCCGCCGGTGCAGACGGCAGCTTTGGGGTTCTTGCGGTACCAGAAGACCACTTTGTCTTCCTGTTGGTGTGAACGAGTTATTTCATAGCCTTTACGATGAGTGGGAGACGCATACAGTGATAGTTGGCTGGACACCGTTCTTGTACCAGGAGATGTAATATTCTGCCACGTCTCTCCACGGTGCGTGGTCTTGACCGTCAACGTACGTGATCGTGCCGATGTTGATGTTCGAGAGGACGTCGGCGATGTAGTGCGATTCGCCATAATCGTTCCATGTAATAATTTCAACGATATCGGGTTGAATGTCGACTTTACAAAAAAAAACAATAAGACAATGGTGGAACGGACGTGGAACGGACGTGGAAGGAGAGCGACTCACTGGCCTGTTGCCACCTGTAGTTCCAAAGCGTATCGGAGTACTCAACCCAGTCCTGATCATCCGAAGTGTCCTTGTATTGCCAGGGAGAGACGCCCATGATGTAGGGTCCAGTTCTAGCAGAAATTGCCTGATGATATGCGACGTCTGTGTCGGTCGTCAGGTTTGCAAGAACATCTGCAGGCCTACATATCGGTGCAACAATCAATGTACGGATCTTGATCAACTTTTCAGATCCACTCACCAGGACCACCAGTTGAAGAATCCGTCAATAGAAGGGTACGTGCTCAACAATGAGCTTGCCAACGACGGATCTCTGTAAGTCGTGAAAGCTGGTGCCAACGAGATCGTAATCCCCTGGCTAGCCAAATCGCTCTTGAATCCACTCCAGAAGGAGTCAGTGGCGGTGCTCCCCGAGTCACCAGAGTACGTAGAAACGAGAACGTCGCCGTTCCACAAGTACTGCGCGGAGGAGGACGCGTGTGCCGAGACGATGTTGACCATGTCCGTGACGGACCAGGTGTAAGACATGTCAAAGGACATGAAGAGTTTGAAGTTTAGGGATTCGGCTGCGGCATAGGCGTCCACGAGCTTGTCGGTTTCATAGTCGTTGGCATTCATATTCAAAACTGCATAATTTAAGGAGCCCCGTCAGTTACTTAATATTGAGAGCGGGTAAATGAGTTCGATGCTTACCAAAACCGTCGATTCCAATCGATTGAGCTGTTGACATATCACTCTCCCAGTCGCTCTGTACGAAAGAGTAGGCTTCATCGAGCTGTCATTGTGAGTCAAAATAGCATCAGTATACATAGACCAGAATGAACTTGCATGAACAAGTTCAGAAGAACGCACCATCCAATGAGCAAATACATCCTTCCCATAGGCTGCTCTCGCAACAGAGAGCGCTCCAAGCAGTAAAGTCACGAATGACATGTCGATGCGGTGGAGTGTAGACGGGAAAGGAAGGAGGAATGGACCAATAAGTCCACCAGCTGCTTCGTGGCCGTATTTATACTCCCTGATCATGAGGTCTTAGAGGTCAGATACCCTCCAGGGGCGTCTCCAGAAATGAATGCGAATAGGATCACCGTCCAAGGAGGGGTTTACAAGCTCACAAGACCCATTTTAATATCAGATCCGCCGAGACATCGTCCTTTGGGCTTGAACGCACATCACCAAGGAGGTTTCACTACTTATTTCAGTAGCTTTTGCAGACACGGCGTGCGGATGCATCACCAACATCAAAGTTGGCCATATGCATAGCGCTTTGTCCACATGCAAAGATGGGGTTTCCGCTAGTTTCCGTCGGCCTGTACAGATCAGCTCAATTGCAGAATGTTCCGAGGCATCGGAGAGAAGAATGACTTCGAGTTGACTTCGTTTTAGAGGGCAGCGAACGAGCGATCTTTCTTTCCTGGCTGAGGGCTTGAACTTCAAGTCAACTTTAGAACACATGCATATGGTCAACATCATACGACCTTGATCATCTAGACGGCAGGTGTTGTGTATCAAAGGGGGAAACGTCGGCAGGCATAAGAAAAGAACATAAGGGGTCTTGAGTGTAAGAACCAAGAGACCATCGTGGTGCAAGCAAAAGGCGAACGTTCAGGTTCGTGTGTCGGCCGCCGTGGCTTTTGGCCTTTCACAGTTTCATGCTCCGCGACGGCTGTTGCCGAGTGGTAATCCTCTCGCCCGAGCTCGCACGGAAGACAAGGGGGCGTGCGTTGTACTCTATCCATCTCACAAACCGAAGTATTGTGCCGGTCATAAAGACAGCTTTCGCTTTCGAAGATTGCGAATTTGCAGCCTGCGTAGAACAGTGGAGAACCAGCGATATCTTTCACAACACCATTGAAAGTAAGATGTCGATCAGAAGGTTTCCAACTCATGAAGTTCAATGAAGGAAAGCTATGGTGCAAAGCATGCATGAGAACGGCGCAACAGAATACAAGAAGCCGTAACGGACATCGTAACTTTTTGATGGAACGGCGAGGAAAGGAAAGGTCTACAGTACAAGCCTGTTATCGCATGAATATTCTACGTGAACACAGGAGGCGAGTGTAACAGAGAGGAAGAAAGTATGGGGGCATGGAAGCAATGAGAAGTGTTGAAGGTCACGGTGACGAACATGACTGTACTACACGGTCAAATCAATGGTGCAGATTCGGTCAGAACAGACATCAGACCAGGAGACGAGGGGAGATGATCTTACACCACTGAACGCCGCGCTTGTGCCTACGTACGAGCCTCGATCTCCCTGTAAATCCACTGAAACGCGACATCTAGCCACTGGACCTCAGGAACTCCCGCCTCACGACACTTATCCCCAACGCTCCCCATCCATGTTTTCATGAGCTCATCACTGGCTACGCCACCCTCGATCAAAACCGACATATCAGGGAAGGCCACAGTCTCGAATACGTCGGATGCTCTCCATTGGTCGACAGGGGCCGCTATGGCGCTACGAGAGCGCTACGAGAGAAGATGGCGGTACCAGCCGCAAGCTCGGAGAGATTGAGGAAAGCGACGGCGGGCCACGCGGATTTGGCGGTCATGGTGATAGACTGGACGATGGAGAAGAGGCCGCGGGTGTAGGCCCCATATAAGGTGGATTGGATGAGCGCGGCCCATGATCCTGAACATAAAAAGTAGCAAGTAAGAATCACGCTACAAATAGTCGAATAAAGACACAAGGACTGACCTGCGACAGGGCCTAATTCGGAGAATCCAAGCATCCGTAGTAGTCCCAGCGCGGCTTGGCCGAGTATAAAGTTGCCCACGAAAATGCTGGCTCCGATGACGGCCACGATGGCCCCCGCAGCGATGTACGGATGTTCCACCCTGAACGAGTTCCATTGGACAATGGCATTGTGGACTTCGCTCGGGAGAGTGGCCATCAGGCAGTAGACAAAGTCTGTGACTGACTTGAGCATCTCCGTGAGTAGAGCCGTTACTTTCTCGATGACAGCCTCCAGGGCGCGACGGAGGTCACCGAGTGTGGGCCAGATGGCAAGATCGTCCGTAGGGCGTTTGTTGAGGCATTGAGTGTCGTATGAAGGATTGGTGATGTCGGAAAGGACGAATTGAGCGTCCACTGGCGTTCTTGACTGGTGCTCAACGTCATGGTCGTAGGGCATACGAATGTCAGAAATAGATTCGGCGTATCCCGTGGAGTAGGACTTGTGCTCCCGAACTTCAAAATATTGTCAACTCAATTGCTTAGATTAATGAGTGAATGCAAGAACGTACGAGCTTTGGAGGTTTCTGCATAAAAGGAACCAATGAGTACGAGCACGATGATGAGAGTTTAGGACGATGACCAGTCGGATTCCCACCAGAGATACGCGTAGTCTCGTCTTTGAACCATTCCCAGGTAGCGCCACCGAAACTCATCCCATCCCCAGCGCTCGCTACCTGCTGAACTGCAGCCACACGCTTCTCCATCACATCCTGTAGTTCCGGGACGTCTGCCAGCCCCGTCCCAATAGCGTACGACACCTGTTGGTCACCAGGGATGTTTTCATCCCGAAACCAGTCTTCCATGTCCTTGAACCACGCATCTCGGTTGTCATCCTCGAACTTTATAGCCCTCACCCGCTGAACGCGATAATCGCGAGCATGGGAGGGACAATACAGCCACCGCTCTGAGAGAAGCAGCGCATGTCAGGGAAGGGGGTCGTCGTTGTACGAGTACAAGGAGCGGCGTCCTCCTGTTGCTTCTTCAAGCGCTTATAAGGCTGCGGCTTCCGCCGTCTTTCATTTCGGGGTTGCGCCGAACCTTATAGGGCCCAGCATAAAAGTTCGTCTGAACAGTCTATTGACCATTCCGAGAGTGCAACAGGGGGCAAGTACAACGGGCTCCTCACGATAATGAAGCTAGTCGAACCCGCACGCTTGTCGCAGAGCCTGCCACAGTCTCTGGTGAATATTTAGGACTGGAGCTCGACATCCTTCTCCTTCGAAACTTTCTGAACCGCGATTTCCTCGACTTGACACTCTGGATGACGAGGGTGGCGCAGTCATGTCAGCCGCGCAACCTACATCCAGGTTTCATGACAGCCCGCCACTTTTTGAGGATTCATACTGCAAGAATCACTAACAAGGTAGCGAAACTAAACTGCGGTGGAGCCGGGCGCGTTCGACTGCCAGTGATATTGGGATGCCGCTGGCAGCCGAACACGCCTCCAGGCATTCATGGCTGATGAAATCGACCATATCATATACAGGAATAGCACACGGTCAATTGAGCTCAAAATCTGAGTGGACATATCTCCCAAGAGAAGGATTGTGGTCCAAGGTGCGGAACCCTTGTCATGATAACGGGATGAGCAGAATATCGACAAAGATTGTCATAAGCGACTCGTCGCAGAACATATGGGCGTCGGAAGATGCTTACCTAGAAAGCAAACTGTGTATACACTCGTTGCCCCAATCTAATGTTATGTTTCGTAGTAGTCTGCCACAGCCAACCTATAAAGCTTGATGGTGAGATTCGAGGCGATTACAGACTGGAATGACCTACAATTCTAAAGCGATCTCCGGCATGATGCGCTCGAAGAAATCCGGAATATCTTCTTTGGGGCCTGCACTCTCGTAGGTCGTCTTGTAAGACAGATACTCGACCAGCTTTTCCGCCACAGGTGCTCTGTCCGATAGAGGGCATTATGTTTGTATCTCGAAACGAGGAGAAACACTACATCCTACCGTGCGTTCACCTCGCAGGTCTTGGATGCCGCTTCACTGAAGCCTGTGAAGAGAGTCAGAATAGATGATCATGCCGATGTGAGAGTATGTAGTGCTGCTAGGACCCTGCACGTACTATCGTCACTCAACATATTCTTGAGAGTGCCACTGCGAAGGGCCACTTTTCGTTTCACCAAGAAAGAATAGCCATCTGGAGAGTGCACACGAACCCACTCTTCATCCCTATTCTTCGCATCTGTTTGCTGGAATGCGTTTGATAAGATCAATTCTCAGATGGGCTTTCGAAAGTACACACCTGCGTCGCGGACATGATAGTGAGGAGCAAGACTCGACGCGTCGCGGCCTGTGATTATATTCGCGTGTCTGACGTAAGCCTGGCTTCTGGGATCCCGTTGGCCCTCATCTGGGTGACTCTCAACCCGCTCTCCTTGTCTCTTCTCCCTTGATCTCTTCTCTGCTGCTCGACGCCTTATCGAACTCACGCGAGTACCTCCATACGGTCTACGGATCCATTACGATCTTACGCGACTAAGACAAACACAGAACAGTACGAGCACACGATACGATGTCTCTCCCCAAGGTGCGTCTGCGGTGTCTCTAATACATCCACAATCTCTGTACTCATCTCACCCTTTCTATACACATTCCAATTGCATAGCGAATTATTAAGGTATGTGGGCCGCTTGTGACCTTGCCTAACCTCGCTGACGCATAGCTTTCGCCTGTGGCGCTTCACGCCGACTCATCACGATTTCTCTACGCCTTGGTGGCGATTGCAAACATATCCAGGAAACAGAACGTCTGGTCGCGGACCCTGCTCCTGGCATCTCTGCAGCACCTCACGATGACAACCTGCGTTACTTCGATGTGTCTATCCAAGGGCCTGATGGAAGCCCTTTTGCTAGTGCGTATCTCTTCCACACGATTGAAGGGCCCCTGCGGATATCAGCCTCTGCTCTTCAATGTTCACTTCAATCCCTCTTCTTGTCGCCACCTTGAATATCGGACTGAATCCTCTTCCCCCGAATTCAATTCATGTGCGACGATATCCCAGACGGCATCTTCAAGCTCGAGCTCTTCCTGCCCGAAGAGTACCCCATGGCGCCACCCAAGGTCCGCTTCCTGACCAAGATCTACCACCCCAACATCGGTCTGTCTCCGAATCTTTCGCTGTTTACGGATACTGCCCTGTTATCTCGAGTGGGCAACTGACTTGGACGTCCAATAGATAAACTCGGACGAATTTGTTTGGACATTCTCAAAGGTACGCCCTTTATCACAACGCTAGTTGTCATTCTCTTCTGACTCTCTCGAAACATCTACATTCTTTTGCGACTCCTTTTATCAATACACTGTTTCTGTCTCATCGATCTTGCGTCCATTCGACTTCGCCAGACAAATGGTCACCCGCTCTACAAATCCGCACTGTCCTCCTCTCCATCCAGGCTCTCCTCAGCGCTCCCAACCCTGACGATCCGCTCGCAACTGATGTGGCGAAACACTACAAGGAGGACGAGAAGGATGCGCAGAGAGTCAGCAAGGAATGGACGGAGAAGTACGCGACTGCGTAGATGGTGGCGATTCGTAGTTGGCGAGTGGACGAGCGAACGGGGGTGTTCCGTTTACTGTGACGGTGGTGGACACGATGTCTTTGGTGGGCGGCTCAAGGGCTCTAGATTCGGTTGTGATGGTACATGTAGGGTATGTCTTGATGGTGGGTGTGCGTGTTGGATTATGGCTTGATTTCAATTCCGAACAGAGGTGTACGCTTGTTATTTTACACATATTCCCTTTCGACTACAGGATGAATCGTAACAATGAGGATTTGAAAATCGAATGTAAATCACACTCAAGTGGTTCCCCACTGTTTCCAGTAGATGACTGGCACTGCATACTTGTCGACCGAGCTACGTCGATAGGAAAGACGACGCGCAGACAAAAGTGTGGCAAGTTCTCCACATTGAAGATATTCCAGGGCGCGATCGCTTTAGGCTTCTTTTAGTTCAATTGCCGTAAAGGCTTTTTTGTCTTCTCGAGAATATCCAATTTTTATTGTTCAGCCAGAGATAGGCCCTAGGGGCCAGTGCCTACTGAAAGATTTATTGTGTTGTTGGAGCGTGGTGCCACCGGCGCCACGGTGACACAAGTTCTGGGTCCGACCGGCAATGCCGGCTTTTGCCGACCAGCCCTGACACTAACCGTGACACACCTGACACGCTTGACACCGCCTCACTACCAACCAAATTGAAGGCGAGCCCTCGTCAAGGACGACTTCGAGGTATACCGCGAAATCCACACTCTTCCAGGCCAGATGGCCAACCCTCATTCAGGATCCTCTGTGCGTAACCTTTCTCTTTTGAAGCGAATCCGTTTTACTTTACTTCGTGCGGCAGCGACAGCAGTTTTTTCACGGGGCTTTGCGCGATCAGACACGAAACTTACCCCGCCGGCGTCCATCACGACTCAACATTGATGTGCAGCCACTTCGGTCTATCCGTCGATGTTGAGGTTACAGACTCGCGGTGGACAAGCGTGCCCTTTGTGTTTGAGCGAGAGCATCGAGAACAAAGCGCATTCCAATTTGAAATTTATCGGGGACGGCCTCATTTTCAGCCTGTTCGGATTTATCCCGATTGGGGTTTCGACGTGTCGACACACGCCCAGCCGCGCGTTTGTGTCCTTGGGCCCTCGAGCTAGCCTTCGAGAAGTTTGAAATGCTTGCGCGTTGTCGCCGAGGAGCTTTTCATTCCAGCGGGGTGCCATATGTCATCGTTCGGGCTGCGGGTATGCCCCTTGACGCGGGTACATAAAGCTTAATGGGCCGCTGTCGATGCTCCACAAACGCTACTCTTCTTGAATCTATCCGCGCCGCACCCCTTTCACCTGCTTCCACTCGCAATCGTCTTACTAAATGTCCTTCCAGGCTGCCGATGATCGCTCTAAGCGCCCTACCGTCCTTTTAGCACTCGAAGAATATGGTAGTGGTTCGGAAGACGAGGAAGACCCTGGACCTATTGCACCTCCCGTGTATGCTCTTTTTTTGCTCTTCGTTTATTCACCGGTGATAGTCACTTACAAATAATCAAAGGTCGTCTAGTCCAGCGAAAGAAGCGGAGAAGTCGCCTTCCCCTGTGGCACCCCAGCCCAATGTCGGTCAAATTTCAAACGCTGATCGCAACGAAGATAACCAGTCAGTTGCTTTCTTTTTCTCAGTTGTCAACTCTGTCAACTCATCATGCGAATTCACTTTCTGCGTGGTGCAAAGGCAAGCCAATCAACCTATGAAACGAGAACAAACCCCCAGTCTTCCCCTCGAGCCCGAACGAGAACAGAGGTCAGTTCAAATAACGATTCCACTTTACGCATCAGATACTTATATTCCTTCTCCAGCCTGCCTCATCCGAACGATGTCGGCATGCCAATCAATCCGGATCTTCAGGACAAGCCTATGTTCAACTACGTTACTCCCGTTCCTCGAGCAGGCAGCGTCGACTATCCCATGGCTGACTCCACCAGCAGGGATAGTCCACTCACGTCCGGTTCCCGACAAAGCAGCATTGTCCCTGTGAGCCGGTCCATGCCACCCACGTCATACCCACACGACGGCGTGATCCACGACATAGAGGCAGCTTCGAAGGAGATGCCCTGCAAGTGGTACGGCTGCGGCATGCCCATCTACGACACCCACACTTCGATCCACCAACACCTTTCGAACCACCACGGGATCAAAGGGAACGTCACAAAGGTCCCCTGTCTTTGGATCAACGATAACTCAAAGATGGAGGTGTGCGGGGGAGCGTACGACGGCCACAGCCTTGCTCGCCACCTCGAATCGCAGTGCCACATCACGGGCACCGATCGCCACACGGGGGAGTTCATCTGTGCAGCCTGCGGTACACGCTATCGGCGAAGGACTTCTTGTACTCGGCATTATGCCACGGCCCATTTGGTCTGCCCTTATCGGAACTGCAGAACACGGTTTAAGACCATCCAGGAAGTAGAGGCATGCGCGGCGACGCATGGCTCACCCAACGATTGGGAAAAGCCACCCGCGAATAAGCCAAGGTATTATCGCACACTCGAGGAGGCAAACGCAGCGATTGCAGCAGCCAACGCCTCACCGTCTACGCAGACGCAGCCACAGCGTCATGTTTGGGACAACTACGACGAGGAGCCGGACGTGCAGAAATGAAGTACGTTCTCTTGCCTGTTTCTTTTTCTGCGAAAATTTTACGGACTCAGTGCTGACGCGTGCCTTTGTGAAGGATGCGTTTATTCTTGATAACAACCAATCACGTCCCATTATTCGCTGTAGACGGGCGCCTACGTTTTCCTCTGTTTATCCTTTTCTTTGACTCCTTCGCCGTGTCCCACCTTTCGTCTTCTCCGCCTAGGACAAGGCCTCGATCGCTTAATAACCCTCTTTGTCTTCGTCTCCGCGTTTATAGTTTATGTGCTACGGATGTATGATGTATGAGGGGAATCCCACGTATGGCCCAGCAACACGTTCGATTTTCCCGACATTGTCACCGCAATGCCATAATGCGTACAATACATGAGTTAGTGAGGGCACCAACAGGATCCTCTTTGGCTGAAGCGGTATGACATATAGTTTCAGACTTCGCCGGATGGTGGAGGAGGCTTTCTCGCCAAAGGAAGATCGGGTGCAAATCTCGACTTTGCCCGAAGTGTGACGCCGTACCTTGAGATATCGCCATAGGGTCAGAGTCATTCGGTGCGGAATAGTAATCGTTATGGGCTGGAATAAAATGAGAACGTTCATACCGAGCAAGGAGGAAAGGGATGGGGATCATCACCATCGCGAGGAACCCGAGGAGAGTGGAAGCTCATCGTGGGTTCAACTTCTCGTACATCTGCGTGGCGAACAGCTGGGCGCAACAGGGCTCGTTAGTATCGTTGCCAGTTAAAACACAATGGAGGGGTAATGTGCCGTTTGCGTACTGGGAATGCCGCGCCGAAAAGACTACGGACGAATGTGGCGAGCGCTGATGCCGCCACAGAGAGATAGGTGTCGATGATGTAACTGAACAAAGGCAGCTAATCAATGATCAACGAATCATAGACGGGATCAGTTATGCACTTATGTATGGAGAGAACGAACGTACCGAGATGAGAAAAATAGACATGCCAATCAACCCACCCGCCACGAGTGGCGACCAGAATGATATTGAAGGGTAGGATCTGTGGAAAATGCATGAATTGAGGCGAGACGAATAAGAGTGCGGTGCAATGATCGCTTACGTCCAACCAGACCAGAAAAACCCGACTGAGAATAGGGGTGCTCCCCACATAGCCATCTCCAAACGCTTTTCGGGAGGGACGAGGTTTGGAGCATATTCAGTGATGTAACGCTCGTATCGTGGTTCGAACACGATGAGGTACTGGTTATCAGGATAATGGTCAACTCAGCTTTGACTTCAGTAGGAAAGAGATAAAAGACTAGGACGCACAACAATCGCTCCACAGGCGGCGCCGATAGAGATGGGGAGGAAGGCCAAACCAGATACACCTATGGAGAGACAAGCGTCAGGGCAACGTGCATATAACGTGAACGACAGCACACCTGCATCCAGATGGTGGTCTTGTGTGAACACTATGGGGTAGGCTTCGAAGAGTAGATAGATTGTTCCGAACATGAACTACGACAAACAGGTAAGCGTCAGGCTGAACTTTTGGCCCACTTTGGTCAAGAACGTACACTCATGTAAAGAGCCGTCGCCATCATCATTGGTTCCAGAAAGAGTAACTTGAACGGTTTAGACAGAGTTGACTCCACACGTTGTCCCAAGGGTAGCGTATTTGCTTCCATGGGTGCATAGTATCTATCGTCCTTGGTAGACTGGCGGAGTTTGTGCGCTTTGGTGGCGAGAAGGACAGGGCTGAGTGGCTGCTTGTCAGATTGGATCGGTGAAGGGTTGTTCTAGGACTCGATGGGCGTACATATATGTCTCTGGCATCGTGAACGCCACCACAGCGAGACAGACCCCTGCCTATACAGGAATTAGCAAACACGCGCACGAAGATAACACACGCTGCGTCCTCACGAAGATAGTCAAAACCCAAAAGATCCAGCCGGCAACCACGGGCCCTAAGGATGGGCCTGCATATGGAGCGACAGCAAACATGACCATAGCTTTCCCGCGAACCTTGGCGTCCCATATGTCGCCAATAAGACCTCTGGCAAAATTATCGAATCAGTTCGTCAAAGAAAATAGAGAGGAATACAGCGGCATACCTCACAGGCGCACGGTTTGGAAACATCGATTTCGGACGACAGATCGCGTATCATAGTCATCAACGAGGGTCGTTAACTCCTTCGTACTAGAGGAGGATGAATATGAAGAACTTGGAGAGGATGAATAAGAAGGAGGTAAGTACATAGGAGTTTTCGAACTTGTATCCGCAGTTAATAGCCTAGGCTGGCATGCTCTTTGGGGTTTCGCAGTTCCAACGGCGGTGCAGTGATGTGCGATACTAGTAGGTTGTCACTTACTTGTCACTTACTAGTCTTTTCCTACGTATGAACAATGGTTGCATGCATGGATTTTGGAGATTCGAACCCTCGAACACGCCAATGCGTGGACGAGTTGTATGAGCAGGTAAGAGTGCAGGTGTGCCACAGGCTCAGACCGGCGCCCTTCCAACATTTCGCGGACTTTAATTTCGGCAACTATGCACGTGATCGCGTTGTGGGCGCCGGATTATCGCGTTGGGGCAACCGCCGCGTTCGTTACCTGTCAGAGACGGTGACCTCGAGCTCCTCCCTTTTCCTCTCTTCAATGCAAGGACCTCCAGCTGGTACGTTTTCAAAATTTACGCGTCTTTATTGTCTCAAGACATCGGTCGGCGAGCTGCCTGGCCAGCCAATGTGAATGAGACTGCCTAGGCTCCGACGCGGCGGCGAAGCCAAGCAGCTCACCGACAGTGCTTGCAATTGTGGTGCATGCCAGGGCGCGGTCGACTCCTTCTTGGTATCTCTTTAGGCTGACTCTTCTTGTTTTTATTTTTCATGTCGTTCTTTCCTGAAATGCGCGGTTTATCCAAGTTTTATCGCAGTTGATGTGTCTAGGTCCTGGTACAAATGTTCAGGTGGTTAGTCATAGCTTTTGTCTTATTTCGCCCTCTCTTTCGTCTCTCCGCTCTGTATCTCTCGCGCCTCGTCGACCTTGTTCCGTTTGCAGTGACCGACCGTAGTAAGTATGAATCTGTGACACGTCAATATGCTTATTATTCTCGTCTGCTTTGCTCAGACTTTTGTTCGACCATGTCATCCTGAAGACTGCACAGATGATTAGATTGGTATTATTCTCATGCTGGGAACGTCTCGAATCTGGGCATGAGAGAGCAGCCTGAGCGAGTGTACCCGTGCCGGTTCAGCGGTAGAACATGCGACCGTATGCAACGAAAGGGATGGTCGATCAAGCAGGCTTTGTTTCTGCGAATGATTCCCAGCCATCTTTCAAGTTCAGGTTCCTCGCTACGGTGAGCAATGGACTTACTATCTTGGCCACCCATGTAAGATGGTGGACGAGCAGAGTAGAGCAGAAAATATTAAGGTAGTGTCAGGCCACAAATGTCTCTACGAGCGTTGTGGCGTGCGAGCCTGGGGCCAAGCCGGGGAAAAGTGAGCCCCTATTCTCGACCGAGTCCTGGTTCCTGCGAGTGACGTCGCCATTGTCGTTCCTTGTTCTCTTCCCTCTCACAGCTTTTTCTTGTTTTCGTTCCTCTTTCAATCTAAACATAACTCACAAATGACATCGCTAATTTGCACTCTAGCAACTCTCTCCTGCCCCTTGACCGAACTCAGAAGGTGACGCATCGCCTCGCCCTCCTCTCGCGTTCCGTTCCGTTCCCGCCAATCCTTTCGTCTTCCAGGCCGCGCCAGTCCATGACAGGTACCCCAGGTACTGTCCTGGTCTAAGTCTGATCCACAGCCTCCTTTTCATAACCGACGTCAACGCACACACGCTCCACGATCTTTGCGCCAAGACGCTATCTGGTATCCTGTTGTCCTCATCCACGCGCAATCCGGTAATTACCTCCATTCATGCATTGACAGGAACGTTCGTGCTACGCCCTCCTGAATCAGTATAAAGATCCGAGGGTACCATCATAGTCTCTCCACCCCGTTCGCCCCCACGAACAGCCCACTTACTCCCAACGCTCAACGCCCAACTCTCATATCCTCCTCTCCCCTCCTCTTCCTCTCTACAAATCATGTCATACGGGCGCGACAACGACAACTCCTACGGCGGCGGAAACGACTCGTATGGCGGAAACAACAACTCCAACTCCAACTCCAATTCCAACTCGTACGGTAGCTCTGGAGGGATAGGCAGCGGCGGTCGCGACGAGTCCGACTCGTATGGCTCGGGCGGCGCGGGGAACAACAACACCTATGGGTCTGGTGGAGGGAGAGATGGGGCCGGTGAAGGCTATGGTTCGTCGAGGAACGAGTCCGACTCGTACGGGTCTGGTGGAGGCGGAAGGGGTGGGAACAACAACGATAACTCCAACTCGTACGGCTCGTCGGGTGGCAACGATAATACCTACGGCGCTTCCACCAACCGCGACCGTGACGATAATACCAATACCTACGGCTCCTCGAACAACGACTCGTACAGTTCTTCCACTGGCAACCGCGACCGGAACGACAACAACAACAGCTCGTACGGTTCCAACTCCAACGATAAAGACTCGTATGGGTCTTCCAACAACAACAACAACAACGACGACGACGACTCGTACGGCTCCTCTAATAAGACTGCCCACGGTTCCTCCAACACCGACTCGTACGGCTCTTCCACCAACAACTCCAGCTCGTACGGATCCAATGACAACTCCAACTCGTACGGGTCTTCCAACAAGACCTCTCACGGCTCCTCCACCAATGACAGCAACAACAGCAACTCCTACGGCTCTTCCTCCGATAAGAACAGCAGCGACTCCTACGGTTCTTCTAACAACAACTCGGGTACCGCTGGCACGCACCAATCGAGCGGCAAGAGCGGAGACTGGGCGGATAAAGGTGTTGCGTACGCCGCAAAGAAGGTGGGATATAACATCGTGCGTAGGCTTTTCTCTACATGTGACGTTTCGCGTTGCCCCTTTCTTTCCGTTGGTACGGGTATTATGAGTGTGTGGCGCCACACGCCCCTGTGGCGTAGCTTGACACTCGTCACCGGCTTATAAATTTCTTCTTCTTCTTTCACCTCGGCTCTTCGCGATATGCTACAACTACTGACATTTATTCTTATTCTCCAGGACGAAAACACAGCCGACAAGGTCGGCGACCAGCTCGAGGCGGGGTTGAAGAAGTTCGGAGGCGGCAGTTTCTGATTCTATCACGGACGGATTCTGATCTTGTCGTGGACGCGCGGACTGGTGGCTGTCGTGATGAGGGAGCTTCGATTGATGAAAGGACGGGGGTCGGATGGATGGATGAAGGAATGAACGAACGGATGGATGAGGAGGTTCGTGCAGCGGAGACAGTATCAACGGTCGAGGGCTCCGGACCCGCGGACTCCGAACGAAGTATACGAGTTATTTGTACTACTGTACAATATACTGGGCCTATATCATTAACTGTAACGTTGTACGAAAACAATCTGAATCTCAACCCGACTGCGAACGGTCGCAGGCCCAACAAATTGCCACGCGCTAGCTTCGAATCGCTTACAGCAAAGGCACTCACAGAAAAATCATCAGCAAGCCATACACTGGGAAGTCGAGTTACATGTCGCTATTCACCCAGCGGCATGCATCCGAGTTATATCTCATGTTATGATCCTTTCGCTCGAGTCTAAGGCCGCCCGTACGTGCCCTTGTTGCGCCTTGAGTGCAACGGAACCAACGATCACTCGGGGCTCGGAGATCATGTAAGGGCATATATGTATATTCAAAAAATAAAAGGATGTAGCGGCATACAAAGGCATATCCATGTTGTGGAAAATGAAGAAGCATACGAAGTGCGACTGGTACTCATAGCGTAGGAGAAGGAATGACGAGAAGAAGAAACAGAGAAGGGCTCAACCATCCGCGATAATACCAGCCAACCACGACGACGAGCAGTAGAAAGAAGATAGATCCGACTCTAGGCAGTAGCGCTCCCCTCCATTCTCCCCAACGGACGGACGGGCTCGTTCTGGGCGGTGGTCGCAAACCGCCAAGACGGGCCAAGGTGCTTTTCGAACGGCTTATTCAACATCAAAGCTGGAACCTGGCCGGGACAGTTCAAGCGTCTGTGCATCTCAGATACGAACCAGGCGGGAGGCTGGGCCGATCCTGCGAGTGAAAAACCACAGATGGTATGGGGGAAATTCTCCTCTGTGAGCTCTGGTGGCAGAACGGACGGGTCATAGGTGTTGTTCGAATCGATGTCTTCTGCGTTCCGCATCTCCTTAAGACATTCGAGGATCTCCTTGCCCTCCTTGACGAGCCACTTCCTCTTCTTTGATGAACCCTGAATATTTTGAACGAAGGTAAGAAAAATTTTGACGAGCGGGAACGAGAACAAGAGCGAAAATGAAGACGAAATGAATGCGCACCTTGGTTCTGTAGTATCTTCTGGGATTGTTAGCTCGCAGAGCCTTCGTCAACATTTCCGGCCGAAATTCGCCATCCTTCCCGGCGGAGAGCTTGGCTTGGTCCACGACCATGATATAGTGCTTGCTCCCTAAGACCTTGTACCACCTGATGTGATCTCCGCCATGATAAATGTCGGGATTGACGATGCATGTTGCCCCACCATCATCCAAATGCTTGAGGAATTCCTTGGGGGAGTTTACCTTATAGCCCATCTGGGGGGAAGGTCCGAAACCGGGACCAGCTTGGGTGGCGCGCCACTTGCCATCTGGCCCTTTAAACATAGCGACGAGCTGGACTCGAAGATTCGCCAGAAACGCAACTTCCTTGTGAAATTGATAGAGGTTTCCTAATCTCGTGAACTTATTCCGGTGGCCGTGAACTTTAGCAGCCACGTATGAGATCTGGGGTTCGTAGGCGAAGCCGTTCATGCTGTTGTTGAGTCCAAGACGCATGCCTTGCAACAGGGTGTCAGCCACCTTCTCGGGGTACCTGGCCATTACCGCGCTAATGGTCAAGAGTTCGGTAAGATACGCAGCGCCTGCCCCAGAGGGATCTTTGGCGTCGGTGGCGGCGTTGCCGTTGTCGTCGTCATCGTCACTGTCGTCGTCATCGTCACTGTCGTCATCGTCACTGTCATCGTTATCGTCAATGTCGTCGCTGTCGTTGTCGATGTCGTTGTCTCCGTCGGCACCGTCGTCGGGGGCAGCATTGTTGGTGGAGATCACTGGCCCTTCGGGGACAACGCGGGGGGAGATGCTCTTGGCGACGGTGAGATGGCCAATGCCGACCTCGATTAACTTCCTCTGATTGCCGTCCAGTGCAGTATACAGACCTTGCATAAGAAAGCGTGTCACCATCTCGAAAACACGACGTTTGGTGTCTAGGACGCACACAGTGATAAGTTCGTAAAGATGCAGGATTTCAATCGACGACGTACCCTGATCGAACGCCTCGAACATGTCCCAGTCGATTATTTGGCCGGTAGCGTTTATCGCGTCTTCCTCTCTCTTTGATAGGGCAGACTCAGCAGACTCAAACTTTCCACCATCCGTAAGAAAAAAGTTTCCCAGTGCCAGAACATATGCGGTAAGAAATCGGTGAGGAGATTTCGTTCCTGTGCGCAAAATCAGTTCGCAACAACACGCCGTGAGCCGATATCTACGAAACGAAGATACGTTCATGAGTAAAGTTTCATACAAGCGAAGAGTAATGCAATGACACTCACCGACCACGAAGTATGAGGGTCATACGAAGGACGAGGTAGTCGAAGGATTCCTCGGAAATACCCATCTCGTCAGCCCAGGGCCGGAGTTTGTGTACTATATAGCGCCGTTGCTCCGCCTTGTCCAAAAATCCGTCTGACATAGTGAGTTCCACGATACGCGAGTTCAAACGAGCCGTCGTAGACTGCAGGGCGACATCGAAGATTTTCGGCGACAGACTGAGCCCAGAGATCACACATCTTTTGAATATTCTGCGCCCCATGAAGATTTCTACCATCGGGGTCAGAAGCGGTCGAGGCTGTTTGGGCTTGGTGGTGGACTCGGCGGAGAGAAAGTGCGCGCTAGAGTCGAACTTAGATGCAAAGGCCTGTGCCTCGTCAACCCACAGCGAAAAGTCCTTGACGACATCCGGGTGGTGACAATCGACATACTCCCAGTCATTCTCCACGAAGGCCTCGACGACGTCGTATGGGGCACGTCGGAGCACTTTGAATAGACGCTGAAAAATGTCCTGGCCCCCCGGAGTCGGGCGAAAGAACATCGGATCCAGCTGAAAAATACCACATTCCTGCTTCCGCTTCTCGCAAGACAGGTCGTGCGGTTGGCTGCAAAGAATTTTGCGTATGACCAAGAGGTGACTAGCAAGCAGGCACATGCAGGATTCCTTGACAAGACGACGGTTAGTAGCTTCCTGGTCAGGATCGGCGGTGATCTGCTTGAATTGGCTCCGCTGTTCCAGGTGCTCTACCGCGGCCCGCATGTCATGAGAGCCACGGCCCGCGTTGGCTTCGTCGGACAACGCACCGTATGCTCCAATCGGACAGGTTAAAGGGATGCCGCCAAATTTCAAAAGGCCTTTTGCACACGTAAGACTCTTTCCGCTTCCCGAACTACCGTTGAGTACCCTTCAAAAACATCAATGTGGTCCATGACGCAAGGAAAAGAATGGACTTACGTGATCTGACCCTGGACGAAGGTACTAGCGACCCGATGATTAAGGGCTTCAGCATCCAACTCTAACGCATCATACATGAACAGTGATCCTTCGCCGCCACTGTAGTGATCAGATAGTCGATGGACGGACAGGTCATCGAAGACCGGCTTGTATTCCGCAAAAATATGGTCGATCTTCTTTTGGGTGACTTTGGGACCGTCTTTCTTGGGCGTATCTACCACATTTGGTCAGAACAGGGGCAGAGATGGGCGAGAGTGAATTGTGTAGCTTACAAGGTGCTACCATAGCTGGCTTATGTACAATTGTAGCGGCTGGTGTGAAACATATCAGATCATTGTACAGGGATGATGATGGAGTGGACGTACGGATGGGAACGGTCTCCGGTATGTAAGGTCGATCTGACCACGCTTCTATGGTTCGAGTCAATATTAACGGTTTTATAGGAGCTAAGGAAAGACTTGCCATGGTGGACGAGTTTATAGTAGTATGGTAATAAGACCGATAGAGGAGAAGAGGCCCGCAGCACCGCTCGAAAGGAATCTGTTAATGTTTCAAGACTTGGGTACCGACCAAAAAGCGACAAGGCGTCCTCCTCGCCAGCTGTACGATATATTCCAAGGTATCTGAGGAGACTGTGAAAGTTCACGTGTCGCCAGTTAGGGGGCGGTGTCCTCTCCTCTGCGGCCGTGACCAGTTGTTGAAAATTTTGTTCGTACACTGCCTTCTCTGTGAGCGGCAGGCGCTCCCAAGGAGGAAGGCGTGATGTCCCTACTACAGCCCGTGGGAACGACGTAGTAGCTAGAGTGGGTTGATGCGGAGCGTCGAACACTGGTACAGCTGACCACACACAGTGAACTTGTGCAAGAGGGTCGGGTTCAGGTGAAGGGGATCGTCGACCGACAAGACGCCGTTGAGCAAAATCCCCAGTCGGGCCGGAAAAAATAGATCCTTCTGAAGCACCACGGCGAGGTCGATTTGATACCCGTGCGGAAGAAGGGGGGAAGTCGCGGTCTGTCCGCTTTCCTGTAGACATGGCGTGTTCCAAGAATCGACGGACAGAGCGAGCAGGCTAGAGAGTCAAGAAAGTTACCGAGTCCTTGAGGGGGAGGCCGGGGTTGATGGTAGAAGAGAGGAGAGGCGAGAAAGCAAGAGCAGGCGACACGAGAACTTTGAAAGGCCGACGTTGGGTTTGCGGATCGTTCCGCGTCTGTGTCGTGCAAGCGAGGAAGATAACGGTCGGGCCCGACGGATGGCGTGACTCGTTTGGACACGGTGGCACCGTGAAAAATCGGCCCGCACCGGCCGTCGCGCTCGCGTCATGCCACGTGCCTGGTTCCTTTCACCTCGACCACCGCATATGTCCTTTCACGCTTAGACAATCCAGTCTATGCACGATGTACCCGCTTCAAGCTATACATAATTGCACAGAAAGGAAACGTCGACGCGAAGATGTCGATAGCCCAGATGTACCGCCAGCAAAGCGGCATCACCACCGACATCTGACATCCACACCATCGAAGCGTAAGGTCCGTCTCTCGACGAAGCTAGCCCTCTCGACTCAGAGACGCTATTCTCTGAGGGCCACCGCAGAGCGGGCACGAAGGAATGTCACACAAAATCTAGCTCATATCCCAGTTACACCGGCTCCCCTTCCCCTTCCAACCCCAGTTCCCGTCCCAATCCTTCCGACAACCCGCATCCCCAGCAAGCGTCCACGCAACGCTGTGGAAGCCGATATCTGTGAAGAGCCACCGGCAAAGCGTCACCACCAGCGACATCTCACATCCCCACCACCGAAACGCAAGACTCGTACATCGACAAGGGCGGCCGTCCCTCCCCAGAGCCGTTATTCGCTCAGGACCACCGCGGATCGCGTTCGAAGGAATACTACGGCAACTTTGGCTCACAATCCGACTGTCGTACCTCCCATTCCTGCTCCAACCCCGGCTCACGCCCCAATCGTCTCTCCGCCTCCTGTTCTCGTCAAACGTCGACGCCTCACTGACGACGACGATTTCGACGTCGATGTCCCCGAAGAACCCCATGCAAAGCGTTATCGTCTGTCACCGTCACCTTCGAAGCCCACGAGCGATTCGTCAACTAAGCCAGCCATTGCCATTCAGAGCCGTTACTTTCTTAGGATGACTTCGGATCGCATTCGAAGGATCATCTCAGCAACCCCTCCTCACATCCCATCTGCATCCCCTCGCATTCCCGTACAACCCCCCCCTCGCGGATCAATGCCTACCCCGGAATTCTTCACAACTCCTGCCTCAACCGTTGTTGATACTCCTGTTCCTCCTTCAGCTTGCAGAGCCTCCGATCACGACCAAGCTCACCGTATCCCCATCCAAAGTTCCAATACCGCCGCAACTCCCCTTCCTCATCATCCTTTGGCAGGAATCCCCACTCGTCCTCCCGTTGATCTCTCGGTCACCAGCACGACGTTCAAACGCACACATGTGCCTTGGGATCAACTTCCCGAACGCGAGCGAACTCGTCTGTTCACGGTATGGGCCGCTTTGATTAGTCGGCTATGGAAGACACGTGTCATCTTCACGCACCTTGGCTTCGATACCTATGCCCGAGCGCTGGGTCTATCGTCTTGCCACGGGCCCGATGATCTCACGACGCTGGCCGTGCTCAGGAAATACCCAGACCTCGAAGGTATCTGCGCTGATTTTCGCAATAAATTTATCCACTTTCATGAGCTTTGTAACCATCGTGAGTGCAGCTACTCAATCTTACTTATCCTTGCACTCACTGGGGAATCTCAGGTGCCTTCCATGACGACCTCGACGCCTCTATTGACGCGGTCTTAGCCGGATTGGAGCCCCTGTTCATCTCTTCGGTTGTACTTCATCAGTCCTCCCACAGGGCACCAACACGCCATACTCATTACGATCTTCTCTCACTGGAGGAGCTTTCCTTTCCCCGCTTCTCTATACGTAATCGCATACGGGACATATTCGTAGGGCTAAAGTGCGTTGACAATTACCCTTCTTATCCTCTTTTCTTTAATTCAGGCGAACCTACTCTTCTATAGACCATATCGAAGCCCGAAGCCCGGACCGCAGACTCTGGAGCTCATGTACGGCGTAAGCATATGCTGGGGTCTCTATTTCTCATATTCGCCAAACAAAACAGTAGAAGAAGCTTGCAAGAGTAATATGTCACAGGACCTCATCCTCGCCATCCAGGAGCTCGGTGCCTCCATCGACACTGCGACTCCCAGCCCTGAAGCTATATCACGCCGCGCCGCCATCGCCGAGCTCTGTTTCTACACCCTTTACCTCACCCGCATTGTCGTGCTCTCCCGATTCTTGGAATGTCTTCCTCACGACATACATGTGCCATTCGCACGCTCCGAATGGGCCGTCTTTCAGCGTGACCCCCCTCGTACATCGGAGGGCGATGACATTTTCTCCGTAGTCTATCGATATATCGCGAAGGCTCGACGCTCCATTGCAGGCCTCAAGCGGACGGCAGAAACTCGTTTCGAAACTTTAGTTTACAAAAACCAACGTCTATTCACCAACCATTGTCCAATCGCCTTGCAAACTCCATTCTACCTCGCAGTTGACGAAGTCGACACTCCCGTTGGCCAAACTCCGCTGAGCGGTCGTCGTCCCGCTTGTTCGCGCACCAGTGTCAACGCCCTGTTCTTCGGATTCGATACTCCGTGAGACGCTTGTCATACCATGTGCGTAGCTGCTTTGAGCCTTACCCCTTCGTCTCCCGTCCCTGACCGCCGTTACTTTCTCATCTTCAGTTGCCACCGTTCACTGTCTTGAGTTCGACCTCGTCGATCACATTGCCAGGCCCCTGCATCTCTCATCTCGCTGTCGCAGTAAGGATACCGCCGCAGCAAAGACAGTCCTCGTCAGCGCCCACGGTTTCTTTGCGGCCGGCCTCGTCCCTGCAACGTCTTGGGCCACGATACCGTACCATAGCCCGTTCACACCACTTCAAGCTAGTGACCACGAGCGTGTCAGGCCTGCCTGGCTTACCGATATGCATGTCGAGGTCTATGCCCCGATGCAGTCCATTGTCAGCAATCGGCTGGCTTCGGAAGCTAGCTCTTCCGAGTCGATTCTCGTGTGGCGTTTCTTGACGTCTACATACTCGACCGTCTTCGTGGATCTGACAGTCGTAGACGTATTCTCTGCTCCTACGACATCGCAATGTCGGTCCACCTCTTGCGTATTGCGCCCACGTCCTATCAGCTCGATCATACTTCCCTTTTGGCTTTCGCAGCGTGACCGACGCTCGATATCCCTCATCTATCCCTCTTCTCGTATCGGTTACAAGAACATGTCCTGGCGCAGTCCATCTATAGCGATCGGCTGTGTCCAGCGCGTGACCTATTCACGCCTGTGGTATACGTAGCCGTACTAGTTCCTCTTTCACCCACTTTTTTTTCTCGTGCTTTGCTCTTTTGTTCTCGTTCGGCTGCTCTTTTTCTTCTTCTTTCGGTAGCGATCACACGACCATGTCCTGGCGCAGTCCGTCTACAACGATCGGCTGTGTCCAGCGCGTTATCATCCACGCCTGTGGTCTACGTGTCCCTATTGTTTCCTCTTTCACCCACCTTTTTTCTCGTGCTTTGCTCTTTCCCTCGGTTTGCGGCTCTTTTTATCTCTCTCTCGGTAGTGATACCATACACACGGCCATGCCCTGGCACAGTCCATCTAGAGCGATCGGCTGGTGTCCAGTGTGTTTTATTTTCAGCACCTGTGGTCAATGTACGTGTATTACTCACCTTCACCCTTCTATTATATTTCTGTTTTCTTTTTTTGCTTTGTTTTTTGCCTTGTTTGTTCGTTTCTTGTAGTGCTACCGGATCATGTCCTGGCGCAGTCCATCTCCAGCGATCGACTGATGTCCAGTGTGTTGTCTTTTCAACACCTGTCGTCAATGTACTTACGTGCACCTACTACACGTCTTGTAATTCCTTTTTTCTTCTTCTTGATCTTTTCGCCGTGGCTTCATTTTCTTACTTCAGATCTACGTTCACTTTCCTTTCGAGGCGATCCTGTAACACCATGTCCTGGCGTCGTCCGTCTATAGTGATCGGCTGACGTCCAGCGTGTGGTTTTTAGCCCTTGTGGTGCATGTACTTCCAGTTACCTTGTCCTCGGTTTTTTCATACGTCCTTGTGCTATTCTTATTTTCTTCATCCTATGGCCGTTTACCATATTTGCCAATCCATCTCCAAACTGCTAGTCAAGCCTGTACAGTTATATTTGGTCTTGCGGTCTCACTCAGACCATCTGTTGCGCACAGCCCTCTGCTCGCCATGGGCGGCGAACATGCGCCCTCATCTACTGTTAGTGACTGTCCCCACCAAGTTTCCTTGAAGGTCGTACACCCGCGCCCTTGTTTCGGAGAATCACACGACATATTTCCAGCTGGTTCTCTCGGATGGGTAGGGTAGTACCCTGGATCAGTGCTTAAGGACTTTGCGAAGGAAGGATGTACGAGATGAAGCTGGATTTGATTGCGGCGATAAATGAATGTTTTCTCGAATAAAATAAAACATGCGATTACGAAACCAAGACACTATGAACGAGGCTCGACAACGACGAAGGGGAATTCCATAATAAGTATTTCCTCGTAAGTCGAACTCTCCGCCTAAAGTTCGAGATTCGGTGTAGCATGTATCATGAACTTGCATTGTCGTGAGCATATCGTCTCGCAGCACAATGTTTTGCTCCAGTTGGACACCATGCAAACGGACGCAGATATTTCGACTTCAAGCCTAGCCCTCGTCTCCTCCCCACTCGCGACTAGGATGAACACGGCCTCTTCCCGGGCAGACTCCGCTGAGACAAGTATGTAGCGACTCGAAGGATACCTAAACGGACATAGCGCGTTCTCGGAGTGTCTGGATATCACGAGCTATAGCCAAAATTGACATGGTGAATGAACAGAGAGAAAGACAGGAGAGCCCAAGGGCGAGCTGGAGCCGGAGCTTTCAAATGATACCACAAAAGAGGGGTGCTCCCATTAGGGGTAGACTCCATCCTACCTCGGACGTCGCGTTATATAGAAGAATAAAAAAGGGCGATAGTTGAACGTTGAACGAAAGGAAGACTCGGAGATCCGCATCCAAAAGGTACCACGGTGAATAATTTCGAGCAATCGATCGGATCATTTCGGAGACATCGAAAGGTGGCGTAAACACATGTGGCACTGATTAGGCCTGCGCGAAAGGGGATGGTATCACAGAGCATGACAACAAAGCATGTACATTTGAGCTATGTGTTACTGTGAATAAGCCGGTATCAGATGAGGAGCCGCAAAAATGCAAGCGTACCTTCACACAACAGTTCTGAACCACTGGGCGTCAGGACATTTACCGCCTGCAGTTCGAAGAGCCCAGAGCTTTGGTTTATTCTCCAGGGTAAGAAACGACTTCTTTGGAAAGAAAAAGACGTGGGAGATTCGACCGGGCGTTAAATTCCTTCTGACCCAAGACTCGGGAACTGGGGCAGGGCGCCATTCTGCAACAGAGTGATACAGAATACCACTGAGGGCGATCACAATATCGCCCGGTGCATACCTATTGCGAGTCAGTATTGATAGCACAGGTAAATACGAGAAGAGACTCACCTAAGCTTGGCGTGCAAGTCAGGGAAGTAGTATTCGCCACCTTCAAAACACCCCGCATTGAATGTGACGGTGGGCCCGAAGTCTCCGCGATCTTGATGAAGGCTGACCTGAAGTTTATAGACCATTACACGCCCGAGGAAAGGCCCACGATCCTCACGGACCCATACTCCAGCATCGAACGCTTGCCGATATTTGGCGTAGAAGCGAGGCCAAAAGACTTCGAAATACGCTGCAATCCGAACAGCAATGGGATCTGTGGCAAGAAAGTACCATGTCGCGACTTGGCGCCTGGTGACGGTGTCGCCAAAATCGGCGGAATGGTACATCTTGTCCTGAAAACGCAAGTCTTCGTTACAGACCGTCTCAAACACGACAAAATCTGTGAAATGCTCACCGCCGTCTTCCGACCTTGCATAGCACCACCATGGATAAGATGGGTAGCACCCGTCCTCTCCGCCTTCTTTGACTTCTTCGCAGCAGCACCTCCACCATCGTTGCACTCCATGCTTCTCAACCCGCCTTCCTCCAACCCCGTCCTCGCGTTTCCATATAAGACATCAAAGGGTATGTCATCCTCCTCCTCAGATTCGTCACCAGAATCGATCGCGCTCAATGGTGAATCGCCTGGGGGTAGTCCTGTAGGATGTGACGATGATGTAGTGTCCGGGCAAGGGAGGGGAAGGGGCACATCATTGAGCGTTGGCTCGTCGAACGGCATCAATCGAAGGTCTTTGTGGTTGTTTTCGACATGGCGTATATCGCGCTCGGCGCAGTGAGGAGGGTTATGGGCGTGAAATATCTGAGCAGCTTCGACAGCGCGCTCGAGAATTGCTCCCTAGGATCAGAACAGCTTAGCTACAGACTCGAAACCGATGGACCAAGGGATCGTACCGAGAATCCGTCACGAACGATAGACTGGCCATTTGCTCGCGCAGTGTTTACGTCCGCGACTCCACGATTCTTGTATTGTTCGTATATGGGATGCTGATAGACACAGATGAGCGTTTGAATGGGAGAAAGATACGAAGGAAAGCAGAGGTGAAATTGACTTACGATGTCCGCTGTCGAAGGGATATACTCGTGCAAATCGGATGGATCACGTTGTTTTTGTGGTGTAATAGGACGCGGAAGAGGTGGGGCATCAGGCTTGGGTGGAGGATTTGCCGGAGGATGTTGCGGAAGAATACGGTCGGAAAGTACGACAGCGGCGAGACGATTATGCTTGTCGATCCAAGCGCCCGTGGTAGCCTGTGCTTCCTGATGAGCGATGGAATCCTTGATCAGCACCTTCAGCCTCTCAATCTCCTTCAACGAATTCTTCGGACGGCTCGCGAGCTCATCAATATCGAAGTCGCCACGGAAGTAGGGCATGGAGGCCTTTGCTCGCTTGGCCCACTTCCGACACTCCTTGTGAAGGGTCTGTGCTGACTTTATATGCTCATCAGACTGCTGGAGGGCCGGTGCGAGGGAGTCCACGGTCGGATTGACGACGAAGGTCTGATCGGAAAGTTTTGGCATCTAGAGAATGGAAGAATGGTAAGTTTATCTCCTGATAATGGAAAGAGCGAAGGCGACATACCCCTGACGCGAGTACCTCAGGATCCGGTCCGTACGCAAGCAAGTTAACCTCCGCCTGATCAACATTGTGCGCCCCTTCTTCTTGAAGCTAAGTCGGAAGAATATACAACAGAACAAGCATTCAATTTAGTAAGAGCCGTCCAGTCAGCAAACACAATTTTAGTCTAACCTTTTTCCATCTGTCTTTATTCTCTTCTTTAAGCTTGGTTCGCGCTCGCTTGGTGAGTGATTGATCCTCGTCCTTTGTGTAATAATATCAGCACAAGCGAAGGACGGCGAAGGGTCACAGAATGCGGAAGGGGATATTGAAACAACGTACGGATTCTGCTCCATCGTCTATATAGACCTTCCGCTTCTTCCCTTGCCCCACCTGGCCCCTGCTGCCCTTTGGAGACAGAGCATCCTGTCACGAAATACAACAAATCAGATGTGGTACGAAGGACGAAAAATGGAAGGTCATACCGACGTGGATACAGCCTGGCGATAGCTCGCCGTGGATCTGCGAGGTCTTGATCCCTGTGGTAATGCTGTGAGTAAGAAGCAAATTTGGATCAACAGCGCGGGCATACCGAAGATTTGAGCATGATGTGGTTGATTCACAGAGATATCAAGGCTGACACGGACTCTTGCTCACGAGTCTGCAAGCCGCACGAGATCAAGGAGTAACGAACACCAGTGTAATTTAACCTAGATGTCCACAGGTTCCCCTGTACCTTTGGAAGGCTGAAGGACACCCACTCTAGCGTCCCGCTCCGAGTGATGGATAACACCAGCGCGCAAAACACCAAGAGGAGGCGCGTATCGCGAAACACGGAGCGTCTGTTCAGGGCGTGTAGCAGAACGAACACGGCGCAAGAACGGCTGACACGAGAAACTGGCGAGCAACCAGGAGTGAGAAAAGTGTTGGGACTAGACGAAGACTGAGAGCGGGAAGTGAGAGAGAGAGACGAAGAGGCCGACCAGGATTATATACTGTTTGGTCCTTATTGTTCGAAAACGGACAAGGGACAAGGCGCGCCGACTGTGTCAGAACGGGCCCCACGCCGAGATAAGAGATTTGGCCTAGCCGGACATAGCAACCGATGGTGGGGCCAATCCACAAACGATCAGTCAATGAGCCGGCACAGAAAGCTTGACAACAAAGCTGACACAGGCTTGAGAGCGACCGAAAGCAGCAGTTTGGCGATCGAGGCCGGATACATGGACCGCGACATGCGATTCAGATACGATCCTGCTGACGCACGAGATGTCTCCAAGCAGAACAAGTCGCGAAAGACCCTACCTCGAAGAGAGAACGGACTTGAGTCAGCGACCCCCAGCAAGAGGACATAATACTTACTGCCGGAAACTCTCCAGGCGAAATATGTTCATGAAAGGTAAAAACTTCCAAGCAAAACACAAGCCGCAATAAAGACTGTGCACAAGAACGCCTCTTGACAATACCAAACACCGGTCTATGTGGCTTCAAGCAAGACATGTCGAATGCCGTGTGTCCAGGCTATAGTGAGGTTTGTCATTGAAGCCTCCAGACAATGCCGGCCCTGCCGGCGAGCTCTGCTAGCCAATCGGAAAGCCTATCGGGCCGGACCTTTTTGAGACCACTGTCTGGTCGGCGCTAATACTCGGTCGAGGTGATTATCCGTTCCAGTTCTTCCAGTCCGTTCTTTTCGACCATTACACTCGTTTCTTCGTTGTATTCTCTCTTTCCTCTCTGTTGTACGACTACTACCACGTTCTTTTGGTCCTTGGGTCGTGTATGTGTCCCGGATGCTGGCACGGGGATCCGAGTCCGACTCGGAGAATGTACTGTTACTAAATTATTAGTGTCCTCGATGTTCCGTCTCATTCCATGTGTTTCCGAGTTTGTGCGTCGTGTCGTATCTGCTTCTTTGTCTGCCTACCTCCGGGTAGAGTCATCTCGCGGTCGGGTTCCGCAGTGGATGTACTTATTTTTGGTGGTCGACACGCATTCTGTGCATGCGGAGGGTTTCGTGTACGCGTTCCTCCCGTTCAGCTCTTATCTCATACGTGTGTTATACACGATTATTGTTATTTATGTGCAATGATGTCTGTGGCGTGTTACAATTTGGTGACGAGACGAGACGTGCTCAATGAATCACAGGTCAAGCTTCCGAACTTTCGAACCTCTTACTTTGCTCATGATCACCCATCCTCGGTCTCGTTTGGCCGCTAACCTCCTGATCTATGTCTCCTCCTTCACCGTACCACCGTCTTCAAAATCTTCATCTCTCTATCTTCTGTAGTCAATCCCACTTTGATCTCGTCCTCGCCTTCCCGTAGTGCCTAATATCATCGCTGTGACCATCCCTATCGACGAGATGAGGATGGATGTCTGTGGAGACCAGATCAGGGCGAGGAGATAGGGAGACGCAGGAGAGGCAAGGAGAAGAGGGTTGAATTGATGGTGATTGTATGCGTATGTCGAGAATGATGAGGGTGAGGATGTGGGAGGGAGGGAGGGGTAGGGGTAGGGGTGGAGCTTCAAAGACGCTCGGAAAGGAAATCGGAGGATGAGGATGATAAGATGAAGGGATTGGAGCGATGTTGCGTGAGCGTTTTCCATTTTCCCTTCAGTATCCGTTTCGATCCTCCATTCTTGTGCGCTGGATAGGCGGGAAAATCTTCCGAGCTATCCTCGTTGACTGTACTAGAGGATTCCTTGAGCGCCGAGGAGAACATCTCATGAGGAGAACACAAAGATTCCGAGAGAAGCAAGCAACTGTGTCTATCGGGTGGCTGAAGTGGGCTGGGGATTTGTCGTCAAAGTTGTCCTCGTTCGTGTAACGGAACAGTCGAAGAGTCTAAGGTCCCAGCTACAAATCGCTCGATCGGTGCGTACGAGGTCATGCGGCAAGTGCGCAGCCAAAGACATTATTTTAGCAGGTGCGCCCAGAACAGAAGTCAAAGGCTGAGGAATATCATGGCAGTCGTGGTCAAAGGAGACAGGCATACTGCACGGCGCGAGCGCGCTTGTCACAGTTGTGGCCCTGTTTAGTGCCACGGAATGTCGTGGCATGCGTCGGGGCCGGCCCGACGACTTCTTCCTCTTTCCGGATCCGGCACTTGCTTTGGGACAACACGAATGTGGAATGACCCGCGAACGCAATGTCCAGTCTTATCCTCTTGAAAATAAACCATAGATACCTCGAGAACCAGTTCGCGACTTACGTACAATTGTCTGTATGTCCCTTCTTTCTCCATTCTCCCGCTCTCCCACTGCACTGCAGGTGCCAGGCTCTAGCTATCCTGAATCATAGCATAATGAAACATGAACGAAAGGCGTCCATCTTGCGGGCGAAACACCCCTCTTTCGGAAACTCCGAATTGCGTGGTCGAGAGCGTAAGGGACATACTCGAGATCGACTCCTTCAATCGCTTTCTCACCAAGGTAACGATAAAACTCCGTGGCTATGAACTGTCCGTCATTATTCTTACTACCTCGCTTGTACCTTCAATTTGTCGAAAACCGGTCAGTAATTCACGTAGAGCTTTTTGCGACGTATGGGGACGTACCACATTGCTGCCACCACATTACCAACCCCAATGTGAAGCAAACACGCAACCATCCCGAGCTGATCCTGTCTTGTTTTGGCGTGGTACGACGAGCTTGAGAACAAGTTGAGAGACACGAATTCGGCAGGCAGCGTGTCAAGACGCAATAGATCCTGAGTCGTCATTGTCGCATTGTCTTTGAGGTAGATCGCATCGTCGAGAGGCTTAGGTCTCCATCTACCATGTACGCCGTGAGTGGACGGACAGGCAATATGGACGATATTCGCTAAAGGCAGTGCCTGAAGCACGTTCTCGGAAGTAGCGCCCTCAACCCAAACCTGAGCCCGCTTGAGATTATGATCAGCGAGGGAACGATAGGTAGCCGCGGCGGCATACAAGACAAGGCTGTTTCGTGAGCGAACATAGATTTGGTGGAGTGTTTTCGCCACCTGCAAGCGTTTCTGGCCATCGTCCGAGGCCTGTGTGAGACTGAGCGCAAGTCGAAATGAATCAAAGACCTCTTCGAGTGCGGTACGGTTGGGAGGGGAAGGAAGTGCGGCCAAGTATGCATTTGTGAGTGCTTGCCGGAGATCAAGATCTAAAACGTCGAGAGACCGCAGCAAAACATCCTGCGACGGCCAAATTGAGATGTACTCCCACACAAGTCGCCTCGTTCTCTCTCGCATAAGAAGATTCAGAACATCCCTGCGTCACGGTCATACTGAGCGTGGAAACCGGCGATGACTCGTTATGAGACTGAGTGTCCAGCTGGGCCTTCTTCCTGTTCAGGAGGCGCATGTGCATGAAACATCGTCTGGCGATGTCAAAAGATAGCTTCGAACGGATGCATGAATCAAGTGCACCACACGCTGCTCGCCGTCAGACGAGACAACGCACAGATTCGAGCAATCGTCGATCAATCCCAGAGCATCATTGATAGGGCTATGATCGTCCAGCGCCTCGTCGTACAGGTCGGACACGGCAGCGGCTTTCGCAAGCTCGTCGACGGACAAAGGTCGGGAGGCACCGACCAACCATTCCAGTGCATGTTGGACGAGGGATGATGTCCGCGATCCCAGGGAATCTATGCGCTGTAAAATCCGGTAATAGGTAGTATCCAGGTCCGGTGGTAAGTCTCGAAGAGCCGCTCGTATATCTGCATCTCGCCTCTGTCGACATAGGCTGGCGATCTGGAGTATGACCCATAACCACCTAGTATACGGTCAGAAAAGGGATCTATGACAGAGAAAGCGGCAAAGCCTACATTCCGTCAGCCTGCTGTGTGAGTGCATCGACGATCTCGTCCAGAAGGCCCTCTGTACCGACAACGAGCCTTCCAGATTGATGGTACTCAGACACTCTGGTTCTCACGAAACGCATAATCTCTGTGTGGCGGTCATATGCATCCAAAGAAACCTCGACACATCCACTGAGCCCGAGACGGATTTCCTGTAGATCTCTGCTGAAAACGAGGATTCGGAAATGGCGCCGAAGTCTAGAGAGCAAGTCGAGGAGATTCGGGAGGTCATCGCATTCGTCTAGGGCATCAATGACGATGAAGCCCCGACCAAACTTCTCCGCGAGGCGAAGAATCAAAGACATCACGTCGATGTCATCGGTGACAGTATTGCCGCTGTACACGGAAGCAAATTCATGGACGAACGAGTGCAAGTCTTCCTTTGAAAGTCGACGGAGCAGTTGATAGAGAATGGTGCGTTGCACAGCCGAAGTGGTTCGTCGGCGAGGGTCATCGAATCTAAGATAAAAAGAGGCGACGGCCACGGAGCCATCAGATTCGTGACCGGTTATCACCTCGTCAATCGCGTTAGAACTGCGTACAAGTCAGTAGGTGGCCAGAAATATGCCGACGCCATACGTACGTCAATACCGTTTTCCCAGACCCCGCTGCAGAACGAGTCAACCGCTGAAATCCTGCAGAAAGTGCAACTAGGACTCACGCTTCCCGAAGCACCATAAGACATTGTCAGGGATGCTCTTTGACGTCGACCAGGCTAGAAACTCCGGGCTATCGACGAGCCAGTTGCCCGTTCCAGGAAGAGGGACGCGACAGATCTCAGCATGGACGGCCCTCAAATCAAAGGCCTGAATGCTTCTCAAGAACTCGTCTGAGATGAACGCCGTATTGATATTAGGACGAGGCAACCAAACAAATATTGGCAAGGTCTTACCGATCATCTTCTCCATCACGTCGAATCTCGTCCCTCGTTCTTGCAACTTCCCAGTGCACCCTATGCGCGTCTTGACTCATTCTCTCCACGCTTTGCTTCCTCCTCTCCACGCTCTGCTGCTTCCGCTCGACAGCCTGGTCGATCCTCTCGATAGCCTGCTGCTTACGCTCCACGGACTGGTCCTTCCTTTCGAACGCCTGGTCGGCTCGCTCCAAGGCCTGCGCCACGCGCTCGTCCCGCGCCGCTTCTCTTTCCTGTTCTGCACGCAGTCTTTCCTCAAGTGCCCGATCCCGTTCCAGTTTTGCCTGTAACCTGTCAACATGCTCCACTTCACGACCAATCCGACGCCGACACTCTGTCAAGTCCTTCGTTATGTTCTCCAGCGAGCCTTGCCACATGGACTTCCGAAATATTGATACATTTAGGCTAAACTTGTCTACTAAGCATGAGATGAGGTGGCTCGAGAAGGATAAGAGAAACTTACTACTACGATCTCCGCCGTTTTTCCCTTTGTACAGAACGCGTACCTCGTCGCAGAGATGTAGAATGTTAGTGTAGACGCGAAGAAGTACCTATACACCATTGGTCAGTGAACGCTAATTTGTCCGGAAAGAACCATGCGAACTGTTTGAACTCGATCCCACTTGTTGTACAATATGATCGCGTAGTCATTATAGAAGTCGAGATCCTCAGCGACACGCTCGAGCGACGAAGTCAAGCTCTCGAAGAAACGAAAGTACTTGTTAGCGACCTAGCTTGAAAGCTCAATGCTATTAGCATATTCACATCAAGAGTTTAGAAACTAACAGCTGAACGCACCTCGAAAACAAAACGCAGCGCTCCCCAAACACATGCCGCAATCATCGGGTTGGACGAAATGACACTATCAATTGCCGAGAAGTAAGATTGCAATCCCCCGACAATACGCAGATACCGAGCCCCAAACGCCCTCGCACGGCTCTTCTGTCGATGTTCCCTATCGAACCGGTCGGCCGCGGAGAGCAAAGTGTCTGCTGTAGCGACCCGATGCTGGGGATCGCCGTCACGGTCGAGGTGCATTATGCCTTGAAGGCAGCGTGGTCCTCGTTCGACATGGATCCTAGGAAGTCCTCGAGTGCGAGCGAGAAAGCTTTGTTGGCGGCGGATGGAGCCTAGAGAAGTCGGACATGGGGCATGAGTGAGGCTGGGGAAGAACAGAGCTGTGTATGATCCTGGGAGGAGTCGTTAGCGAGGGAGCGGTGTTGGACGGCTATCCGCTGCCTTTCAGGGCTATTCTCGGTAAAGCTCACGACAACGGCGCCGATACCTGCGGACGTCATCCGCTTTGACCGCTCGACGAACGCGGAGCGCTTGGCGCTCAACGCGAGAAATTAAGTCAGTGAGGATCAACGAACGCTCTGCCGTCTTCCTACAGGGGAGACGGCACTGTGGAAGCGACCGTTCGGATCCGTCGAACCAATACATTGCGCAGAGTGCGCGGTTTATTTCGGTTTGTAACACAAGTCTTGTAGGTGTGCATTCCCGAAACAAAAGCAAGGAAGAGTATAAGAAATGAGGACTCGAGGACGGATGTATGAATATAGGTACTCAAATTACATGCGTTGAAAGGATATCACGCTGGACGTCAGCCAATCGTTGTAGATGAACTGCGCCAGGACGTGATAATACAGGGATCCGACATCGATACAGGAAATAATTGAATGCGGAACGGTAGCAAAGAAATCACGAAAGAAGAGAACATGAGAGAGAACGAGACAAAAAAAGGGGGAGAAGGCGAGTAGTACAGGTACATTGACCACAGGTGATGAAAGGACAACACGCTGGACGTCGGCCGATCGCGGTAGATGGACTGCGCCAGGACATGGTATCAACAAGGTACTCCGAAAGAATGTGAATGCAAATAAAAAAACGACGAGAAGAACTGAACCACGAAAATGAAACAAAGATATGAGAAGGCGGGTGATGCGAGTAATACACGTACATTGACCACAGGTGTTGAAAGTGCAACACGCTGGACAGCAGCCGATCGCTGTAGATGGACTGTGCCAGGACATGGTCAAAGAAAAAAAAGAGTCGCGAAACGAGAACAGGAGCAAAACACAAGAAAAAATGGTGGTAGAAAGATTCACCAGTACGGATACGTAGACCACAGGCGTGAATAGGTAACGCGCTGGACACAGCCGATCGCTGTAGATGGACTGTGCCAGGACATGATCGTGCATCTGGTACGAGGAGAAGAATCAAAGGGGAGCACTGAACTTCATTCCCGCTGCAAAAGCAAAAGAGATCGGCGAGCTGATCGGAGGAAGGCGCGGGACGCGAGGGAACCGATAGGAGGATGTGAGCTCTGTATGGGCAAAGCATACTGTCCAAGGCCGCCTGATCCGCGAGTATGATGGCCTGTGTAGAGGCAACACAGCCCCGTTCGAGATGGTGTTGGTCTCCATTGGGGCGTAGGTCTCGACATGTCCATCGGTTGGGAACGCCTGAGACCTCCTCGCGACCACTAACCTAAAGTGGTGCGCGCAGGATGCCGTGCGGGATCGTCGCCCAGGAGGTAGACAACAAGGCGAAGCATGAGAGGACTACGGATGGCGGTTGGGTCTCAGGGCTGCAAGCGGCTCTTGCGGTATCCTTTACCGAGGCGGGGTTCGGGAGACGTAGAGGCCAGGTGCATCCGATAAAGTCGAACTCGAGGCTGTGAATAGCGACAACTAACGAGACAATGGCGGGGTCAGAACAGTAGGCGAAAGACACGAGACGGAGGATGAAGGAAGATACGCACACGATATGAGAAAGGGCCTCACGGAGTATCAAATCCATAAAACAAGGCACTGACACCAAACCGTGAACAGGCCGGACGACGACCGCTCAACAAATTGGGGGAAATGGGGGCTTCGACTTCGTCGACTGCAAGGTAGAATGGAAATCTCGGGGGGTAGCGGCCCCATTCATGTAGCTCGAAGAACAAACTAGGGCTCCTCTCGGCCAAAGTGTCGAAACGGGTCTCGGCCGTCCGCTTTAGCTCTGCAATGGAACCTCGAGCCCTCGCGACATGTCGGTAGACCACGGAGAAAACATCGTCACCCTCCGATGTCCGAGGTGGGTTCTGTTGAAAGACAGCCCAGCATGCATGGTGATAGCCATCCGGTAGGTCTTTGGGAAGAAATTCCAAAAATCTGGAAAGTACGATGATGCGGGTGAGATAGAGGGCGTAGAAGCAGCGCTCCGCTGCAGCGGTACGACGTGATATGGCTTCAGGACTGAGTGTCGCAGTGTCAACGGTAGCACCGAGCTCTTGGGTGGCGAGGAGGAGGTCTTGGGACAAATTACTCTTGCAAACTTCTTCCGCTGTTTTATTTGGCGAATATGCGAAATAGAAACCCCAGTGTGTGCCGACACCTGTTACAAGCGTTAATGTCTGTGGTTCGGGTTCCACGGTCTTATAAGGTCTACCAAGGACCACAACTGGATCAGTGAGGGTTACAAGATAAATCTCAAAGATCAACGCACTGTCGGTCCTCAAAGGTGTCTGCCACAGGTTCCCACCTGTCCCCCAGGGCCACAGCAAGATTATCGACTGAGAATGGATCGAAGTGATCATAGAAATAAGGCAAACGATAGCGAATGAACAGAGGCTCTACTTCAGCTAAGGCCGCGTCAATCGGTGCATCGAGGGCATTGAAGAATGCAGCTGGGAATCCCCGGTAAATACAAGGATAAGGGACGATGAACAGCTGCACTCACGATGGTTACAATATGAATAGAGTTTGGTAAAGTCATCCCGAAGTTCCCAGACGATGTACTTGAGCTCTGGATATTTGACGAGCACGGCATGAGTAATGAGATCATCGGGCTTATCGCAAGACGATAAACCCAGCGCTTGGGCGTAGGTATCAAGGCCTCCCATTTCGAACATGGAGTAACTGCCCCACACCCGAATGATTACTTTGTCCCACATTGCCAACAGACGAGTTCGTTCGCGTTCAGGAACTTCTTCCCAGGGAACATGCGTGTGCCCTGAGGTAGCACTGGTAGCCGAGATGTCAATGGGAGGACGAGTGGGAATATTAGCCAAAGGTTGAAGAGGAAGGGGAGTTGCGGTGGTATTGGAACTTTGGATGGGGATACGGCGAGCTTGGACGTGATCGGAGGCCCTGCGAGCTGAAGGAGCAGGAGCATCGACAACAGTTGAGGCAGAGGTCGTGAAGAATTCCGGGGTAGGCCTTGATCCGCAAGGGGGGAGTTGTACGGGAATGCGAGGGGAGGCAGCTGGAATGTGAGGAGGGGTTACTGCAATGTTCCTTCGAATACGATCCGCAGTCATCCTAAGAAAGTAACGGCTCTGAATGGGAATGGCTGGCTTAGTTGACGAATCGCTCGTGGGCTTCGAAGGTGACGGTGCCAGCCGATAACGCTTTGCATGGGGTTCTTCGGAGACATCGACGTCGAAATCGTCGTCGACAGTGAGGCGTCGACGCTTCGCGAGGACGGGAGGCGGAGAGACGATTAGGGCGTAAGCCGGGGTTGGAGCAGGAATAGGAGGTACGACAGTCGAGTTGTGAGCCAAAGTTGCTGCAGTATTCCTTCGAACACGATCCGCGGTGGTCCTGAGTGAGTAGCGGCTCTGGGTAGGGACGGTTGTTCGCGTCGATGAACGAGTCTTGCGTTTCGGCGGTGTAGATGTGAGATGTCGCTGGTGGTGACGTTTTGCCGGTGGCTCTTCACAGGTATCGACTTCCAGAGTGTTGCGTGGACACTTGCTGGGGATGCGGGTTGTCGGAAGGATTGGGACGGGAACTGGGTTTGGAACTGGAAGGGGAGCCGGTGTAACTGGGATACGAGCTAGATTTTGTGTGACATTCCTTCGTGCCCGCTCTGCGGTAGTCCTCAGAGAATAGCGTCTCTGAGTCGAGAGGGCTGGCTTCGTCGAGAGACGCGCCTTACGCTTCGATGTTGGGGATGTCAGATGTCGCTGGTGATGCCGCTTTGCCGGTGGCTCTTCACAGATATCGGCTTCCACAGCGTTGCGTAGACGTTTGGTGGGTATGCAGGTTGTCGGAAGGATTGGGGCGGGAACCGGGGTGAGAATGGGAATGGGAACCGGTGTAACTGGGATATGAGCTAGATTTTGTGTGACATTCCTTCGTGCCCGCTCTGCGGTGGCCCTCAGAGAATAACGTCTCTGAGTCGAGAGGGCTGGCTTCGTCGAGAGACGAGCCTTACGCTTCGATGGTGGGGATGTCAGATGTCGCTGGTGATGCCGCTTTGCTGGCGGTTCGTCTGGGCTATCGACATCTTCGCGCCGACGTTTCCTTTCTGCGCAATTCTGTATGGCTTGAAGTGGGTACATTGTGCATTGACTGGATTGTCCAAGCGTGAAAGGAGGTATGCGGTAGTCGAGGTGAAAGGAACCGGGCACGTGGCATGACGCGCGCGCGTCGGCCGAGGCAGCCCACTTTTCCACGGTGCCACGGTGTCCAAAAGTCACGTTATGTGTCAGGCTCGACCGTTATCTTCAGACTTCCTCGCTTGCTTTATTTAAGACGATACAGACGCGGAACGATCCGCAAACACAACGTCGGCCGTTCAAAGTTCTTGTGTCGCCTGCTCTTGCTTTCTCGCCTCTCTCCTCTCTTCCACCATCAACCCCGGCCTTCCCCCTCGTAACTTTCTTGACTCTCTAGTCCAGACCCTGCTCTCTGTCCTTCGATTCTTCGAACACGCCATGTCTACAGGAAAGCGGACAGCAGACCATCTACCCCCTTCCGCACAGGTATCAAATCGTCCTCGCTATGTCGCCCCCAAGTTCCTCCGCGTGCTGCTTCAGAGGAACCCTCACTCAAGTCCTCCCTATGTTACCCCCGTACCCGTTCCTCCGCATGCTGCTTCAGAAGGACCCTCTATGAACGACTCAAGTCCTCCCTATGTCGCCCCCGTTCCTCCATATGTTGCCCCCGTTCCTCCATATGTCGCCCCAGTTCCACCATATGTCGCCCCAGTTCCACCATATGTCGCCCCCGTACTCGTTCCTCCACGTGCTGCTTCAGAAGGACCCTTCAACTCAGACGACAACTCATTGTTGCTCGAGCGGAGTCTTCGTCGTGCTTTTACTCCGGATTTCCCTACTCCTTCGTCTTCGCCTTCCCCCTCCCCCTGCCCCTCCCCCTCACACGCACTCTACCCTATAGCCGAATCGTCTGCTGAGCAAGAATCGGACGCACATTACTCTCGTATCGACGCTCCCGATGGTACCCGTGAGACCTCTATGGATGCTACTCGGTCGCATGCACAAGCTTCACCAGATACTTCGTCTCCGATTTGGAGGAGCTTGTCTCATATGCAAAAGGCAGAGTATTCGAGACAGTGTCAAGCGATATTGACTGCTGCAAGCAGGGAGGTGCCGCCATTGGATCTGGTATCATCGAATTTTCACAGCCTTCTGGTCGCTCTGGGAATACACCATACACAGAACGAAGCTGGTGCTCGGGCTGTGTTGAACAAACACAAAACGTTGAACAATCTGATCAAATCCTTCCGGCAGCATTTGATGAGCTCTCATCCGATGGATATCGTGGCTTCTGACTTCTATGAGATTGTCAATCATGGCAAGTTTTTTTACCGATCTACTAATGACAAGACTAAGACTGACTTGAAATTATAGAAGCGTGGACAACCCTACCTACCGTGGTTGAAACACGGGACGATCGTATGTTCTTCTTATTGCGTCGAATGTATCAAGAAGCTGACACTCTTCACTTTAGCCCCTGCACCGTCTTTCGAGCAAGTTATGACAACGCCCTCTGGACCACATCATTCACGCTCATCTGGTGAATCCTATGTGCAGCACATTGGTGAAACACCCCGTGAGTCATGTCATTCACGTCCACTCAATGCCAATTCTAACTTGACACCGGTGCAGGTACACCCGAGAATCAAGGCACGGAGCACCTCGAAAGACCAGGTCAGTCATGTCATTCACGTCCACTCGATGCCAAATCTAACTTGATATTGGTGCAGGTGCACCCAAGAAACAAACCCCGAAGGAGAAGCAGAAGCAGAAGCAGAAGCAGAAGCAGAAGCCCGTCACGCAAACTATCCAACCTACTTTGGATAAACCCACTACGGATGCGACACCGGAAGATCGTACGTCCACATTATTGCTTCACTGGAATCAAGAACCTGACACTTTCACTTTAGCCCCTGGGCCGTCTTTCGAGCAAGTTAAGACAGCACCTCCCAGGCCACAGCATCCGCACCCATCTGATGAACCCTGTGAGTCACGTCATCCACATTCACTTGATGCCCATTTTGAATTGACCCCCGCGCAGACACACCCAAGAAACGAGGCGCGGACGAAGTCAAGCAGACTATCGACGATGTCTTTCAGACGTACGACCCCTTTCTTGATCGCCTAAAGAACGGATCATTGCTGTCCGAAGAATTCAAGCTTGGGGGAGAGATGAGTTCGGTCTTTGCGCGCGATTTGATCGGTATGGACAAAGACGAGACCGATCTTTCAGCTAAACACAAATTTTCGGCCCGAGTCTCGTGCGTGTCTTTCTTTGTTCGATTATCGAAACGCACTGACACTCTTAAAGTCTGCTCTCTGGCGCTTCGGGGACCGGAAAGACTCAGACATGTGCACGCCTCCTTGGAAACTTCTGTGGTTTAGGTATTTCCTGTCGGCCCCCCGAACTCGGAAAGGATCCCACCGATCCTGGCTTTCGGAGTTGTTCCGGCATTCTGAACTCTCTCGCAGAGAGGTCCAAGTTCGGCCCAATATCTGGCGACCCAGCACAACTCGGGGAGAATCGGAAAATTGTGCGAACTTGCGTCTTGACTTCGGTCCTGTCTCGGGTTTCCGTTCTCGAAGCATTCCTGAAGTGCAAACCAGACGGTGTGTCTGTCGCGACTTGGAAGATGCAGTGGGCTTTGTTTGAGCTTCATCCCGAACTGTCATACAAGGGCTTTCCTGAACTCTATCAGGATATCTGCGAGCGCCTGGAAGACGACCTTCGAGACGCTTCTCCATCTGCGATTTGGGCTATCCTTCGGGCTACCATGCATCGGCTAAAATCCAACTTCCCAGAATACATGAAGATTTTCTACTTCATCATTGACGAGGCTCAGTTTAGCGCACTGGAATACACCTCTTATTTTCGCTCTCGCGCTGACCCTGATCGTCCTCGCTCATTCTTGACCGAGGTGGTTAACGTTCTTACGGGGCTCGGCCTAGCCACTCATACCGTCATCTCCGGAATCAGCCTATCTGAGGACCAAATCATAGACTCCGTGCAGTCCACGACCGCTCGCTTGGGTACCCGCCTGAAGGTGGTCTATATTCCAGATGGTTTCTACGACAAGGAAGAGCAACGGAAGTATATACTCAAGCATCTTGGGCCCTGGGCTGAAAAGCGCAAAATACCGGTAAAGTCCTTCAAACGGCTTGTCCAGCGGATGCTGGACTTGTTTCCCGGCCGGTGAGTGTCCATACCTTGCTCTGCAGTCGCACATCATTCTTATTACTCAATATTTTCCCAATCATCCAGGTATCGAGTGACCGCGTGCTTCATCGAGATAGTGCTTCGATCCGATACCGAATCTCCTCATCGACTCTTCACTCTGTTTGCTCTGCGTCTAACTGAAGGCTATGTGTGTACGGATGGAGGTCAGATTGAGCGCGAAGAGGCATGCCTCGAAGGCAAAGCGATCGAGCTCGCCAACGAGATCAGACCGATCATCGACTGGAAGGAGTACGACTCCTTGCCCGCTGGTTCGTATTTCGATTATGCTACACCATTATACTTGCATTGAACTGACTGTTTGTCTTAATCTAGACGTCAAGACGACGGTTATCCACATGGTCGCACGCTACATCACCACCGGGACCATGTCCACTGTCACTGACAAGGAGCTGAAGCTCGTCAAGGCTAGTATAGGGCATGTACGGTGCGAAGAGACCTACGACGGGAGCACTGACAAAGTCGGAAGCACTGGCTTAGGAGCCACTGGCAAAGGAACCACTCGCAAAGGAACCACTGGCAAAGGAACCACTGGCAACGGGAGCGCCGACGACGGGAGCACAGACAAGAACAGCGCTCACAAGTCCGAGTCGCGCGGCGCCGATGGACAAAAGGCCTTCGTCGTTTCCATCACCGAGCCGCTGGTGATTTTCTCTCTTATGATTCGTTGCAAGGACGAGTTGATCAAGGCCGTGGGCGACTCCACGCGCTGGGCGCCCGAACCCTGTTCGCAAGGACGATCGTACGAACTTCAGATCTTGGTCATCATCGCGCTGATGTTCGGCGGCCAGTTCCGCAGGTTGGGCGATCTTCTTCTGTTTCGCGAGAAATACAAACATCTGGAGGATCTCGAATGTGAGCTCGTCGCCATTTACAAGGTTGATGGCGAGTATGTCGCGTCCTCGGCTGGGTGGGGTTGTGGTCCTAGCAGTAGCCTGCCACTCGGGTTCAGAGCCAACAAGGCCCCAGATTTGAAGGAGACCGTTGAACGTGGTGTAGGAGCCGCGTTCTATCTCCCCGACCCGAACAACCACATCGACGTGGAATTCTATGCTAGACCCAAGGGTTCTTCGAAGATTATCAGGATCCATGTGCAGGCCAAGTTTACTACTGGGGAGAACGGTAAAATCAGGTCGGTGACTTTCCGGGAGGCCAAACAGTCTCTTGACCCGGAATGGATCTACATGTCTCGCTGCAACAAACCGGTACGTTTGTTCCTCTTTCCGTCTGAATTTTCGAGTTTTATATCCATTTTCCTAACTGGCCGCTTTGCATTCTCAATTCTGTAGGGAGAACCGGACAGGAAACTTTCGACTGAGGAAGGCCCCGCGATCATGGAGATCTTCGAGAAGATGCGACTCGCAAAGCACGGAGACTACGAGCCTCTGGTCCCACTATCCGCCGAGGACGAAGCGAAAATTCCGGACCATATCAGCGTCATTGCCATCGCGGGGCCTGAGGAGACTCCCAAGCAGTTCTCGAAGTGCGAAGAGGACGCCTGGGGCCCTCTGTCTGTAACCCAGAGTTGGCCATTCAAGAGATATTTTGGCGCTACCTGGGCGCTGGCTGGTGCTCAGAACATGGTCAAGGTTCCAGAGCCGAGGGCAACCTAGATGCAGAACTCCCGCCTCCGGAACTCTGTATGGACATCGCTCATTTTCGTTGTGTGTTATCGTGTTTGTATGCTTTCATCTCCTCGAATTCTCTCGTTATCATTTTTCCTTTGTGATTTGCCCCATGCTCTCGTACATCGTGCCTCTTTTATCAATTGTTTTGATGGCTTTGAATATACATGCTCTTTCATTATCATTGGCTTGGAGCGCTCGGTTATCCATTGAGTTCAAAGCACAAGAAACGATCAGACTTCCAGTCTCGCCTTGGACGGGTCGGATAAGTATACTACGCCCCTTCTTGTTCAAGCTCTTAGCTGGGGCCGTTCACGGTCTAGTATACCTCGGGAGCCCACCGGAGGCTGGCTGGCTCAAGCAGACGCTGAGGGTGGAGTGCGATCGCGAGAGTCAAATAGTAGTACTGTATGTACATTCGACGGAAAAGCTTCAACTCATCAAAGAAATCTAGATATGGCACGGTTCAAGAAGTACAAGCCCACAAACGGTCCCAGTCCGAATATCGTGATGATTTCGGTCAACAGAGGTGGCGAGCGCGATGTACAGTATATAAGACCGTAGCCTGCGAATGGGCCGTAGACGAAAGAGAGAGGTGAAGATAGACAGAAAAAGCTATCTGCGGCAGAGAACAAAGCGCTAGAGTTGCTAGCGATGCAGAAGCATTGTGCGTTGATTCGAAAGATCCAGCGAAGAGTGAGAGAGAGCAGTGTGGAGCTAGGTAGAGGAAAGGGGAGACAAATGAGGCGTGGCGCTATCTGACGGGTGGCGTGAACATAGAGATATAGAGAAATATCGCGAACTGAGACTGGCAGAAACAGTGGACGACTCGGAGATCTTCGCGCCCGGGCTTCGTATGCTTATTGGTGAACTTTGCGGCTTTTGAAGGCCAGTCGTCTGTGTCTGAGAGATGTTAGAAGGGGCAGAAAATTTGAACTCATCGGCCGTTTCCTTGATAGCTTCAACGTTCGATGGACGTCAATTACTATACGTACCTACCCATGTGTGCCGCCGACCGAGATATTCATCTTACCTACCTGGCCAGCACCACATCGGCGTCGGTAGTGACTGAAGCGAGCGTGGAAGACATTAGAGCACCATTGTGAACGATTCATCCGAATACCCAGCGTAGAAATAAATAGAGCATGCTGATGTCAAGCCGACGGCGACGGCGCAGAAGAGCGGGTGGTGCTCCACTCCGGTCTTGCTGAGTAGTGTTGTCGTTTTACGACTCGGAAGGCGGCGGAGATGGGGATGAAGTCAATGAGAGGGTCTGAGACGTAGAACGCGCGATGCAGTTGAGCGTGATGTTTTGTCCGAGTCGTGGCTTACCCGCCCCTAATGGCCGAGTCGTGAATCGTCAGCCTTTAACGCCAGTAGCGTCCGAGAGCGAAGGCGGGTTGGATTGCATTGCAACGGTATTACTGTGTCATCGTTCGATGTGGTGCATGTTCGATGGATTGTGATATGAAGGCGGATTCGGATGCGTGAGGTGAGACGTGAGGCAATGCTGCTAATGATCAGTCATAAGAGTCAGTAGGATCAGGTGTCAAGGGTATATCCAAAGCAGGAGAAGGAATAGCTAAAAATGATATATGGACGTAGCCGGACACCGTTGCGTTGCGTCCTCCCTTTCACTACCCCAGAGTCCAGGTGTAGAGGACGCATCAATATGTTGAAGGTTTCCCCGTTTTAGACGTCTGTGAGCCACTAGTGATAAGTTATACTTCCAAGTAGGATGTCGCTCGATCTCGGGGCTTTGAAGAGCCTTGTTTTTGCTGGAGATGATCGTGTGTGCCGTAGAAATAGACCGGTGGGTGGATGACGGCGAGAAGAAAGATCTGAAGTCAAGGGATCATGTCGATGGCGCGGGGAACATTGCATGATCCGGTAAGAAAGCTATCAGGGCATCGAAAAGGATCACAGAGCGGATACATACTAGAACGAAGGTTCGACGAGGCGAAAGCAGGGCGTGCAATATTCCTTACAAGAGTATACCGTGAAAATTGGACATGATAACCTTGCATCTAAACGGCGGTACAGGCACGAGCTAAAGAGTGCAGCAAGGATGCAATGGAATCGCGGGCCCCGTGCAATCGCCGATGTTCGATACAAGAGCTTGGCGTGGAAATTGGCCATACTGGCCTTGAATGTGAACGGTACAAGCACAGGCTACTAGGGGATATATGAGTGCATCGGCAGGGACAAAGGCCGATCATCCTAGCAAAGAATCTGCCATCGTATGTCGGGCTTGAAGACGCTACAGAGGCGTACGAAGATCGGATAAGTACTCGGAGGCGGATTGTCTGTCGATGATCTCCGAGAATATGTTTTTGGAAGAGAGGATAGAGACACTAGCCAGAGTCAGATGAGGGCCAGTGTAGCGGTCGGACAAGGATTGGACGATCTGAGAGTTGACAGAGAGCTCGAGTGTTCAGAAACTTGAGAAGAGCAAGAGTCTGCAAGAGTATAACCGGCGATTTCCGGGGCGTCCGTGCACGTGATCGCGTTCAAGACTTGTCTTGAGGCTTGAACTTGTCTCGTCGCCACAGTACGACTGCCAGAGCGCAAGATCATCGAGCACGACGACGACGACGACGACTATGGCGCCGAAGAGCGGCAAGGTATCGCGGCAGAACACACTGAAGCTGGTCGCCATAGATGGACCTCGCCCGGCGAAGAAGCTGAGGCGGCTGAATCCCGTTTGTGTCTCTCTCTTCATCCCCTTACACCCTCCTTGCTCACTTTTCGGTCAATCATTACAGCTCACAAATGGCGCACCGACATTCGATCTCTCGCCCTCACCGTCCTCTTCTACTCACTCTCCGCCTCCCTCGCAGCCGCTTCCTCCATCTCAGCCTTCGTCGAACAAGAGCAGAAGCAAGCTCGAGTCGAACGGAGGCTTCAAGGTTCCCTCGATACCCGCAGGTCTGAGCGGAAAGGGAAAGGCTAAGGCGCAAGAACCTGTCGCTGATGATCGAATGTGGGTAGATGTCTACGAGCCAGAGACAGAGGTCCGTATCTTACATTCGACTAAACGGGCTCTTCTCACATCTCCTGACGCAGGAAGACCTGGCGGTTCATAAACGCAAGGTGAACGACGTCAGGCAATGGCTCATCGAAGCCTTTCAACCGAGCAAGCCTCAGAAACACCGCATTGGTCTCTTCTCCAGCCTCGTCCATTACTACCAACTGCTAACCTCCTGCTTTCTACGTCTCACACAGCGCCTCCTCGTCCTCACAGGCCCCGCAGGCTCAGGCAAGACAACGACCCTGCGTGTTCTATCTCGCGAACTCGGCTTTGAGATATTAGAGTGGAGGAATCCGTTGGCTGTTGCTACTGCTCTTCCTGGTCGACGTGGAAGACTTGGTGAGTTCTTCGACTTTTCATGGAGTATTCGGGGTTTTGTGGTGTGGAGGATGTGCGCGTGTGGTTTCGATTCTTACACAGTCGTGTTTGGCATATGTGCGCGTACATGTATGCTATCGCTGTCCATGTTGCATCTAGTGGGCTGTATCGCGAGAAGTGTGGCCCATTGCACTCGCACCCCTATCCATGCGCACTCTCCTCTCTCTTCTCCCTGACCTTCGCACCCTCTACTCCGCATCACTAACACATTCTTCTTCTCATCTCTCCTCCCCTCCTTCCTCTCCTCTCCTCTCCTCCCCTCAATCTTCCACAGACAACCACAACCCCTACGATGACGATCCCTACGAATCCACAATGGACAAGTTCGAAGCGTTCCTCACCCGCGCGGGGTCCTATCGGTCCATTTTTTCTTCTTCTTTGCCTTTCTCCTCATCCCTATCACCGTCTTCCGCTGCTTCTGGACCTTCATCCCCTCGGACTCGGACTTCATCACAACAACCGCCACAGAAACAGCAACAACAGAAACAACAGCTCATCCTGCTCGAAGACCTCCCCAACATCCTCCATCCCTCCGTTCGGGACCGGTTCCACGCCGCGCTCAAGGCTTATCTCGCCGTTCCTTCTTCCTCCGCCGTATACGATTCCTATTAGCTTTAAACAGAGAAAGTGGCAGGAACGATCCATACTGGATTCGAGACTGCTCCAAACTGTGTAGACACAAGATAGAGCATGGGTTGGTTGAAAACATACCTTTGCCTGCTGCAAGATTGTTGAAATCCTAGCTTTCCTTTTGACCAGTCTCCCCATCCCAGTCCTCATCGTTTTCTTCCCACTTTGCTGAGCTACTTTCTTCCGCTCAAAATCTAGACTGCAAGGTTGAGGTTCTCTGTTTCCCAAGTACGCCCTTGCGGGCGGGTGCACACGAGCGAGAGTGCATGAGGACGAAGTAAAGTTGAAGGTATTGATGATCGAGGTTTAGTGGCCGAAGTCGATTTCGGAGTCGAAGGAGCGGGCGGTGGTGAGGACAGTGGGGTGGGATGACTTGTTAAAACTGAGGGCGACGAATGTGGGCAGTGTGGCGAGGTGAGTGAACATCGCCTTGCGGTTCGAGTCGAGGACGAGCAAAATAGTGTTGATATTCATACAATTGCATGTGCATATCCCCCTCAAAGGTCTTACAAGCCGAGCGCTGAGGGCCAGACCAGGAGAGTGAGCATTTCGAGCGCCAAGGGGAATCAAAGTCAAAGGAGCGGTGAAGTCATGCGGCGAGAATGATGGAAGCCGTGTTTGAGTGGCGCGATTGTGATCTGGATTGAGTGATGCGATGCGACGCGACGCAATCAACTTTCAACGCAAACTCAACGCGTCTTCCAACTTTCTCTCTCAGTGAGCTCTGGTTATACACTTTCGGAGCGTCGCGTCTTTTGCTTGGAATCGCATCGAGCGTATGCAGACTAGCAATATTCTGTGTGATCAGGCCGCACTGGATGCAAATACATGTCCTTACCGAGGCCCAAACCGACGATCCTTTCCTTGCTTGTTCGGTTGCCGTCGCAGTTGCTGTGGCGTAACAGAGGTGAGCGAGGCTACTTGACAGTCACCGTGAGCCACCCTAATTTTTGGGACAAATATATGCGCATGACTCCATATATAAATGTGCTGCACTGCTGGTGCGGGACCTTTTTCCCCCCAGCTCTCCGTCCTCTTTCCTTCGGTGAGGTTTATGCATCACTTTCACTTTCCAGCCCGATCCTTTGTACTCTCACCCTTCCTCTTCGATTACATTGTCCCCTGCGCCCTCAAACTTCCATTCTATACGTACCAAGCACATCCCCTCGTCAATGCATTGGGCAGTCGCACTTCGACATACCCTCCGCTGAGACATATACACTCCCCCCGTCCCAATCCCCTCTTGTCCACTTTCCCCCTTTTTATCTTTATCTCACTCTTCCGTCGTTCTCGTGTTCTTTTTTTTTTAACTGACACTCACGCCTGATTCATAACTAGGAAATTACATTTGACCGTTCGGTGTCCTGGTCGCCGCTCAAAAATGTCTTTCAATTTCCATACTGTAAGCTCAGAGCCTGATTGTCCTCATCTTACCCATCCAGATTCGTCTCTCCAGTGTGCTGATGCTGTGTTTACGTGATATACAGACGCGTAGTGGTCTCAATTTTGGTCACCCTGAACGTTTTGTTCATACAGCCCTCACCCTCGCTCCTCTGCTCCTCGACAATCTCAAGCTTAGCGATGACCGTGCCCGCCGGACCGAAGCCATCTACGATGCACTATTCCCCTTAGCGCCCCTCTCATTCGAATCGCCAGAGTTTGGTCCGGGTGATTCGCACATCCACATGCCTTCGTTGACACCCGCTGCGGGCCATGTTGCGAACGCCGCTGGCCTTCCCTCTCATCCAGCCTCCAGCTCCACCAAAGCGCTTCTCTTCCAGACGTCTGCACGCCTCATGAAACACGAAATGACGAGCCGCAGGGACAAACTCAAGGCTAAGTATAACCGTTATCGCAAAGAGTCTTATGATTTGAAGAAGATGGCTAAGGGCTTGGTGAACCGTAAGATCAAGTCGCAGACCTCTAAGAAGAATTCTGGTTACGAGAAGGTCATCACACTTACCGACTTCAAAATCGCCGATATCTCCATCGCCCCAGGAGGCGACATTGGTCGTCATAGGCCTGCGGGGAAGTCCCTCCCCACTTTAGCGTCTCTCATGGCACGTCCTGGCTGGCGCTACATCCCTAATGATGGAAGGTGTGTTATGTTTAGCGTCGGTTTTTTCATCATTGTTCAATATTACCTCGCTCTTCATCTCTCGGGGTTGTCGATCCCGATGGCACTTTTTTGACCGGGATATTCCCAGGTCCAGCTCCACGCAACTCGAACTCTCCATCGTGGGACACGGCGATCGAGGGGATGGCATCCGTCATGGAACGTCTGCGCTGTGAAGAAGGTGTATCTTTTCTGCGAGGAGAGACTCACCACCGCCGTGGAGATTATACGATTGTCTCCTCCGGTATTACTCACGGGAACGGGAGGAAGGTTCGTCACTGTTCCTACATGATTCGTCACACCGAAGACGGCTAACTTAGCTTCAAGGTCCCTGGTAACCTCAAGGAGCGGCATCCTACTATCGTCGAAGAGTTGAAGAACAGTGAGGCTATTCGCCGCGTAGTTGGACACCAGGATGGTGTGTCAGTTTGATGTACATTCTTTCTGTACATGTACTTAGTCGTTACAGCGCTATTTCGATATAACGTACCAAAGCTTTATAGGCACTGTGCCAATCAGGTCGACGAACTCCTCGCTCACCATGAAGACCTTCAGCGCCCCTTCTCACACTCCGTATACACGACCTTTACGGATAACATGAGACCTGCGTCTGCAACCTTCAAACATGTAGACTCGCAAAACCACACATATGTTTGGTGCGCCATAACCAACGGTGGCAACTTCGACTTCGGGAAGGGAGCCCATCTCATTCTTTACGATTTCAAACTCATTGTCGAGTTTCCACCTGGATGCACCGCCCTTCTTCCCTCTGCGACAGTGAGCCACGGAAATACTGCCATTAACCCTGGTGAGACTCGGTATTCCCTCACACAATACATCAACGGTGCCCTTTTTCGTTGGGTTCGCAATGGGTTCAGGCCAGTCAGTGCTCTGACCCGCAGGGAGGAAGCTGCGAACGATTATGATGCAGAGGATCGTTGTGCGGAGGTTCTGGGTATGTTTTCGAAGCTGGAAGAAATCGTGGCCGATCGAGCATGTCTATTGTAGTGTATATAGCTCTGTGGTTATTTCTTGATTCATTTCGAAGCGTTTTACATTGTGAATTGGTGTTTGCGCAATATACTTCAGTTTACTCTGACCTTTCACGCTGCTCGTACACAGTCTACGCCTTCTGCTTACATAATCAAACTCTAATTTTACAATCTTCCCCAGCCTTCGCCACCTTCGCCACACCTCTCTCTGCTCCCCAAATCCTGGTCTAGTATACCTCGGGAGTAGACCGGAGGCTGACTGGCTGAAGTGGACGTCGAGAGTCACGGTGGAGTGCAACCGTGAGTAGTAATTTGTATATCTGACCAGCAACGTCAACTAGCCGGAGGTCTTTTGATATCTTTGAGATGATGTTTCACCGCTTTTCACACATTCACACCCGCAAAAAAGGCCGGTTCAATGTGGTGTCAGTCTAGTCATGTTCATCGAGCGACTTCCTAGTCGACTGGCTGCCTAGACTCCCGTTCGTAATTCCATTGTTACCGCTCTCGAACCTGACATTCGCATCCATGCTAAACCCTCTTGGATTTCAGGAGGCCCTTGTCCCAGGCGTCCTACTACCACTCCCACTGCCCGTCCTCCAACCAGACGAATCTGTACTGAGGTGTGTTTCCGTCGCGATAGCAGAAGCAGAAGCACTCAGGCTGTCAGCCCCACAGTCGACCCCCATGTTTTCGAGTTCGACTTCCAGTGCATCGATGGACCGGTCTTGAAAGGCTTTATGTTGAAGGCGAAGGTTCATCCTGAGTCGTGTGATGAGAACCGATGAGAGTCTGCGTTCGCAAGAGACAATAGATGGGGGTTTTGGTTGTGATAAGTTTGTGGGAGAGAAGGCGGGCGTTAGCGAGAGTAGTAGACGAGTGCATGCGAATCGGATGAAGAAGGAAGGGAGGGCGAACACGTCCACGAGCAAGACGCAGGGCGGGACTCACAGGTTTGTCAATGCGGTGGCGGTACCCCGTGTTATTTCCTATCGGAATCGGATCAATGACCTATTAGAATGTGACTATGATTGTGTGGATGGAGAGTATACTCACTTGCGCGTACTAGATGGGCAGCCGTGCGGAAACGTCGGTCAGTCATGTATTAGCTCTCGCAGGCCGGAAGCGATTATGGCGCACCAGCAGCACCAGTATGTTGGCGAGGATCACCAAAAAGAGCGCACTATCCCGCAAAATCCATGGATTATCGACATTGAAAGCAGAGGATGAGCTACATACCTGAAGTACGTGATGCCTAAGACACCAGGAAGATTCAGCGATCCAATAATTGCAGCATGATACCCAAACAAAGGGTGGGGCATACCGTCTTACAGCATGACACGCCACAAAGTTCTCGGGTTCGACCATCCCACTTTCAAAGATTTGTTGACCGTAAGGCAGAAGACGACGGCGTCGTATACGAGACTGGCTATCCAGACTGTGGCGTAGGCTGTAAACTCAGGATAATTCGCATCTTCTTGTTCAAAACGAGGATGAAAGAGCGCACCTCGGCCGCTACACAGACGGTTAGAATGCGAGGGTGAGGATTGGAGGATCAAAAGAGCATTCCGCCTGGTCAACATTGTGCGTCCCTTCTTCTTGAAGCTAAGTTGGAAGAATATGCAACAAAACAAGCATTCAAGTCAGTAAGAGCTATCCGGCCACTGAACAGAATTTTGGTCTGACCTTTTTCCATCTGTCTTTGTTCTCTTCTTTAAACTTGATTTCCGCTCGCTTGGCGAGTGATTGATCCTCGTCCTTTGTGTAATAATATGAGCGGTAAGCGAAGGACAGCGAAGGGTCACAGAATGCGGAAGGGGATATTGAAACAACTTACGGATTCTGCTTCATCGTCTATATAGACCTTCCGTTTCTTCCCTTGCCCTGCCTGGCCCCTGCTGCCCTTTGGAGACACAACATCCTGTCACGAAATACAACAAATCAGATATGGTACGAAGGACGAAAAATGGAAGGTCATACCGACGTGGATACAACCTGGCGATATCTCGCGGTGGATCTGCGAGGTCTTGATCCCTGCGGTAATGCTGTGAGTAAGAAGTAACTTTGGATTGACAGTGCTGACGTACCGAGGATTTGGGCATGGGGTGGTCGATTTACAGAGATGTGAAGGCTGACACAGACTGCTCACGAGTTTGCAAGCCGCACGAGATCAAGGCGCAACGAACACCAATGTAATTTAACCTAGATGTCAACAGGTTCCCCTGTACCTTTGAAAGGCCGAATGACACCCACTCTAGCGTCCCGCTCCGAGTGATGGATAACACCAGCGCGCAAAACACCAAGAGGAGGCACGTGTCGCGAAACACGCAGCGTCTGTTCAGGTCGTGTAGGAGAACAAACACAGCGCAAGGACGGCTGACACGAGAAACTCGCGAGAAACCACGCCAGGAGGGAGAAAAGTGTTGGTACTGGACGAAGACTAAGAGTGGGGAGTGAGAGAGAGACGAAGAGGCCGGCCAGGATCATGTACTGTTTTGTCCTTATTGTTCAAAAACGGACAAGGGAGACAAGGCGCGCGATACTGTGTTAGATCGTGTCCCACGCCGAGATAAGAGACCTGGCCCAGCCGCACATAGCAACCGATGGCGAGGGCCAACCCACAAAGGATCAGAGAATGAGCCGGCACAGAAAGCTTGACAACAAAGCTGACACGGGCTTGAGAGCGACCGAAAGCGGCAGTTTGACGATCAAGGCCGGACACATGGACTGTGACACGCGATCCAGATACGATAGGATACGATCCTGCTGATGCACCAGATATCTCCAAGCAGGACATGTAACGAAAGAGGCTACTTCGAAGAGAGAATGGAGCCGAGTTGACCCCCAGCAAGACGACATACCGCCCGGAAACTCTCCAGGTGAAATATGTTCATGAAAGGTAAAACATAAGCAGCAACAAAGACTGTGCATGAGAGCGCCTCCTGACAATATCAAACCTCCAAGTAAGACATGTCGAATGCTGTGTGTCCAGGCAATAGTGAGGTTCGTCATTGAATATTGAAGCCTTCAGACAATGCCGGCGAGCTCTGCGAGCCAATCGGAAGCCTATCGGGCCGGACCTTTTTGGCTGTCTTGTCGGCGCTACTCAGTCGAACTCAACGGATCACTGCGAGTCTGGAATGAGTCTCGGAACAAAGCCACAGGCAAGATAATTTACAACGCACGTATATCCATCCATCCATCCATCCATTCATCCATTCACAGACGCACACATACGGGCACAAAGATAATGACGACTCGAACAGACCAACTGTACACCCGAGACAGGAATCACGAGAAAATGAAAGCGAAAGCGAAAAAGACGGTAAGTATCGACGTCTACATATCCAAGTAAACCAAGCAAAAAGTGAAGGGCGGGACGGAGGAAGGAGACACAGAGAAGGATGGAATCATAAGGAGGGTCGGAGTAGTTTGAAAACCGAGAATGCTGGAAGGAAATGGGCGAGTTTGACACACAACTCCTAAGCTGGGCCACACACCACACGCCACACACCATACCAAGTATGAACACTATGACTAAACCTAGGCCCCAGGAGAGAAACTAGAACTGACAGTGACAGACTCAGTGGGAGAAGAAAAGTCGGGATAGAGACCGAAACTAGAAGAGGATAACACAAACGGTGAAAGCGACGCTCGTGTCCATGAGTCGTTTGCAGCACCTAGCAGCGACATACGACAGCCCAACTATCGCGGCCTTGGATGTACCCCTCATGACGTCTTCGCCTTGCCCGCTGAGGTCACCTCTACGATTTCAGAGGTTGTTTGCCTCGGGCTGACACTCGGGAGAGGAGACTTGGGCGTCCTAGACTTCAAACTGGCCACGAAATCCGCAACGGCATTCCAATAGCCGGGCTGCACGCACGTATCATCTATGCGAACATGCAGCAAACCATCAGCACAGTGCTCTTAAAACTTCAAGGACAAGAGAAAAGACGAAGGTAGGGCAGCAGATGGACAGAGACTCACTATGTGTCCCCATCGGAAACTCCAAATATCGACTGCCAGTCTCCCAATGTGACTGCACCCTCGGCTGTCTTCTCCCTTCTCTTCCTCCCTCATTCCCAGTCCCAGGAAGCCCAGCCGCCGCATTCCCCCTAAAATCTGTCTGTGTCTCTCGCGCTTCTTCTTTCGAGGGTACTGTTGGCGGGCTTGAGGGTATGGCGGGTGAAGCGGATCGCGATCGTGAAGAGGACATGGGAGGGGGCTGGAGATGGGATGATGGGCTTGGGCTTGGAGGCGGTAGGCCACGAGATTTGACGAGACCCCAGAGTTGGTCCATGTGCTCGTGTGGAACTACTTCGTCGCGTTCGCCGCCGAGGAGGAGGATCGGGACCGCGCGAGGGATTTTGGGCATCTGCGTAGATAGACCAGGTAGAATGAATATCAGGATTAGGGGAGAATAATTAGTACGTTGTCTCTCTGTACAGGTATACAGAAAGGTGAAAGAATAATTGACGTACCTTGAGATACGATTCCCACTTCTGATGACATAGGAACGAGAATGGTGAGAGGATCGGGAAAGCAGTAGGGATGAGGCGGGGAAGTGACATGAATGTGTTTTCGAGGACCATGGCAGTTATCTGAGGGTGCATCGGCGAGAATGTTAGAATATAAAAGATGAGCGTGAACAGGTCTGAAAATGTGTACTGACGGCGTCGGGGTTCTTGCTTGCAAGGTCGATGGAGACGGCGCCACCTATTGATTGACCAAAGAGAACCTATTCGAGCCGTCTTACTCTCAGCACCTGTCCTCGAACGTGAATGGGTGAATGGAGATGTGGACGCACGACCGGCGTTTGCTGCAACACTGGATCACTTCGGACATAGTCCAATCCGGTCTGTGCGTCGATTTGGAGACCTTTCAACAAAAGAAAGAGAGGAAAATATCATTGCCAAGAATGTAGAAGTAGAGGACACCATGACCGACCTTTCTCAGATGGCGAGCCTTCGGAGTGCCCATAACTGTACGCCACACGAGTTGACGCCACACGAGGCCGCGTTGAAGCAGATAGACAAACAAGCAAAGAAAACGAGAGATTCAGTGAAATGCGCTATAATCCATAATTGAATTACGCAGAGGATATGGGAAGATAATTCAAAATGCATATCAAAGTCAAACTGAATGTGTGAGGGGAGCGCTGGATTATACGTGTGAAAGGGAAGGATGGTGGATCAGACATCGAGACACAAGACACGTACCCTCGATACGAGACCATCAGGACATTACACCTCATTTTGACGAAGAACACCCTTGCCAAAGGGATTCGATGGCCGTGGTTCCCTCCGTTGCCGTGGAACATCATTATCGTTGGACGGGTAGACGCGAACTTGTTTTCGTGTGATAGATGTATCCGGATCAGTTTTAGAACAACAGAATAGCGGAAAGGAAAACAAGATTACGATTAACGCCCTGTCCAAAGGAACAGGGAGCATATGGGATGAAGATGCAGAGTTCAAACCAACGCTCTGCATGAACGGTACTGTAGACCATAGTCGCATGCGCCCGACAGAACTTCACAGTGTACTCAAAGCAAACGACTTCTCACCAGTGGTGTGTCATCCTCTCCTTCGCTCTCTCCATCCCAATCTACCGGCGTCTCTCCGTGCACATGTAAGATCGGTCTCTGCAGCAAAAGATATGCCTTCAGCTTGACCCCGTCTGATGTCGTTAGCGTGAGGTCCGTATATGGAAGACTAAAGTCCGTTGGCGTTGGTACATCTATCCTCACGTTGCCCAGGAAATTATAACAAAACGATCAGGTAAGAGAGAATGCAGCGATATGTGGTACGCGACGCACCAACTCTCGACCCAGGAGGAAACGCGCTCGGGTATATTAGATAATTCTGGCCATAATAAAGCAGTCCCATTCCTATCGTTGACCAAGAGATATTTGGTTGAGCCTGAGCTTGGGCCTGACTTTTCGCAGATACTGGCATAGCGGCGAGCCGATGTGGTGGTGAAAAGAGTGGAAGGTGGTTGACTGACCGATGGTTGAGAGACCAGCTGCCGTTGCAGCCGTTCCCTGGAGATACGAAGGGATGAAATTAGGGTCACCAAAATGAATTGGGTAATCATTAGATTCAGGAGAAGCGAAGAAGGCGGGGAAAATGTATGTTAGCAACTTGCCTTAGCAAAGGTCTCCAGCGAGGGAAGCAGGTTTGACATCGTCGACAATAGCGAGCACACGTTAGCCAAACCAGTTGCTCGACGTCGGATGCAATGTCGAGGAGCGTTAGGACAACGAGGAAGACGCTGCGCTGGGAGTCAGGCCGCAACGACCTCAGCGTCTTCTCAAATGGGCGTCTGACGTCACTGCGTTCTGTTGGGCCACACTGTTCAAGATCATTGTTCCGCCACAGTCGTTGGACTTGGCTCCGTGATGATTCTGTGTACATGTGTTTCGGCGACCTTGAAGTTGCCTTGAAGAGGCGTCGAACTTCCCCCAGAGCTTAGCAAGAATCCTCCAAACCTCAATCTCAATGACCCGCTGGTTAGATTCATGTTCTCAGAACTCCCAACGGCGCTCCATTTGAAGTCTGCAGCACCGCCGCCTTCCCGCGTCGGAGACTGAATTTGAACTTGCAGGGAGCCGCGTCATGGCGGCCATCCTCAAAGAACCCTCAAAATTCAAAAACACACTTCGAGCTCTCTTTCTCCTTGTCTTGCACAGCGGCCTACAACTTTTCATACAGCGGGCCGTCGTAGTGGCTGTTATCAAGAACAGCTCAAGAATAAGTACGTCAAACTCGCAGGTGATACATTTGGTGTCAAATCCCGCAGTGCTCCTACTCTCAAAGGTTTTTCATCATAGTGCAGGACCGTACCAGTCTCACGCTACTATGACCTCTCCTTCATCAGATACGTTTATAGCATCGACCTCCCAAAAATATCAACCTTTGAAGATCTACTCGCGCTTGGCTAATGCTGGTTGTAGTCGAGCTGCGTGCTTGTGCGTGCAGACTGTCTGTGTGCTCAGGTGCAGGGTTTCCCAAACGTTACTTACATTACATTACCGCCGTGTAATGTAATCTAATAGTATTCCCTCGAAATCATGCGCGTTGAGATCCGGAAATGTATTGTAATGTATTCCCCTGTATTGCGCCCGATTCGTAAGTAATTGTAAGTAATGGTATGAAATCTCTTGCGTGCACGTGCATCATATCTTTTTGGTTCAGCAACTCACTCGCACCAATGTTGAATGATACAAGTGCTGCAGCATTGCAAGTGATATACACATGATTTTCCCGTGTCCTTACAGGGTTGAGTTGAACGGCAGGTAGAACAGCAAAAATGTGGCGAAAAACAGGCTACGGGCACTCATCCCCAAAAGGTGAATGTGGCGGCAATCGAACAGTCGGGGCCTATCCGGAGCTTCCACCTGACCCAAAAATGTCTTTGGTGCGTATTGAATAGTAATCATTTCGCACCTCGACTGTAATCGAAAGTAATTGTAACGAAATAGATCCTAGAAGCACAGCCGCCGTAACTGTAAGTAATCGTAAGTAATCGTAAGTATTTCTAAGTAATACCTCGTAATTGTAATGTTTGTCCCTCCCTGCTCAGGTGAGTAGTACCTGCACAAATATGGTCTTCTCGCTGCAACTGGCCGGATATATCCCTGCACTTCCTCGATTGAGTGAGGATTTTTTTTCAGGTCTCCTCCTTGTGGTTGGCTAGCAGGTCGTGTCGTCAAAAGTAGTGATCCAACAGGGTACGTTCTCTTCGCACCTTATAGGATTACACGACTAATTTAAGCAATAAGAGGACCGTCCCGCAGCAAACCTTCTATGCACAATCGACCGAGGTCACGACGCATTTGTTTTTTAAGTCTTCGTGCTTTCAAGGTGCGTGATCAAAACACTCGTTCCGTATCCAACCTCGCGAGGTGAACCTTCCAGATTCCCAAAACAATACCAATCACCAGACAGCATTCGGGATCTCATGACGATTCAAAGGTTCAACGTTTTAATGGCGCTTCACCACCCCTGCAGCTGGCCGAGCGTTGAACATCCAGTCGATTCAGCACTGTCAGGTGTGTTAGATGATGCAGCTGGAAGCTATAACAGTATTCCTTCATGGGTTCAACAGTGCGTCTCATCGGTTTACGAACGCTCAAAGAGCGGCGCGCTTGCGCCACACGCATTCCAGCCCCACATCCAAGCGCGAACAGAAGTTCGTTTGCCCAAGTTTTCGACATCGTGGTGTGTGTAGCTCATCTGTATCATTTGAAGTGGCCCATGTTTGATGCCTATATATCACACATACTAGATAAACCCCTTCTGGACCATATTATTCTCGCACCATCGTTTATCTTTGCTTGTGTGGGGATGAGTGCACGCTGCTCGATCACAATCTCTATGTGTTGTTGATATAGATTCCAGACGGACTGCTATCTAAGGGCTTCTTCCGCCCATAAAGATAGTACAGTTCAGCGGGAGGGTGCAATATTCATGATAGAGAGATTCGGGTGGGCCACGCGTAGTAGATTTCAATCTGCCACCGAATGCACCGCGAGAAGAAGACAGTTGTCGCACATTCGGCTGTGATACGTGCCAACCCTTGACGACGGCAGTCACAAAATAGCGCTGCTTTGGATGTTCGAGGTGCATGCATGCATCTCAGATGCTTGGCTTGCCATGTTGCTGTAGTGATGAAAATACGCTGGCCTATTGCTTTCTCTCTGCCCTACTATAAATCTCCTGCAGTTAACCATTACAAAATCATCCGATGACTTCCGCGGTCTCGTCACTTTCTCTCCTGCATGCAGCTGGTGAAACTGGCAGTCAGAGACTTAACGCAATGTGGCGAGCGTTACGTCCCACTCTATTACTGTCGGCGGCGGAAACTCTAGCGCCGTCCCGTGCCGCAGTTGTATGACCTTCATCCCGGAGTGGATTACTCGGAGGCTTCTCCACACTTCAGCAGCCTTTTGCCTGTTGCCTTCTCGGGAGATATGAATGTTGATTTCCCTTTTTCGACACCCACGAAGAAGAAAAAATTAAAGCATTACTAAGTTAGGCATTCATGAAACACACCTATGCCATCCTTTCCGTAAGTGCTTTAGCTTTATGTATAGAGATCTTCGACCACCTTGCCTGAGGCATTTCTCGTGTTCCAACACGTTCCCGCTCTTCATCCTCCTCCACTCCGAATTTCTCGCTAGTTATATCCAAGTACTTCACCGTAAACGCTTGAGCGTCGATACCTCAGGAGGATAAGATGGCATGGGCTCTCTCTCGGAGTGTCCTTGACACTGTCCTTACCCCTGTTAAAACCGCCCTCTCTTTTCTCTCTTTCCTGGACGTAGAGCGCTCTCGTCCGTCCGACCGACCTCCACCATTCATGCACAGAACCATTTCGGGTATCGTCCAGAGCTCAATTCTTTCTGGGAGAGTAGATGCTCTACTACTAGAGTTCTCCGACCTCCACGATCCTGGTCGTTTACGCGACGTTCAGGGATGTCGCTTGACGAGAGTCCAACATTGGAAGAAACGCACGGGCCAACAGCACGAATACCTCATCTTCGACCTTGTTACCGCTGAAGGAGACACACGCCAGGTCATCACACAACGCTTCTGGGGCACTGACAATCCCCGCACACGAAGCCCTATTAACTCTTCCAATGGCCTGGCAGACGCCAGCGGCCGCTCGTCGCTGGCTCTGGGCAGTAAAGCTGCGAGGTTCGATGAGTATAAGGTGGTATTCGATGCTGCCGAAGAAGTCGACACCGCACATGCGACCCTTATATTCACATATACCTTTCCTGCCGACAATCGTCCCGATATCATCCAACTCGCGGTCCTCGCAAACTGTGTCAGCGACGCCGGCCCTCGCTACCATCTCTATTCGACGATGTGTTACTGGTTCGCCAGAATCTTATACGAAACAGCCTTCCATCTATTCCCCGGAGGCCAGGAGATCAGGGGAGAAAAGTGGTACTACCGTGGCCGCTTCAAAACATACAGATTCGTGAACGATGAGTGCCGATTTTGCTACGGCGAGTTAGCTCCTGGTGGCCGTCTCGCCAAGCTACTTTTGACATCTTCGGACACAAACAACATTGCACAAACCACCGAAGTCACAACATGCGCCCAAAATGAGCAGGAGGACAACATCAATCTCTCAGCGGAACCTCCGCAGAAGGCCTTGAATAAAAAACTAATACCGCCTGCTTCTGATCGCGTCGCTCCTGGGCCTGTTCTGCATATCATTGAGCTGTATAGAAGCAAATACAGCGAGTTTATGCAAACAGTAAGTATCACGGCTCTCCTTGTCGAGCCCCTTCATTGTAGAATCAGAGATGGAGCTTCGTTGGCATGAGTTGAAGCTTTTATTTCTTACAGGCGATAACGTCAGAATCGGGGCAATCGCGTCGTCGAGAAGTCTATCCTAGGTATCGTTCATTTTCACTTTGCCCACTTCTGTGGCTATTATGATAATCGAATTTTGGATACCATTGTCAGTGACAGCACTATGAAACCGAACTTGTGGACCTTTCTGTATGCTCGTCTGTTCTTTCTAACCAAGATGCTATTGTTTATGTCACCGATAGCTCAACGGATAGCCCTTAGTTATCTATGGCATGTGAATGCGACAAAATGGCTTCATAATAATCAAACAATAACCCTTGCCTTGGTAAGTATTCAGATCCTCCTCTACTTCACGTACACCTCGTACCTGGGTCTTTCTACGCGGCCTTAGCTTACCCCAATTTACAGCGCCAGGACAGACGGTGTACCAATGACAAGAATGACCCTCAGCTCCGACTTGTTCTCTCTATCACTTCTACTAATTTGCATGCGGCTCGCCCAGTACAATATGTCTCGCTCCATACGATACGTTTCTATTGCTATGCCAGATTCCTCGTCTCATTATTCTCTATGCGTCATTGGCCGTATTCCGTGATTAGCTGTCGTGCTATCTGGAGTGGTCCAGTATATAGTTAGATTGATTGGGTCGTCCTCAGACGATACACTGCCAGTGACCCACCACCATGAAGTCCAGCGTCATGCGCGGGTCGCGACCCGCAGACATACTTGTACACGCACGTTCGAGTTGGCGCTTTAGGTTTTGGATTGAAGGGATCGTTATCGACTTATTATTGTCAAGGGGTGAACGTCGTTCGGGGGGCCATTTCCTCCGAAATACTTTCACGATTTCACGATTTCGCGTCGGGCTGCCCATCTTCCGTGCGTTCGTCTATTCAACGCTGGACAGGTGGCGGGTGAAGAACAGCAGAAAGTGACGTACAACTCTGGTAAGATATCTTTAGGGTATTCTTCATTGACGAATTGGTACTGACGACCTACGACACCATCGCGGGACAAAGAAAACCAAGCCTTCCGAGTCGACCCACGTCCAACCATGGAGTAGTATAGCGTCAGCGGAAGGATATCGTCACATAATAACGCCAAGGCACTCATGACAACCTATTAACCAATGGTTTACAAATAATATCCCCAGTGCGTTTGCAGCAACAAATGCAGAGGTTCGACAGAATCGAACCTCAAGGCCCAACAGCAGGAAAACACCTTGTCCCGAGCACCCGAAGACAACCCATTGGTTTAGTCATTTGAATAGACAGATACCAAGCGTACTCAATCCATGATCTCCTTCACTTGCTCCTCTAAATACGTCCATAGCTTTCGACCCAGCTCAGAATTCTCCGCTGCAGGGTGCATAATGCCCACTCGGCCCCAAGGAACCAGGAACTGACGACGACCAAAGCAAAGTACATGTATATCAAAAACTGGAAACAGTCGTGGGAGGGACAACCACAGACCTTTCCATTCAGATCTGCGCCTTCGGGAGAAGTGCCGCCCCACAGAGGAGTGAGTGCACCCATGGAGGCGGGATACATGATCAGGTTCTGGATGAAAGTGTCGGTAGAGCATATCAGCAGGCGATCATTGTGGAAAGTGCTAGAAAACGTACGAGCAGGAATCGGAAGGGAGCTGGCATATGTCGCTGAAGCCCAGTTTTGATGCCGCCTATGCAAAGAAATGAGGGTATTCAGCATGGTCAAACCAGAGTCAAACCACGTAGGAGAGATGTACCTGGGTTCAGCGACATAGAAACTATCCCCTTGTCTCCGTACCTTCTAGCCATCTCACGAGACATGACAGTATTCGCCTTCAATCGGACAACAAGTACCAACACGTCACAGAGAAGTAAAGTAAGAAGTATGAGGAAAATATGGCTGGATGGATGAGCTTACAAGCTTCGACTGCCCATATCGCGCGTCTGCCGACATCTTCCTTCGTGCCGGGGTGTCTTTCATCGCATCCCAATTTAGATCCTTTCCCTGGACGATCGACGACGTGAACAGTATCCGTGCTTTCGTGTCCTGTGAGGTCTCCGCGGCGATAATTAAAGCAGGTGTTAAAAGGTGAGTGAAGTACCATGGACCTGAGCATGAAGTTAGTATTTTGACAAGGTGGAAAACTACCGCGGGAGAGCGTAGAAGGTGCTGACCCAACGCATTTGTGGCCCATTGTATATCATACCCATCTTCGCTGATAGCGTCCGCCTGAGGAGCGCTCGTCAAGAACATGACGCCACTAGATGATCATCAGTACATCAGAAGGGCGAACGCAGGGCAAATGCGTATGGAGATCTCACCCGTTGTTGAACAAGGTATCCAGCTTCCGCTCTTTGCTCATGAACTCCTCTGCCGCCATCTTTACAGACTTCAAGCTCGACAGATCGAGGCTCAAGAAGATCGGTTCTTTCCCTGTGTCGTTTTTGAGTTCTACAATGGTAGCTTTTGCGGATTCGGCGTTCCGTGCTGCGAGGTAGACTTTGGCGTCGTGGGTGAGAAGAGCACGAATAATCTCTTTCCCAATTCCGCTGTTACCACCTTGGAGATGAGGATGATATGTCGCGACAGCGAATCGTGAGATGACTATGATGCCCGAACGAAGGATCAATTAAGACTCTTTCTTACCCGTCACGATCATAACCTTTCCGGACAGGTCTGGTATGTCTTTTACAGACCATTTCGGGGAAGGAGGGAAAGTGGAAGACCAGAGTTGACCCATACTGTCAGAGCCAGAGTCGTCGTCGATGTGGTCGAATAGAATGGAGGAAGCGTAACAGATAATCGCCTAGTTTCATCGAGTGCATCGTAAAGGCTGGCGTTCTCGGGTTACATGGATATCAGCCCGACAAGAGAACGTTCCAGGGTAGCTTACAGCCGAGGTATGGTCGGACGCTGTTTAGAGCTCATATGGAAGTCGCTATTTGTGAGATCTATCAACTAAACATATGGAGGAGAAAACAAGAGGAATGCCGGTGGAAGAGGCAAAGAGATGGAGGTGACGGCCTTGCGCGGTGGCGGCCTGTGGCGGCCTCGCGGAACTTTCCGGAAGGCCGCGTGTCAATGTTGTCCTCGGCCGCGAAGAGCTGAAGAGCCTGAGTCAAGGCCTACTTGAGGCCTACAACCACGATTGTATTCTGGCTTTCAAGTTCTATCTCCTTCAGCCAGGACGTACTGTGTTTTTTCTACATAAGACCGTATCTGCAAGTGAATTGTTGACCTCGCCAAAGCTCGCTAAGGCCCAACGGGACGCGACGATTGGCCCGATCACAGTTTTAAAGCCGTTTTAAACGGTTGCAGATATGGTCTATTTACGGCTGAGTGGATGGTTATCCGTAGGAATCTAGTCGCCCTGAATTCCTATCCTATACTTACTCGGGACAAACCTAGGGCTGACTTGGCGACGAAAAGCTCTGCCGCAGAGCCTGCCGAAGCTTGTCTTTACCTATCCTTGCCAGGACCATTCTCAACGCCTTCCGCACAACCGTCCAATGACTTTCTTATCGATGGTCATGGTCTCACCGACGAGGCCCCGCTAGTCCTTCAAGTTTCCTCAGAATTAACTCAAACCTGCCAAACCTCGCTGTTCTCCGCGTTTGGGCAATATGGAACCGGCGAATATCTCGACGGGATGAGCTGTTTGAAGTCAGTCTCGATATCATCAGCATCCCCGTTGGCTCGGATACTTCCAAGGCCCGTAAATCTCATGGTGTCCTTGTCAATACAAAGCCTGCTGCTAGCTTGTGTACGTCGATATCTGATGGATCCTCGTTCAATCTACTGGAAAGATAGCTCATATTGTATCCGCAGTCAAAACTCCGTGTGTGCCCAGAGTGTGGATACTCACGCTAAATCGGTATCCTTGTGTACCCGTTTCCTGACCACCCTCACCGTTGATATACGCACTCTCAGTCTCCTTGCCTCGCTGTGATCACCATTTGTGTCATCTTTGACGTCGTACACTTGCCTCTCGTTCTGTCCGGCGCAATTACTACTACATACATCCTTCTCCGCCACCCTACGGCGGATACCGATTTGGACGCCCCTTCACGGACCCGAGAGAGGCCTTGCTGCGCTTAGCGAGAGTGACATCAACAGCCGTCTGCGGGCTATGCTATACCTGCACGATTTCCGACCTGTGTTCAGCAAACGATATCATTCTCCTTCCATAAAGACCCATTTAATTCCACCCAGGAGCTTGTAACCTACAAAGATCCTTTTGAAGGACGCCGTTCGGACTTCCGGATCTGCGGAGAACGGATCGACGTTGTGTCTTCACGTTTTGAACACGTTTCGCAGCATTCGCTTGCTTATTTGCCGCGCCGCTGGCCGACAGTCGTCTTTACGTTCCTAGAACCTCCGATTAAAGTCTATGAAAGATGCAGATCTATTTTTGGTGATCGAGGGTTGCTGAACTTCTGAAACACGGAGACGTTTGAAAGGGAACTCCGGAGCAGGATGTAGGCGGAGGAACGGGTTCTTCAGTCAGTGAAAGTGGACGTGAGTAGATCCCAATCCCCAATCTATTACTTTCTTGTTGACTCTTTTCTGTTCGACATTTGTGTGCAGTTCTACGACAAACTGAGAGAAGCGCGACTGCGCTAGCAGAGTCGGAAAAGGTTGGTTCAGGCAATGTCACTTATGGTATTCAGGGCTTCTCTCTCTCCAAATGAAGCAACAAACACCTCTGCTCCGTGCCTACTCGTTCGGCGGAGGCTTTCTAAATGGTCGTCCTGCGGCTCTCCGAGCCCTCTTGGCATGAACCCACCTCATCGTCGTCAAGTTGCAACACCAAAGATCCATCCAAACAGAACCGAAGCCTTTGATCCACTCATGGTCTCATCCGGTCAACCCAAGTTCCGAGATCGGAGGACGTCACGTCCGCACTGCTAACCCCACGATTTGTACGTATTGTGCACCCAATAATAGGATGAACGATGGGCACAGTTCTGCGCGCTGTCGAACAAGCGATCGACGTGTAACGCTAGTCCTACCCTAATTTGAAGCGAAGTGGCCACGCCTCCAGAAAGGTAAGGTTGGGTGTTGGTATATAAAGAGTTCCAACCTCATCCTTCAACCACCATCGACATCTTCCCAGTTGTCATCTTCCCGTTCGTCTCCCTCCCTCGTCTTTGACACAGTCTTTACGCCCTCTACTCTTTATATACAACCCATACCCCACCCAACCACCTAATATCGCACCGCAATGCCTTCTTTCGCATCAATCGCCACCTTCGCCACCCTCGCCCTTGGGGCTCTTGTTTCTGCTGCCCCCGCGGCCCCTACGCCCAATGTTGGTGTTCCCACTGCTCCCGTGTCGACACCTTCCGTTCCACCCGTGGCCCCCGCTCCCCCGGCGCCGACACCCTCTGTGCCCCCGATGTCCAGCTTCGAGCAGCGTGACGATGTTAAGAGCTTTGCTGCCATCTTCGTTGAGCTCCAAGTCAGCTTGGTCCCGGTTGTGGCTGAGCTCAGTACGTTTCTTCTTGTTCACGATAACCTTCGCCATTTGCTGAAACGTTGCTCCAATTGAACAGACTATATTGTCACCGACAACTGCACTTCCGATGCCCTTACCCCGATCATCACTGATGTGACCAACGTCATCTCTGCCGCTGTCACCGACCTCAACGCTCTCGTTGGCCAGTCCGCCGCCGTCATCCTCGTTAACGTCGACGGCACAGCCCAGCTTGCCCTCGCTGACGTCGCCAAGCTCGTCGCTGATGTGTTGAACCTTGTTTTCTCTGCCGTTGGCCACGTCCTTGGTCTCGCCAACGTTGACATCTCCGTCGTCGTCTCGGTCTGCGCTCCCCTTGGGTGCGTCCTTTCCTTCAGCTCTGTTGACTTATAGCGGTGAACTAGAGCTGATTTTGGTGTTGAAAAATTCTACAGTGAGATCATCGCCTCGCTCTTGAACGTTGTCGTCTCCCTTGTCGGCGCCCTCCTCGGTGACGTCCTTGGCGCTCTCCTCCCCCTCATCGGTGGCCTTACCAACGTCATCGTCAACCTCAACGTTGCCACCCTCCTCTCCATCTTGAATCTTTAAACGGGTTTGACGATGTAAGTCTTTTCATATTCCTGCTCGGGTGAGCTGTATTTCTGATGGGTTTGCTTCTTAGGTTGAGGTTTTCTCGATGTTTGGGCTCTGTGTTTGATACTTTGCTCCGGATTTGATGCATCTCGTACCCTAATTCTACCCTACTTGAATAAACTTGCGTTCGCGTCCTCCATCTCCTTGATTCTCTTGCGACTGAGAACCATTGAACCGGCTTGTGAGAAGTATTATCGATAGCCCTTCGTGAAGTATCAGCGCGGCGTTGGATTGTGACTAAGGAAGCTAACGCATGATCTTTACGGCTCTCAAAGTGGTAGAATATAAGTATACGGAACCAGAGTTACGGGACGAAGGCACCTAAATGTACTTGCAAACAGAATGATGCCCAAATGCGACAAAAACAATATTCCGGCCTAAGAGGTCTCGGGGGTAAGTACGCAAATCGTGACCGTGAGCCTGAGGGTGGCCCACGACTTACGCTTCCGACACGCCACACGCCACTGCCGTAACGGTTTCTTTTCTTGACCATCGACGTCAACATCCACCTTGTCTAGCCTCTATACACCGCGACTCTATAAATCCCTATATCGATACTTTCAGAGGCCGTCTGCAATGCCAAAGATCAAGCAAGAGCCTCGACAGGCTGTCATTCCCCGAGCTCGGCCTTACCCGAATCCCCAAACCATTGCCGACTCCCAACCTCACGCATCCACGTCTCGACTTGCCCCATCTCAAGATGTTTCCTCTGACAACGAATCTAAACCAGACGTCAAATCTGCATATTTTGATATCAGGACCCATGGTGGCCATATTCTTCGATCGACAACCTCGCATCTTACAGCGACGTGTACACTTCGTCCCTCTTCTCCGCCCATCTCTACGACATGGCTCGGACGAGACTCAGATGAAGATACACCTTTGTACGGCCGGAGCGGCTCTTGTGATACCTACGAAGTTCTGAACAACCGGATCCGTATCAAGTTGACTGATGCGTCCAAGGAGAACGTCCCTGACAGGCACCCGATCGGGCAGCAGGCGTATTTAGAGATGAAGAAGATAATAGCTGAAGAGAGTAGTTTGGAAGGGGATGAAGCAGCGGCAGGGGGTAGTGGGAGCCCAGAGGGCGATGAAGAGAAGCGTGTTGATCAGACGAAAGTAATAGTGAAGGGAAAGACCAGGAAGCGGGATCAAACGGGGAAATACTACGAGCGTATTGTGAAGGACGACCCATCGTCGGTGTACTGGCGGAAAGAGATAGGAAAATATTTGGCGGTAGAAGTTCTTGGAATGGCGAAACCCAAGGTGAAAGCGCTAAAGAACCTTGAAGATGAACCTGGTATGTTCTTTGTTCGACCAACTGATCCCGCTGCTATGTTCTGACGTGGTGATTGGCGCTTAATGCAACCAGTGGAACCAGATTGGATTCTGGACGATTTCCCAGAGGACTATGTATTGTATCGATTGGTAGACCCAGATCCCCCTAAAGGTCGCACTGGCAACGACAAATATCTCTTTGGTGCAGTCGCAGGCATGTGTTTGAACCTCTTGCATCTCTTCATCGTAACGTCATCTCGCTAGTTTCCTGGATTGTTCGCTGACTCGTACGCTCCTCATCATTCAGGGGTCCTACAACCCAATTATTTTGACTCCCCTTTCGAATTTGTCTTGCACGCCGCCTGGCTGATGCGAGGTGCTCCTCTCAACCCCGGTGGCTCCCGTCGATGTGACTGTAACCACTGTGGCACCCGTGGCCAGGCGACCATATCGCACGATCTGAAGAATAAGAGGCGCACGATTCTAGGGATGGAGTTATTACCGCCTTTACAGCCGAAGAAAACGAGAGGGAGGGGAGTGAAACCTCTCAGAACGGGAATGTCCAGACAGAAGGCCGAAGGTTCGAGCGGGAGGGCGAAAAGGCGAGACGCGAGCATCAGGGTCGTAGCAGTCGGCGCAAGTGGGGCCAGCTCTTAGTCGTGGGTGGTATCCCTCCGCAGGGCGAAGTTGCCACCTCTTGGCAAGCGTCCGGAGGCGTCGAGTCTCGTCTTTGCTTGCTTGCAAAGTCGTTTCTCGATGGCTTTCATTTCCCCCGTTTTGCTACGCACCAGCATCAGCTTTTATTTCTCTTCAACAGGACTCTATCCATGTATACATATCCTCCATGCTATCGTTTGTTCTTCTTTGCTCCGAATCTGAGCGGCGACACACTTGTCAGGCGAGTTCATTTGCCGGATTTCCCTCGCCTGTGCTGACGAATAGTTCACATTATATCCAGCCATCGTCGAAACATATATTTTGCGCATCTATTCTTGAACACCTTTCTTGTACCCGCTTTTATGGAACGTGCCACAGTTATTTTGCTGCCTGCTTTCGCCACGAGTTCTTCCGCTGGTCCATGTCGATCAAGGCGGTTCGTTTATATGCGATCCCCGTTAGGCGGCAGCCAATCCATACCGTCGACTAAACCCTGTTGATACTGAAATGTTGCCTTGTTCCATAATCCGGCATATTCGTAGTGGGCGTTGTTCTTATGATTCCACCCTAATCGTAAGTAAGACAGTCATAGTTCATACACTCGACTTCGAGCTTCCCTTGCTGACCATTTTACAATCATGGACACAGGTTCTAGCTTGATAAACCTCGACGGATACAATGCCAATGCCTGTCAGAATCTATCGTCATCTTGAACTAAAGCTCCGTCTGGCCTCAACTTGGGATTCCCTTAGGTGGCGTGAGAGTGAGAAATGCTGGCTCACTTTAGATTTGTGGCGGCTGTCGCTCCGGTTCATCCCGTGTTCTTGCCCGGAACCTCTGCGTTACAATTGGTGCTGGGCAGCGCAGCTGCCCGGCGCCAGACTCCCACGCCATCTTTGCGCGTCGGAGTTTGAACCGTCGTCCACTTTTGGCCTCTTCGGACGCCATCTGCTGTCCCATGAATGTCCCTTGAGCTAGGGACGACTGGGCTGTCGAAGATTTCTGCGTAAAATATAAATATAATACTTCATATGCTATCATTTACTATTCTATGAACAGAATTCTTTATAAGGCCTCATGAGTGCTATGCTTTGCTTTTCGGCACTAGTTGGAGGCCTCAGTCCAAATTTACCCAGTATACAAAATATTCTGCCCATAGAATATGAAGCTATAGCTTCTTCTCAAGGCTTTCTCCTAGCAATTCCAGACATTCTGATGAGCAGCCCCTTCCCTAGCTCGGGGTCAATGTGGCGACTTCGTGCAAAAGTGGCTGAAAGTGCACGGCGTAAACCACGCGAACGCGACTTTCCGCGAGTGGCTGACGCTCTTTCTCGCTTACCACAAAAGATGGGCCCCGTACTTCTTGTAGGGAGCTCATTACAGTCATTCAAAATATACAAGGAATTATGAGAGGTACAGTAATATAGCAACTCAAACATTTGAGTCAAGAATTATATATAAAAATGAGGGGAAGGGCAAACACAGGGAATAAGTTGTGTGGGACAGAAAACCCGACCCAAAAAATGCCACCGACCCATATTCGGACGCGGCAACAGTCGGCAGCGGGGAAAGTGCTTACATATGCAGATCGGCGCTGGGCAGCTTCGCTGCCCAGCACCATTACAATACGGTTTCGATCCATTGGGCCACATATCGAAGTGAGTGGCACCGAGTGGACGTTTGCCGTATCAGTACTTGACTCTCCTCGAACATAATCAACAGTACTGACTTTTTCATCCCTGTGTAGTCAATCCCCCGGAAGCAATCTAAACCTCGCGTTCGATTCCTCATATTTCTGCCTTCCATCAAAACACTTCAGGACATTTTTTTCGCTCGGAGATACCATAAGGAAAGCGTCTAGCACGGCTTCGCAACTGTCTTTCGGAACATCGGAAGTCACCTCGATAATCTCTGCCGTGCAATGTCGGTCAAACTTGGTGATATACTCAATCCCCTACACCAGGTGTTGTGAGCCTCCCTTTCTGCAGGGAAATCGACCTATCCATCCGACTGATGAACACCGTGTACGGTAGCCAAAGAAATATGTGTGGTTCACTATGGTAGGTCCAGTTTGGCCCTAGGATTGCAAACTCGCGCAGTGCTGACATTTCCTTCCCTGCCAGATTTACACGCGTGACGTGGTTCCATGCGTCTGGAGAACCTCGTCGTTAACGTTCGTCGCACATGTGGTCGTGTCCGACTCGTCGGGCAGGATGAACATCACCACGTTTGTCCTTTTACTCCATGCTCTTCTTTCTTTGAGGAGTTATCCTAGGGATGCTCGTCATCAAGCAGCCATATCTTGGCCGTGTGACGTCGGTGCCCACAGACTGATGATGACCTTGGAAGGCGAGCTTGTCAAAGGTTCTCACAAACCTGTAAATCACTCGGCGCCCTCGCCGTGATCGGGTTTTACCTGCTACCGCGTATTATCGTTACGACAACCTTGCCTTACATGCTGGACCAGACTCACGGACGACGCGCATCCTCTCCTAATCATGGAGCCATGAAACCCGTGCTGTCCTGCTCGGCGATAGTTTCATATCTGCCCAACTCGATGCAATGATTTCCCTTTATTTCCCCCGTGGTATAGCACAGACCTCCTGCGAACACCCTATAGTAAGGTCTCAGATCTCAGGCCCGGGGATTCTGGTGGGGTGAGTGTGGCGTGGGTCACTCGCTCCTCACCGATCTCCCAACGAGCTCAAGCCTTGGTCGGCCGTGGGTAACTCTCCTTTTAATGTGTGATGTCACAGGCACGGTCGTAACAGGCATTGGCCGTAACCAAGGCGAGAGGTTTATCCAGTCAGATGATGACATCTTGGTAACCATGCGACTCGGGGATAATCATATTGTAAATGTTTATTCATCTACACCAGCTCGACGAGTGCCTGCCCATATCCTCGTCTTACTGGCGTTCGAAAACTAGTTTGGTTTTCGCCCATTATATCTTAGGAGTGACAGTATGCATTTCAGTCATAGACCTACCGTTCAAGAAAGGTCAGGCGATCAAGTTCGGACCCGCTGTGACCTCTCAATGGATATAACACATCTAAATCTCCATCCTTCCGATGCTCACTAGCTCCACAAATCATCTCAGACACTCCACCGTTTGGTCCTCGAGACCCCAGACGTTGTCCCAAACAGCTCGATCCCGCCATGCAAACGAGGGTTGTCACTATTTTTGAAAGAACAATGGCGAACAAGGTATGCCGAACCACTATCCTTGCGTCGATCTACTCGCAGCTTCTGCTTGCCTTTGAAATAAAAGCTCATTTTTGGCCCAAGGTTCCCATGGTCCGTTGCGAGAAATAGAACTTGAAGGAAGGTTATGGAGCTTACATCGAACTCGACCACGGACGGCTGTTCTTGCACCGCTAATACGGCGTTATACCTTCTCTTTTGCCGTAGATCAGCACTCGGTACCACCGGTTCACGCACCCTCGCCATAGTCTCATTTTTTGCGTCATCCACTCAGCTCTTCTATTTCGCTCCAAGCTCATTTCTTTCTTGTCCATGCCTTCGTCCCTGGATCCTCAGGTATAAAAGCCTCGCTCTATCGTACCAACTCTCTTCACCGCCAAGGTTCCCTCATAGCTATTCACCTCCTCCATCCTCAGCCTTTTGTCTAAACACCTCACCCCATCACCTCACATAGTCACCATGTACTTCACCAAGGCCATCTTTGCTACTCTCGCATTCGGCTTTGCCGTCTCTGCCGTCCCCACCGCTGAGAAGCGCCAGACTACCGAAGTCATTACGTTCTTGACCAACCTCCAGAATGCCATCGCCCCCGACTTGGCTTCCTTGAGTATGCAGAGCTTTTTTTCCTCTTCCTTGTCTTTCTTGCTGACTGGATAATGGTTATGTCCCATAGGCGCGCTCGACTCTACGAATGCCACCGCGGACAACGTTACCCCGATCGTTAGCAGCATCACCAGCCAGATTGACAGCGCTACCTCTCAGCTCAACAGCTTGGACACCTCGAACGTTGACGCTACAACCTTGAGCAGCACCATCGAAAACCTCATCTCTGTGGGATTTCTTCTTCCTCGTACAACTCTGCGCGATACTCATCATGACTATCGCCTTTTCTCAGTCTGTCGTGACCCCTGCTCAGAGTGCTGCCACCGCATCCGGAAGCGATGCCTCCGTCGTCAGCGCCCTCGGCGGTCTTGAGTAAGTCTTTCATACACATTTTTGCGATAGGTGCAGGTTCTGACGCTTCATCCAACAGCATCTCCCTCGGTGGCCTCTTGAACTCCCTCGGTAACCTCCTCGCTGAGATCCTCATCATCGTCAAGCAGACTCTCGACACCCTCCTTAGCGGTCTTGCTGGTGTCCTCTCTGGCCTTAACTTTACCACTATCCTTGGTTTTCTCGGTCTCTAAATAACCTGACCATCGCCTTCTTTCAACACCCCTCATACTATATCTTACCACCATTATACACGACACTATAACGGACTTTCCTGGAACTCTTAGTACTGCCTAAGTATACCCGTCCAATATGGACGTAAATTGCTTTCGCTCGATAGCTTCCCAGATGTTGTTTTCGTTTTGAGAGATGTTGGACTAATTTTCTCGGACTCGGAATGAAGATTCGACATTATTCTCGGTATCTTGTTTCGTTTGATTGAGCCTTTGGCTAGTTGGATCCTCTGACCGTCTACCGACCCATGACGTTCTCGAGCTCCAACCTACGAATCCAACGACCTCGCTCTCATCACCGCCGGCATGCATCTATCGCCATGCGATCTTCCGCATGAGAGGAAGCACCATCTGAACCGGCGGGACAATACCTTCCAAGACTGTTAACCCAAATTTTATATCATATCCATCGGGCGAGGGATCTACGACCAGAAATCTTTCACCGCACTACGGCGTGACAGTGTGTTCAACTTCTATGCCTCCGTCAATCTTCTCCTTCATTTCGCCTCTTCGAAACCCAAAAAGCATCAAACTTTTGCTTTTGGTGGACACACCGGACCATGCTGGTGTGGCATTGCCGACCAATGCCCGCTCAGCTCCGGTTGAGAGTCGTCAGCTGAGTGCCGCCACCCAGCAGTTCGTGTACGGTAACATAGACGTTCTCACCGACGCTTCCACGAACTCATTCCAGATCTCGACGACACTCAGTCTCACTAATGATATGATCAAGAATGAAATACATCATACAGCGACACAGCAGCGAAATCCACCACACTACACAGCACAAGACGTACATTAGATAACACACTCTCACTGGAACAAGTACAATACCGCATCTCGTCAACAACTCGAGCATGAACGAAACGAAACCAAGCGAATGATAATCCAAGCAACCAACAAAGTTGCGCCGAGTCCAACCATAGTCAGCAGAAATAATCCCTCTCCTCCTCTATTTCCTTGTCCAATCCTCACCAGAATTCACCCCTCGCGCTACTCATCACCCATCCTCACCTACATTCTCATTGCTCATGTAGTCTCATGTCTCTTCAAAGGTCTTGGCCTCCCCGTCGGCTTCCTCCCACTCGCAATCCTCTCCGCCAACCTCTCCACAACACCGCCATCCCCCTCATCCTCCTCCAACGTCCTCCGAATCAGTGCCTCCATCCCAAGAGGCTGAGGCCACGCGCCTGGCGGTCTTCCTACCCCACCCATCCCACCATCGCTAAACCCACCTTCCCCAGAATCGACGTCATCATCATTAGGCGACGTAGGCGTGGAAGATCCAGAACCGTGCCATGAACGGGCGAGTTGGGCTTGGAGAGGTTGACGCATGGAGGGAACGGGGACGAGTGGGAAGGAGGTGGGGGCGTAGTCGAATTGGGGGAGTCGTTCGTTTGCGATGTCGAGTTTGCGGCTGTGTATGTCGACATCCACACGAGAGCAAGGTGAGTATCGGCATCGAAGGAGGAGAGGGGTGCGAGGGGATATGGGAATAGAGTAGAGTAAAATAGAAGACGTACGCCTCGTCGAAACTCCTGATGTATCTCCGAATCTGATTACCCTGTACACCCAACGCATCCGCGCCGATCCTCGACCCAACGTCCGAAGCCCCTAGCCCCGCACTGTCCGGTGTAAGTTCCGATGCGTTCTCGGATTCCTCCCTACAGAGCAACACCACATTGTACATCAGCTTTCACATTCACCATCACATAGCAATGCATGGCAGTAACGCCAACACGAAACGTACCGCAACAACTGGAACAACCTCTGCATCTTGCCCACCACCAAAATCTTATTCTTGATCTGCTGTCTTCTCCCGGCAAGATCTTGTGCGGCAGCGGCGGATAACGAAGAAAAGTCGGGGAGTGTGCGGGCTTCAGCATCGGGCTCGTCAGAGGAGTCGGAGTCTTCGAGCTCTTCGTGCGAGCAGATGCTCAATATGGCTAGGAGCATCTCGATGACTGCGCCAAACAACGCATCAGCCACGCCACACCCAATTTCGATCAGTGATGAGATGAAAGGAAGGGGATGAAGAGGGATGACGCACTCTTCGCGCCGACGAACGGTAAACTCCACGTAAACGCGTCCATGAAATTTGGCAACCAGTAGGGATGTGGTCGAGCGTGGTACTGCCTTATCGTGATGTTCTTGTTCGCGTATTTGAGGATGGCGCCACGGTTGTGGTAGACGTCGAGGTAGTTTGGGGCGGAGAAGACGGTGATGACAGAGGGGAACTTTTTGGTGGGGGTCTTGCGGAACATAGTGTAGCTGATTCATGTGTCAGGATGGAGTATGATGGGGCGAGGTGATGGAGGGAGGACAACAAGGAAGGAAGAGGACGTACCCAGCATCCTGCGCTTCATGCCCTCGAATAACGCCCAGCAGTTCATTCCTCTCCAAAAACTTGATCACGGCCTCGTACCTACGAGCAGCAGCAGTCCTCACCGTATTAGACGTAGTTCAGGATTGAGTTTGAACATAACTGAGAACGTACGTGAAGAAATATGAGCATCCCCTGACTCCGTTATGCTCCCACAGTTGTCCTGGCGCTAATGGCGGCTGACCACGCGCGATGGCGGCGGCAGGCTCGTGTTCGTTACCGAATTGAGGTATTGGGTCTGCCCAGAGGAGATCACAAAGGAGGCCAAAAGATTTGGGTTCTTCGAAGCGGTTCATCTATTGTGCCACACCACACGCCACATCATCATAACACCACCATGACGAACGTTCAAGCGCATCAGACACAGAACATGGAAAGGGAAGTGGACCCAGGGAAAACGTACCCGTCGGATATCTTCCAATGTATTCAACTCCGGCGATATCCCGCCATGTACGCAGAAGAACTTGCCGTCGAGGAGGCCGACGATAGGAAGCGCGCAGAATGACTCGATGCAGGCGTCATAGACTGGCTGTGAGTACTTGTGAAGACCTGTGCAAGACACATATACGTGTGAGTGCTTCGCATTGCCACAAGAAGGCACATTGGGAAGTGCAAGGGCGAGGAGAAAGCGATGCAAGGTGAGAGGCCGTACATTCTCGTCGGAAGGTGAAGTATTCTGTTAGATGTCTGCATTCGTGGTTTCCGCGTAGAAGAAATAGACGATCGGGATGCCAGAGTTTGAGGGTGTACAGGTAGAGTAAGCACTGCGTGCAGACACAAAACTGGTCTCAGCAAAGTTTTCTCTCTATGCGGAATGAGGCATGACGGAAGGAGGAAGAAGGGGCATACCTCGATTCCGAAACACCCCCGGTCAACATAGTCTCCCAAGAAGAGATAGTTCGTGTCCGATAGATCACCTCCGATTTCGAATATCTTCATGAGGTCATACTAATCCTCATCGCTAGTCAGCACCTTGCCTCGCGATCCTCTCCTAACCGTCCTAAAGTGCGATACTCACATACTGTCCATGGATATCACCCACCACTGAAGCAAACGTCAAAATAGGATCTTAGCATACAATGAGCAACAGAGTGACGCACCAGTAACTGGACTCCGAACGTGCAATATATTGGGCTCTGATGCAAGCAGGTCCGTCGTTTGCCTCAATATAGTCAATGCCTGCTCGATCGTCAACCTCCCCTCCCTCAAGAAATGTTCGCGGAGGAAGTCAGGATTCGGTCGTCGTCGGCCGTGCGCATCGTTCATGAACAACTGGTCGTCGGTGGGTACGAACGCTGCAGGCATAGGCACCGACTTGACTTGACGCTCGATGAACTCGGGCTCCTCTGTTTTGCGTGTCGGTGCTGTGTACGTCGGAGTCTCTTGGATTTGGTATAAGGCACTTTGAAGGTATCGGTCGTCTGACATGATTGAGTATGCGATAGATCGTGTGATGGTGGGGGTATGGTCTTGAAGTGTCGGTGAAGCGGTGGTTAAGATTCGGAACTGGGTCCTTCAGAGGAAAGGGTATGAGGCTATGGTGCGGAAAGAGCGAGGACGATGGTATTGAGATATTATCGTCCGGGGATAGTCAAACAAAAATTATGTTCATCGCTTTGCAGGACCATGAGAAGCATAGCCTTGACGCACCCTTGTTCGACTGTTCCGTTTCCTGAACTTTCTACACAGATCGTGATCACTCCAGACAGGTCCTATGCGCGCCTCAACCTATCCTATGAATTCTCTACAAGCCTTCTCCGATATCGAGGGTGAAATGGACGAGAATGAGCGATGAAAGTCGAGGGTCGTTCGAGCGCTAGCGCTTGCAAGTGCTGTGATAACCAAGGGAACCCAAATAGAAAAGCTTCCCCGCTTCTTGTGACGTCCAGATAAGTACGGTGAGATATCGATACACAGCAATATACACAGCAAGTACAACACGGGTGGTAACGCAGAAGAGTACAGTCGGAGATTTTGAAGGGGAGATGGTTGGAAGCAAACAGGTTTCGCCGCGTGAGTCTCGTGGTTTTGAGGCGCGAGTCCGCTCGACTATCGATGCACGGCAGCTGCTTCATCTTTCATATCGGATTCTTCACCGTACTGTATTTTTTGAGGAGAGTTGACGCAAGTCTTTACGAATGGGAGATGAGGATCAAGTGGGGCAATTGCAGGAATGGCCGAGCGGCAAGTCCCCAAAGGCATGAAAAGGGAGGCATCGGATCGGCGTTCCTGGGGTTTCCTCATGTTTACTGAGGCATAAATGGACATTCACATTTACAGGAAGTAGCCTACTACACGTTACGACAATAATGCACGTTGCATGGAAGAAAAAAACCGAGAGTATAACTCAAAGCAACAAGCAAATGGGTGGAAGTCGTCCGATGATTCACATTGTATACTCTACCACCTGAAAATAACGATAGCCTCATCCGTTCATATAGTATCGATTTGACCGTTTGTATGATGATGTCTGCTGTCAGGAAAGCAGGCTAGAGATTGATATGCGAATGTGACTGGGGAAAAAATATTAAGACCCGCACAAGAACTATCAGATTGTCCAATCGGCTGTGGCACTGAGAGATTACCCTGATGATCTGTCGCAGTAACTGTTGCCTCTGCAGCAAGCCGTGGAGGATTGAAGATCGGCAGGAAGGGAAACTGGAAGGCAAGACATCCATGGCCTTGACACGATAAGGGTTGGAAGAATCGTCACAGGTTGGGTAGACTCAGTATGACGAGGCCAATGTAACGATCAGGAGACGACTGGTCGAGATTTGACCAAGCTGATACAGTCAAAAGAGTGGGACACAAGGTATAGTCCGGATCGACCGCTGTAACAGCAACGACGTCAAGCGGAAGCTCGAGGGACATGAAGGGCCACTGGTTTGATCATGCACCTCGGCCTGGTCGATACAACTTCATTTGACAAGCATAAGCAGCCTAGAAGTGAGAGAGATATGTATTTCAAAGCACACGGTTTATCAAAGTTCGCCCAAGTTTAGAGGAGCATGGTAATGGTGAGAGACCAAGCACGAGTGACGCCACATTCTGCCCATTTGAACCGCATCGTAGGATTCAGACTCCGACTGAACGCCACTTCGAAGCGTCACGGTGGCCCAACGGGCCAAGGCTGTCGGTTATCATGCCCCCGTAGTGACTGATTATACCATTTTGACCTGCTCCTGAATGCTCCAGTGACGCTTTGAGTAGAACAGAACAACGCAGTCAGCTCACTGGCAGCATCCGCACCGACGCCCTCGCTAGAAGTACCCGTGTGAATTTGTTGAGGCATTTGTTGTTTGTGCCACGTGGTCGAGACAAGCGGCGCGTCGATGGCTTCCGGCGGTCTTCGTGCTTTCTACTACTAGTACTACTACTTCAACGACTACGTATGCCGGCCACTGTACAACACTCCTGTATAACACTCCTCGTTAAATACACCGGACATCAATTCCCAGCCTTGAGATGCAGCAGGTCGGACCCGTCAAAGAGGGATCAGCGTTGGAGCCTCCCCTACGACGCAGAACGACAAGAAACGAGACGCAGTCATGCCTGGAGTGAAATACAGACGGAGGTGGTGTTGTGAGTTTTGTGGCCAGATCAACCTTAGAGTGCTTAGCTGAAAATATCTCGGGCTGGATCTCCAATGTGCGTCTTCATTTTCTTTACGAATATTAGTCCTCGGAATAATGAGCCATGGAGACGCGTTAGTATCTGGCTGCCCTTCTCGGCTGAAGTACCGGGAGAAGAGCCAGGGCAAGTACACAAACCCATCTTTTACCCGTAGACATCTCTTTCCTTCCGCCTATTGCAGCCTCTGATACTGAGTTCTACCACGAAAGACCAAGAACGTATGTGTGTGTATGAACTTATGATCAGTGCATCCGGCTCTTTGCTTCCCTGTGACCCCGTCTCCTACCACAATCCTTGACTTATATTGCTCGTATTCGTAGATCTAACCCACCGGCAACACAGCGCTACAACAGCCCGCAAGCTGATTTCCTTTGCAGAATCGGGTCTTCGCCTACGTGACTCCATCATTCCCCTTGAGCAACCGGTCTGCACCGCGTTTGGCTGCCAGCTCCGAGTCGCTTACTCTCTCAACCTGGTTCCCTTCTTATGCTCTTGCTGGTCTCGTCGCACTCTCTACTGCTCAGACCTCAGAGTTGCACGTTGGTGTCTCCGGATGGTACTAGACATTCTTCTCCAGAATGACAGGCCTTTTCCCCGTCGTGATTTTATGACCGTGGTCTGGAGCCCGGGATTCCTCAATTTCCAATTGAATCTTCTTTTGTGACCTTTTATGCTGCTGAATCTCGGTCTCTTCGTCCGTAGGACATTGAATAGGCCGAGACGCATGATACAAAGTTGCGAGAGTCTTTGCGGAACAAAACGAATATCCATACTGCACAAGGTGCGCGTCAAAGATATAATGGTGTTGCATCATTTTGAGAACTGATCGCCTCGCTAAAATTTGCCTTGCTTAGAGGTCTACCTGATAAGCTGTTCTCCAAACGAACACACGCATCTAAAACCATGTGGCGAGATGGCCACAACGGGTACAGGTGCGCCCTAGAAATTACAACCACGGAATGTACGTCGCTCGAGGTGATTTTGATTTGGATACAGATGAAAGGTAGATGTACTCTTATACTGTTTCCTGTGTTCGTACGCTTATGGTCAACAGGGACGCCCTTCGTAAATATTTTTCTGGGCCTACACGCCAGTTTCGCCGAGGAAAGGTAAGTTACGTGCCAGCGGGGCCGATACCTTCGGGAGACACTTTTCGAACTCCACTCGAGGCCGGGTTATGTATTCCCGCCCCTAAGCGAATGCGAGGATCAATTGTGATCGAAAAATTCTCCGTCAGTGGTTCTTCTCGAATCGAAAGACGATGCATCGTGGAGAAGAGACTCGTCGCCGTCGAGAAGATTGAGTAGGATGTGTGTCTAACTTTGACAACAACATCGAAAACACGTCCCATTGTGCGTCATTTCCGCTTTTCTTCCTTGAATGGCGGACATCGCTACCCCATGCCTGGTTCTCATGCAGCGGTTCCATAGCCGTTTTCTCATCCAGTAGCTCATATACAAGACTGCTTATATTTCTCTGTGTTCACGATCGGCTGCCTTCAGGCCGAAGCGGGAAACCCAATACACATCACAGGAGCCTATGAGATACGCCACAGGACCCCTCGGTATCTCTTCTTCCTCACATTGATTGGTGTTTGTTTTTGCAGTGTGGCTCTTCCATTCTAACGCTTGATAGCTCCCAGAGACCGAGAGACGAGAGCGCTGCTAGTCTAATCAGGGCTACTGCAGAACATACGGAACTGCACAGCATCGTGGGCTCATTATGTTGCGGAAAAGAAAAAGAGCTGTTTTCGGTAACGGTTGGATCACGTCACGATCCATGTCTCCTTTCCTGATCAGTATCACACCACTAGAGTCTACGCTCAGCTCCTCTCCTCCGATATGCACCCTTGCGTTTGCGGGTGCTACATCGCAGTTGGGATATTGGAGTGACATCGTATGTTCGTGATTACCGCCTGAGGTAGCATTGGGGACCATTCTGCCCCAGCCTCCCAAGCGTTAGTCAAGCGGGACAACAGGGCCACGTCGCTGCTAGTCTGCATAGTGTCTACCTCGAGGCCATGTTACAGGCGAAAAGCTCTTATCCCCGCCCGAAACTGCTCGTAAAAGTGATGCCATGAGCGGCCCAGTGTGTATCATATGTCTTATTCTCGCATGGTTCAACGCCTCCTTACGCCACCAGAGGAAGTAACTAGTAATCATCCCATGATCGCTTATCAGGATCTCTCAAAGGCACGGGTGGGTCGTGGAGCACCTATAACAGCCCAGTGTCAGTCTGCCTGAGCGCGTCGTCATCCCAAATGCTTCTTGATTTACCTCTGCTGCTGGTCGACTGTGCGGCGGTCGCGTTGTTCGTTCTTGTATTGAGCACTGTCAGGAAGCTGCTCGCTCATGCTCGGCAACCACGGCTCTCGCTTCCTCCTGGACCCCGCGGATATCCTCTAATAGGCAATCTTATGGATGTGCCTCGAAAGTCTCCTTGGGAGATCTATAACCAGATGGCTCAGAAATATGGTGAGCGGTAGGCCTCTTGTCCCTATGCCGTTTCCACCTCTTCACCATCGAAATAAATTAGGGTCCTTGATGTCTCTCCGGACTATGGGGCAGACTATCCTTGTTATCAATTCCGCCACAGTGGCGAGAGATCTGCTGGAGAAACGGGGACTGACCTGGTCGGACCGCCCTGTATTCCCGTTATTCGACATGTAGGCAGTACCTTTTCGTCCACGGCAACTAGTACCACACTGACGTTGCTTATCAGGATGGGCCTCTACTCATGGAACGTTGCGTTGAAACCGCACAGTGACGAACATCGTCTCGAGCGCCGCATTGCTGACCATGGCCTTCGACCAAATGCTATCACTGCATATCGCGCAATGGAGACTTTCCGTGCTCACGAGCTGCTGCGCTCGCTTTTACGCGATCCTGCGGGATTTTCGGACCATATCAAGTTGTGAGTTTCCTGTATCTTTGGGCGCATGGGCTTGGGAACGTACACTGACGAGCGCCTATAGCATGCTGACAGCGATGATTATGTCGGTCCCCCAAAGAGTTTGACCTCCGTAATACATTTTAACATGTTCCTAGGTCGATCACCTATGGCTACGATCTGAAGTCAATCGACAATGCTTACGTCGTCAATGCTCACGAATTGAACCAGACGGTCCTGTCTGTCACCTTCTCAGCTGCTGGTCTCATAAACATATTCCCTATGTGTACGACTACCCGATTATCTTTGGTATTCATTCTCAGTCATAATCATTTGAGTAGTCAAACATCTGCCTTCTTGGTTCCCTGGAATGGGCGGTATGCGACTCGTACCGCATATCAAACAGCTTGCTCGAGAAATAGTGGACGTCCCCTTCGACTTCGTGAAGGCGGCTATCGTGAGTTCTACCTTATCCAAGCCTCGTCTCGTCTGACTCCCTTTCTTTACAGCATGACGGAACTGCCAAAGCCTCTCTGAGCCATGAGTACCTGACGGCTCATGAAGGCTTTGAACTCCCGCCAAATGATCAACAGACGCGCATCAAGAATGTAGCTGCAACTCTTTACGATGGTGCGACTATTGAATCGGCTTGTCTCTGTGTTTTTTTGACGTCCAGTTTCTTTAGGTGCCGTTGAAACCGTGAGTGCCCTTATGATAAACATACTTTGACACAGCATTCACTAGCGGTCCTTCGCAGACGTCTACGCTCCTCACCAACTTCTTCCTCGCTTTATTGTTCTTCCCAGAGACACAACGAAAAGCACAAGCCGAGCTTGATACCATTGTCGGTAGAGACCGCCTTCCAAATCTGGACGATCGCGACACCCTTCCATACATAAAGGCCATATATCTGGAACTTTTGCGCTGGAGGGTGATCTCTCCTCTTGGTAGGTACTACTCATATCGCCTCTTACCCGACAGAGTTACTTATCATATGCGACGGCGACACAGGTGTACCTCGTGCAAATGCAGAGGACGAAGTATACGATGGATATATCCTTCCTAAAGGTATGTTATTGTTTACTGGTCCTTCTTCCAGTGTTGACCTCCATAATATTGCAGGCTCTGTGGTATTCGTCAACTTATGGTACATTTCAACTTGGTCATTAAACGTAGAGATCTGGCGATTCACGTCGATTATTCTCCAGGGCAATGCTGCACGATCCTGTGAAGTATCCCGACCCGGATTCGTTCCGTCCAGAACGTTTCCTTACCGAAGATGGTCACTTCAAGGACGATCCTGATATTGAAGCTGCATACGGGTTTGGTCGAAGGTCAGGATCGAGCCTGTGCACTACTACCGAAACACGACTAACTATGAACCGAACTTAGGATCTGTCCTGGTCGTTTCCTCGCACAGCAGATGACTCTCGTGACAATCATGTCGGTTCTTGCTGTGTTCACGGTCGATTATGCCAAGGATGAGTACGGGAGTGAGATACCTGTCATGGGGGAACATACTGTCGACGTCCCGATGCTGAGGTACGTCGAAATTCCTCAGCGCTTGTCCAGGGATCTCACTCCCATCTTATCCAGTGTACCCTTACCATTTGAATGTTCAATTACCCCAAGAGATGATAAGGCTCTTGCCTTGATTCACTCCACGGATCTTTAGTCGCATGATGAACACTACATCTCCTCACTTTATGCTATACATTGTTGTTGTACACTACACTACGCCCATGTATCAATAACGTTTTCCGTCATTATCACACTTGATCTCGCAACACGTTACGGTTTCTATTCAGCGGGCTGGACCAGCAGACGACCTCGAGCCAATGTGACTGTAAACGTGGCAAGAAGTCATCAAGATCGAGTGAATGTGGCAGTCAGTGTCTGCGTGAATTCAGTTTTCGATGTCGAAAGTATATACAAGACTTACGCAAGCACAGTTCGTCAAAGCTTGGCTCCATACACCAGCTGCGAATTGAGCTTTGCTCGTGCTATATTGTCTTCTGACAGAACCGCCTCTGCTTCTTGCGCATAAGTATGCATGTCTCCTTCGTCCACCCATCGCCGGAATGCTTCAAGATCAACGTCACAAGCCTGTTCTTTATTGCCCACCGACCAGATGGCGTGCTGGAGCAGATAAAGGCCACAAGAAATGCTGGCAAAATAATTCAGGGCGATACGTGGCAGGAGAGGGTTGGTGAGTGCGTGGGAGAGGAGCCGAAGGAGGTTCTGTAAGAGCCCTTGGAGGCGCTCTATAGTCTTGCGGGCAGCGGAAAGCTCCATGACTCCAGCACTTGACGAGATCACGGATTGAGCCCACTTGAGCCGTCATCAGCACATTTACTAGAGGGGAGAATGACATAGGACAAACCGCCATGTAGCTTTCCACCACCCTCGGCTTCTTCGTTGCTCGGACAAGATCAAGGGCGAGAACATTGACAGTTCCCTCCCAGATTCTCTCCACTAAGCTGTCTCTGATCAATCTCCCGATTCCCACTTCTTCCATATACCCCAACCCTCCAAGCGCACCCATCATCTCTTCCATTGCCGTCGGACATCTGACAGATGCATATGCCTTCACGGCCGGAGTCAGCATCCTAAGCCGCATCTCCTCTTCTTCACTTGCTGCCCCGCATTCACTCTTTCCCAGAAGCTCGATGGTGCCGAATGCCATATAGGTGACAGCCCGGTAGAGAAGTGTGGCGTCGGCCAGGGTAGCCACATGAAGAGGTGCGTTGCTGAGCAGTGTTTTCCCTCCATCGATAGTGCGGACTAGAGCGTATGATCGTGCGATGGAAATGGATCGCTGTAAGCTTCCCGACAAATGGAGAGCAGAAAGGATCCTGGTGACGTTGAGCACGGTCGCGACAGTCTTCACGCCCTGTCCAAGTTCCCCAATTAACCATCCTCTTGTATTTTCCAACTCGAGCTCGGCAGTAGGCACACCGTGCGTTCCAAACTTGTTCTTCAGCCTATGCATCCGCACTCCATTGCTGAGCGGTGTTGGATAAGCACCATGACGGAGGGGTATGACGAAGAGGGAGAGACCACGAGACCCGGGTGCTTGGGATACTGGACTTGTACGGCCGAGGGCGACGGCCATGTTGCCTTCTGCAGCACTAGAAAACCACTTAAAGCCGCTGAGAAGGTAGGGGGGGCCAAGATCTGACGGGATGCGAGTTGTCGGTATCGCAGTGGTTTCGGACTGGGAGACGTCGGAGCCGCCAGGACGCTAGTCAAACTGCTTCAGTATATCTGGCAAAGCGTGTAGTAGCAAGGTACGAGCTACCTCCGTCATCCACTGTCCCGCCATATATGCGAAGGACGGATCACGACTTATAGAGAGCAAATGTCAATGATACAACAAAAAGGATTATGTAGGCCTCATACCTGATCAACCTAGGCAATAACTCTCGTTTCATCTCTTCCGTCCCTGACACCTCAATTACTGCTCTCAATCAGTATACATATTCGCTGTCCAGCTTCTGAGAAGATTGAGCTCACTTCTGGCGGCACCATCCGTCATACCCAACGGGCACATAACCTGAGCACCGACATGAGAACCACAAGCTAGCTCAAATAAATGCGGAAGATACTCACTACATGGCAATCACCCGTCATGGCTAGTATCTTTGCGGACGAATAAACCCTGCTCAACGCATCATATTTCCTTTCGTACGCAATCGAAACAAAACCCTCCTTGATGCCGAACTCTTCCAACTTACGCCACCCTTCAGAAGTGTGGAGTTCGTCCACTCGATGGCCCCAGTGGTCATACTGAACCAAAGTTGGGTGGTGAACTATGGCTGAAAGAGGACGTATCTCTGGAAGTTCGGGTAGTTAGTAGTGTGTCGCGAAAGGTAGTCTGATAGTACCTTCGACGAGACGTTTCCCACATCGTATCAAATCCGCTTCTATTTCTTCGCGGGCACTTCATTGTCAATGGGGTCTGGGTCAGTGCTCTACCTGCTGATACCTTGTTAAATGATGTACCTCTGCGGCAGCAATCGTCGTAGGAGACTAGGTAGGACCGTATCATCAGCGTACGGATGGAGGACATCATAAGGCGTCTTCGTCCGAGATATTAGCGGTCACTTAACTTAATGAGGTGAGATAGACACACCTGCTGAAATCCCTCTTCGATTCGCATGATTGAGCGTGGTTGATGGACGATGTGGGCTGAGTATAACGGGCTACGGAACGGATAGTTCTAACCTGGGCCTTGCGATCTAATAGCAGACAAAAGACGTACATGGAATATAAGTACGTGTGCGGGGCATCAGAAGGATTAGGATCTAACGTGGTCTCCGACTAGAATGCTTCTCCCTGAAGAAAGTCGCAGGAAATCTGGGATCGGAAAGTCAATTGCAAGCCAATTGTTTTGGTCAGCTCAAAGCTCGACCGTGGCTTCATCTGCTCCATCGTTGATGCCGAGGAGTTTACCGCCAACATGTGAAACCGGTCCAGCCGGGGAGCAGTTTTGTCAGGTGAGCAAGGAGCGGTTGAGACTTGTTTGAGACAAAACAGGACAAAACACGAACGATGAACAAGCGCCGTCTATACGGAATCTGCCGGCAGTGGATTGACACATGGCGCCACCCTTCCGGGCCTTCCCTCATCAACGCCGTCACGCCACTTTCAATGCCCACTCGTGGTCTGTTGGTTACAGTGGCTCTTTTTCGTTCTCGTTTGTAGGTAGTTACCGCACTTATTTAGTACGCTTGAGCACACCAAGTATGTATCTTGCTCGTCGGCCGCATCTTGTGGACTCATCTTGTCTTATAGCCATTCACTCTACCTCAGACTCGGATATTTTCCGCAGCCAATGAGGGGGGTAGGTATATGTACCATTCGCATAGGCGCGAGCACTTCAAGACGGTGCAAGGATAGGGAATATGTGAGAATGTGTGCCACCGTAACGATGCGGCGACCGAAGGGAGAGACGACGATATTTCAAGGTATTTTTCCAGTGCATTCGGGATTTGTCTACTACATCTTCGTTGTTGTATACGCATGGTGCAAGCAAAAGATGTGACATCCTGTCCAAGTGGAGAAAGCAGAGTATGGCGTGAGATGGAGGTGCCGAGGGTAGATAGAAATAACGAGTGGTCTCACTGGAGGTGAGGAGACTACAATTTTGCAGGAGGATCGCCATGACACCCGAAACTCTTTGCATGCTCCCTCAGCACACGACGTAGAATTTTCCCACTCGTACTCTTCGGGATTGCTTCGACGAACACAATCCCGCCCGTAAGCCATTTGTAACTCGACTTGGCCTGAGAGACGTGCTGTCATCGCCAAGTGATCAGCCAGTTCGTTCTGGGATGTGCATGTGCGGCACGGAGTACGTATGATAGGAACGTACCTTGAAAATACTCTTGCGAACCGCCTTCTCTGCCGCACCACTCTGGTCTGCAGCGATATTGGCAGCGGTGGCAGGTCGCAGAGCTATGAACGCAAGAGGAACCTCCCCGGCATAGTCGTCCGGGATGCCAATGACGCCGGCGTCCGCCACGTCGGGATGCGTGAGTAAGTGACCCTCTAACTCAGCTGGGGCGACCTGGAAACCCTTTGATTTGATGAGCTCCTAAATTCCAGGATGGGGTATATCAGCGCATGTTCATGATTTCCGAGGGGAAGTAGATGCCTCTCTTACCTTGATTCGATCTGTGATAAATATATCACCGTTCTCTCGCATGATGATTTCGTCGCCGGTACGGTACCAACTGTTTAGCGGGCAAGGCATCGGAGATCTAATCTAAGGCAGTATACGAGAGGTCGAGACGCACCTGTCGATGAAAGATTCTTTCGTTCTATCGTGGAAATCAGCTTGCCAGTTTGGTAGTACATGATGTCTTTTGGGCAGAAAACAATACTTACGCAACTTCGTCTCCATAATACCCGAGGGCGATTTGCCCGCCCTTTACCCAGAGCTCCCCTCGCTCGTCGAATCCAGCCATGGACCCGTCAGTCTTGACCACCCTTGCCACGGTCCCAGAAACAAGCTGGCCGCCACTGCCCAGCGTACCCACCTTCTGAGAGATGGGGAACTGGAAGAGCAGAGGAGCAAAGAGGATTTTACAACAAGCTCCGAGGGGATACAGCCGAGTACACCTACCATGCTTACCGCAGCGCAGCTCTCGGTCATGCCTAGATATCGAGATTTTCGTGGGAAAGTGATGAGTGGCACGAAAAGAGGACGAGTGAGAGCGAGAGAGAGAGGGAAAGGTTGCAATCACGCTGAGTGGTGAGACTGGCTCGTGTTAGGGCAACTCGATGCCCTCAACGAGTCCTACATTCACTGTATTTATAGTACTGTACAAAAGTAACTAGAATATTCTACAATGTACTGAAAGTGGCGGAGCCGGGTGGCGCGGCTGACTCAGCCTGACCGTGGAAACCTCGCGAAAAGTCTCGCAACGTCGAGCTGCACAAGCTGATTTCCAACACTCCCCCTCAGCGAGACGTGCGGAAAGACTCTTGTCAACTCCTACATGCAGCGAAATACCGACTATGGACCAAACCTAACGGCACTCCCCCTGGACCGTGCGCGTGTTCCTACATAGCGTACT